AGTATATCTACTTCTATATATTCCTTAATAAAGTTATACTATTAACTATAATTAATAGTATAGCGAGGCATGCTATAAGTGTATTGCGAGTGCTATAGGGCGTAATAGAGGTAGTAGAGTGCTATAAGAGGTGTTTGTTTTAATCGAAATTCGTAGTGGCAACCACTAAGGTTTCGGCCCCCGTCCACGTGCTGTGCCTGAGAACAGCTCGACCACAATGACGACATCTCCAAATCCCAAAGTCGCGTTCGCGTGTCGCGCATGCGAGCTCTCAGTCTCCCGCACAACAACATGTAGTTGCCACCATGAGCACGCCGAATAAGCGGCGCAAGACCAACAATCATCAGTCACCAGCCCAGCCAGTGAAAAGCCTCGACTTCTTCTTCGGCAAGCAGCGACAGAAGCAGGAGGAAGTCAAGGAAGAGCCGGGACATGATGCATCACCACACATGAACAATGGCGATGTGCAAGTGGAGGAGGCAGAATTGACCGATGAACAATTGGCAAGAAAGCTGCAGGCTGAGTGGGATGCCGAGGAGCGACAGCGAGAGCAGCAGCGTGATGGACAGAATCAGCCCTCTAATAAAGACACGGTTTTCCAGCACGAGGATGCTGTTACGAACAATCAGACACATGGCGAGCAAGCTGTAGCGACGGTTGAGGTGAAGCAGGAGGATAAGCCGGGGAATACGAGTAATGCATTTGCGGCCATGGGAAAGAAGAACACGCTCAGTCTGCAATCCGCTACAGCAGAGGAGGATACCATATCGCACGATGTACCATTCGACGAGTCGCCATTTACGTTTGATCCTCAGAAGTATCTTCCAGAACTCAGGAAACAATGGGCTTCGGAAGGAGGCCGTTCCACATATGCGTTACTCACGCACTGTTTCGTGCTGGTCGGAAGCACAACGTCACGCATCAAGACTGTAGACACGCTTGTCAACATGCTTCGAACGCTGATCGAAGGTGATCCCGATTCGCTTCTCCCTGCGGTCTGGCTTGCAACGAACTCGATCTCGCCACCATATATCGACATCGAACTTGGCCTCGGAGGGTCTGCCATCTCAAAGGCGCTGAAGAAGGTCTGCGGGCTGGACAACGCAGCTCTGAAGACTTTGTACAACAAGCATGGTGATGCTGGAGACGTTGCATATGAGGCCAAGAAGAAGCAGAGTTTCACGCTGCGCAAGCCGAAGCCACTTACCATCCAAGGTGTATACGACAGCCTTCACAAAATTGCCGCGGCAAAGGGACAGGGTAGCCAAGTCGTGAAGCAAAGCTTTGTAGAGCGGCTGGTGCAAGACGCACGAGGTGCAGAAGAGAGCAGATATGTGGTGCGGACACTGGTACAGCATCTGCGTATCGGTGCCGTGAAAACGACTATGCTCATCGCGCTGTCAAGAGCCTTCCTTCTTTCCAAACCACCAGGAGCTGAATTCGACACCAAGTCACGCGACGATTTGGGAAAACTCAGCAAACAGGATCTTGCAGCGATCTTTCAGGGCCCAGAAGAACTCGTGAAAGCATGCTTTGCCCGCAGGCCGAATTACAACGATCTCGTGCCAACCATGCTGGAGATTGGCGTTGATGAGGAGTTGTTACTCCGATGTGGCCTCGCAATGCACATTCCTTTGCGACCCATGTTGGGGAGCATTACACGGGATCTAGGCGAAATGCTCACAAAGCTCCAGGGTCGCGACTTCGCATGTGAGTTCAAGTACGACGGTCAGCGAGCACAGGTTCACTGCGATGCCGATGGCAAAGTTTCAATCTTCTCGCGACATCTGGAAGTCATGACTGAGAAGTATCCCGATCTTGTCGGACTGGTGCCCAAGATTCGAGGTGAAAGCGTCAGCAGTTTTATTCTTGAAGGAGAAGTCGTTGCGGTCGATCGTGAGACTGGTGATCTCAAGCCCTTTCAAATTCTGGCCAATCGAGCACGCAAAGACGTCGTCGTTCAGTCGGTGACTGTTGATGTCTGCCTCTTTGCCTTCGATCTCATGTATCTGAATGGCGAGGAGTTACTCAATCGGCCATTCCGTGAGAGAAGAAGCCTGCTTCGCAGCTTGTTCGTCGAGATCCCAAACCATTTCACTTGGGTCAAAAGCCTTGATGCCACATCGAGCGAGGTTGAAGCCGTGAGCAACTTCTTCAAGCAAGCAACAGACATAAAATGCGAAGGCATCATGGTCAAGGTGCTTGACAATGCAATTAACCCAGACCTACTAGCCGAAATGGATATCGATCCCGAAGGTGCAGAGGCTGTTCCATCAGCGCCTACGACCCCTTCCAAACCTAAGACGAGGAAAGGCGGCCCGAAAAGAACGAAGAAGGTCGTAGATCCGCTCCAGAGCGGCGCGGCCAAGTACGCAGCTGAACAAGCTGCTCAAGCGTCCGCTGATGCCACTAACGAAGAGAAGAAAACGGGTGCCAGGCGCAAAGCCCTGCTGGCCACGTATGAACCCGACAAGCGCCTCGACTCATGGCTCAAAGTCAAAAAGGACTACAACACGACGACCGACACCATAGACCTCATCCCGGTGGGGGCATGGCATGGGCAAGGGCGAAAGAATGCTTGGTGGTCACCGATCCTCCTCGCCTGCCGCAACCCTGCTACAGGCTCCCTCGAGGTCGTGACAAAATGCATTTCAGGCTTCACCGACGCATTCTACAAAGCCAATCGCGCCAAGTACGATCCGGACTTTGAAGATGAAGATGGGGTCCAAATCGGGAAGAATACACTTTCTTCACGTCCGACTTATGTGGATTATGTTGGAACGCCCGATGTCTGGTTCGAACCGCAGGAGGTGTGGGAAATGATCTTTGCGGATGTGACGATCAGTCCTACGTACACGTCTGCAATAGGTTTAGTGCATGAGAATAAGGGGTTGTCGTTGAGATTTCCGAGGTTTTTGAAGGTGAGAGAGGATAAGAGTATTGAAGAGGCGAGCACAAATGAGTTCTTAGCCGAGCTGTACCGGAAGCAGGAGAGGAAAGCTCCAACAACGGCGAAGGATGTGGATGTGAAGGATGAGGAGGAGGATGAGTTGTATGAGTGATACGAAGAGCGGTCAAAATACGACGAAAGTGAAGCATCCACCGAATGAAAAAGCATATCTGAATCATGTTGAATGCATAATTGGGTATCTTCAACTCAAGAGCAATAATCGCTTGCCTCGCCCTGAGGAATTCCTGACGCCACGCTTCGCTTTGCCTCGTTCTGCTCTGCTCTGCTGTACTTTTCACGCTCTTCATTGCCTCATGCATTTCATCATCATCGTAGAAAGATCAGCGCACTCTGCTCAGTGCCGTCCTCGAACGCCATTTACGGCTTTGGAATATGCAGAGTCTTGGACAACATACAACAAGCATGCGCCAGGTACAATGCCACGACGGGATGAAACTCGAAGATTGTGCCCGCAGCGATCGTGCCGTATGGGATCTGGTCGTGTACCCAACCTTTGTATAGCCAGAATGATACGAGCCCGGTGCCAAAGCTTAGACTTGTGGGGATGGGGAGACCTTCGAAGTATTTCGCTTTCCCCGTGGCGTCTTTTGGGACGTTGCCGGTTGTGACGTTGAAGCGTGCGAGGCGAGCGAGACCGCCCAGGACGAAGAGGGTCAGGAAGAGTTGGTCGAGGGGAGTTCGAATTCCGAGAGAGAAGGCGCAGGCTGCTGGAGCGACACCGAAGGAGATCTGCGACACGATACTGTTAGTCCCTTGTACCTTGGCTGTCTCATATCTGGGCGATGTATGATCCTGCCTTACCAAATCGGCTAACGAATCCAACTCGGCACCCATCAAACTGCTCTTTTTCCTCCATCGCGCCACTTTCCCGTCGAAGAAGTCGAAGAAGAGACCCAGAGGCATGAGACCCAGCGCAGCCCAGGCATTACCCGTGTCTTCGGGGCGGCCAATGCAGTATCGAAGAGAGGAGAGCACAGACATGACGCCGCAGAAGCCATTCATGAGAGTGATGAGATCGGCGAGGTGGTACGCGCGGATGAGACTGAAGTGACCTGGGTTTGGGTCATTGAGCAGACGTTCTTGCTTGTCCTTGCCTGGAGGAGTCAGCGCTGTCGTATATCGCAGCAGTGCAAGATTACTGCAAGAGGCAACATACTTGGCTCCGACGCGACCTGTTTGGCTTCTTTTTCGACCTCTTGCGAGACGCCATTGCGTTTCGACATGATTGCGGGTGGGAGTGAGATAGGCGAGAAATCGTGCAGGTTGACGAGAAGTCTTGCAGGAAGGGAAGAAGAGGCAGAGGTGCAGCGTGCACAGGAATACGTTGTTCACTTGCCGAGCAGACAGCAGAAACCCGGCTTCGTGTTCTCGCAGCACACGGCCTTTCGTCATTGCGGACCCTCTTCCACCGCGCACGTGATGACGCGCGGAACAGCGGCTATGCTCAATCAGGCATCCGATCCAAAACATCACGTCCGACACGCTAACTGGGAAACTTGACATCGCCACGACGCACGATGCAACATGGCTGCGGCCGTGGCTCAGACTGGGACACGAGGCCGCCATGACGCTCTCTTCGACGCCGTGTTTGCGCCCAAGCAGCACACCACTGCTACCCCGGAGTCGACGCCAAATATCGGAACTCTCGCTTCTCCCGGAACAGCCTTCGGAGGCTTCAACCTGGCTGATGACCCTGCAACGCAGACTGCGCTGTTCAACAGGCAATGGAGCACCGCCACGCGCTTCCTCACACTGCCGAATGGACTAGAAGGACAGCCGCGGGACTCGCGCGGTGGGCCGAGTCGACAGACCGAACATGCGCTGCACTACCTGCTTTCGGCAGGTGCAACTCGCAAGCAGCTGACTCAATGGTACAGCTACGAAATCTCGACGCACTTTCGCAACTTTGTCCTGCCGCATTTGCAATTCTGGGAGAAGCCAATCGCTGTGAACGAAGCTGCTCGGGTCCTCTCTGACACTGTGACAGTATTGCAAGACGCATCCAAGGTGTACTTTGCTGTCGGCGAGTCACTCGATGAAGCACTCAATCTTTTGCTCGCACAGTTCATCAAGCAAGTCAGACATGACTTTCACGTTCTCATGTTGCACGCTCTGCCGCGACAACGCGTGCAGAAGACCTTGGCGAGCTACCTTTTCCAGTGCATGGCCAACAGTATCGAAACTTCCGGTCAGTCTGAGCAATGCATTGATGACGATGTTTGCTCATGCAGCGTGGACCTCGACCTCAACGCTCTGAGCCAGCTGGAAGACGCTGGTCTTGGTGGTGCTTTAGGTGAGCGAGCATTCGCACATGCAGTCCACCGGCTGCTCCAAGGACCTGCCGTGGAGCGTCGCTGCTTTCAAGTGGATTGGCATGGGCAGACGAGTTGCGTGCAGCGACTGCGAACATGGGTCCATGACCGCATGGTGCCTGCCCTGGAGAAAGCAGTGACTACTTTGGCTGGGAAGCAGACCATGGGACTGCCGACTCAGCAATTCGTGTCCGCCGCTGTTAACACCTTCGGTCGGTTACGCACGAGCGCTTTGTTCGATTATGTCAGCACATGGCCCGCCAGCCAGGGCGCTCTACTCGACATCAAGGAGTATCTTCACGCTAATGGCGCGAGTGAGAAGGCATATCTATGCGCAAGCTTTTCCGAGCAGATTCATCGTCGCCTGTTCCACGCAGGTGCAAGCACTACGGAAATTCTCGGCGTGTACATCAATGTTATCCATGTATTCCGGTTACTGGACCCTCGTGGAGTGCTGTTGGAGAAGGTCGCTATTCCGATCCGAAATTATCTACGAAGTCGAGAAGATACAGTCTCGACGATTGCTGCTAGCTTCTTGATCGACACACGCAACACCGAGCCGTCCGAACATGATCACGACAAGATTTGTTTCGCAGTTGCTGAAGCTGTTAACAACACTCAAGACTATGGCAATTACGACGAGGCAGGCCGAGGTGGAAACGACCTGCATTGGCTGCAGAAGAATTGGATGCCTGATCCGATCGATGCTGGCCCGAACTGGAAATCGTCCAAGAGCGATGATATTGTGGCCTACATCATCGGTCTATTCGAGCCTGAAGATTTTGTGAAAGCATTCTCTACGGCTCTCGGTCAGCATCTGCTTCAGACCAAAGACCGTCGATACTTCAAAGAGATCTCGGTGGTAGAGTTGCTTAAAACACGTCTGGAGCCAGGAATGCTGCAGCATGCCGAAGTTATGCTGAAAGACATGCAAGAGTCCGCAATTTTGAACCGAAGACTCAATCCAGGCGACCAAGAGATACCACCTTCTGTCCCACCAACGCCCAAAGAGCTGCAAAGTGCAATACCGGATGACGGAATCACTTTGACCTCATTATATGAGCATTTCAAGAATCGTGTTGACAGCACTCAATTCCAGGCGACACTAAAAATGGTCGCCAACAAACGCGACGACTTGTACTATCCAAAGAGGACAAGGCTACCAGCAGAACGCACCAGGGAAATGGCAAGCAAAGAGCAACAAAACGGAAAGACTGTGTTCGAAACGAAGGTGCTATCAAGTCACTTCTGGCCCCCACTGCGCGAAGGCGACTTCAAAGTGCCACAACAAATTGCTCAGCACAAAGAGCGGTACGAGCAGGCTTTCTCCCGCACTAGTGGACAAAGGAGACTGGAATGGAGACCAGCTTTGGACATCACGACCATTACGCTCGACTTCCCAGATCGAAGTGTAGAGGTGGAGGATGTGGAAGTTTGGAAGCTCACTGTTGTCGATGCTTTTGCCGAAGAGCGCCATAATAATTCTGACGTACCGCCAATCATATATGATAAGGACGAAGGCTTATCGGTCGCGAGTCTCGCCGAAGCTCTTGAAATGCCGGAAGACTACGTTCAAAGCGCAGTAAGCTACTGGATGAACAAACGCATCCTCTACGAGAAGTCTGCGGGTATGTATGCTGTCCTGGACAATCTGGATATGGATGTACCAAGCATCGCGGAACCTTCACAACTAGACATTGAAGAGGACGTGGGAGCAATCATGTCAGAGCAAGCTGTGCTGCGGCAAAATGCGCCCACTTTCCAGACATTCATCGAGCAAATGCTACGAAATGGTGGCGCCAAGGAGATTGGCGGTATGATGGGAATCACGAGTATCATGAAGATGGTGCTGCCGACTTTCACATATGGCGATGATGAAGTTAAGTGGTTGCTGGAGGACATGGAGAGCCGGGGAGATGTCGTGAGAAAGGGAGAGTCGTGGGCCGTTGCGAAATAGAGTAGGCAAGTGCTGCGGAGAGCTTCGATGCTCCCTGCATGAACGTGAGGCCAAGCTGTGCAGATCCTCTTCAGCTTTAACAACTCGCATTAACCAGAACCAGAATAGCGTGCAGCGCCTTCGAAATCCACCCTCGAGATCCAGCTGCTTCAGATGTAAGCTGAAGGATTCAGACACTGCACGCCCTTTGCGGGTTGCACCGAATCCTGCTGCCACTCTCTCCGCTGCAACGTCGCCGAGGTCTTACGGCAGCAGAGCTGTCCCACCGCCCTCTCGAGTTAACACAGAGAGAGAACTTGTGAAGACGAAGTGGACCACTTTCACTCCTGGCCGCGAGACGAATTGCATCATGGTCTGTCACAAGTCTTTACAATTAGTGCTCAAACTCGTCCTCTCATTTCTCTTCCTGTGCTCTTTCACAAGTGCATCTGCTTCGTCTGTCCTCACGAGGCGAACATGCGACGCGAATCCAGTCTCTTCAGCACAAATTGCAGCTGACCTGAGACCATTCCTCTCAAAACATGCCGTAGTCGTTCTGCCGGACGACCAGGAAGAGTGGAGTCGATTGACGGCGAGATCCAGCGGGCCAAAGATCAACCCGGGGTATCTTGCTATCGTTGAGGTTGCTGCTGAGGAAGATGTGCAGAATGTGGTAAGTCGAGTATTATCGGCGGCGATCAGTCTGTGCAAAGATCTGGGGCATCCCGAGACTGATATGTCAATTATAGATCCACTATGCCAATCTCAAAAACTTGCCTTTTCTTGCTGTGTCGACCGGGCACGCCTGGGCGCCGGCGATGAATGATCTCCAAAATGGAATTCAGATCAGCATGCGGAAGTTGCAGAGTGTCAAAGTTGATGATAGTGGGAACACTGCCACGATCGGTGGCGGTGCCACGCAAAATACGACCTTGAAGGCGCTTGCGAAGGTAGGGAAGCGTACTGGTAAGAATCCAGCCAACGAAGGGCCAGACATACGCTAATCAGGTATAGTCCATGGTCTCTGCGAGTGCACCTCAGTCATCGGCCCAGCTTTAGGAGGTGGACATAGCATGCTCCAAGGCCAATATGGCTTCTCCGCAGACAACATCGTCTCTGCTCGCCTCATCCTCGCCAACAGCACGGCAATCACTGTATCTGCAACCTCTCACCCCGAGCTCTTCTGGGGACTCCGCGGCGCAGGCCACAACTTCGGCATCATCACGTCTTTCCAAACCAGAGTTTACGATGTTCCATCTGGCCCTCACGGTCTCTGGACCCTCACCATCCTCACATTCTCCCCATCACTTCTCGAACGCTTCTTCGAAACCTGGAACGATCTCGAAACAACCTACCCCGATCCTGAAGGCCTCTTAGTCCTCGACGCAATGTTCAATCGTAACCCTCTCGTCGATCCCAGCAACAATCCGATGATAACACTCATCATCGCCCACGAAGGCTCTAACCCCATCGCCGACGATTACATCTCCGCCTTCCAAGCCCTCAACCCCACATTTTCCACGCAAGAATCTTCAATTTCATGGGAACTCATTCACGATAAAATGGGTCTCGGCGATCCACCTGTTTGCCAGTTGAATTGGAATCTCTATGGCGTCACGTCGCCCTCTTTGCAGGAATGGAACGTGACGAATATGAGAGAAAACTGGGATTTTTATAAAGATTTCACCACAGAACATGAATTCTTGAGAGGAAGTTTCTATTTATTGGAAAGTTATGGAAGAGGGAAAGCGATGGATTTGGACATGCTGGAGGTTAATGCTGTGGCAAGGGAGGAGAGGGAGAAACATATCTTGCCAGCTTTGATGATGATTTGGGAGGGTGGAGAGGAAGCGGAACAAGTAATTGCTGGGAAGGTGGCAGATCGGGCGAGAGCGTTGATGAAAGAGGGCGTATCAGGGGCAACGCACCATACGTATGTGAATTATGCTAAAGGTGATGGGTCGGAGAGTTTGGAGGAGATGTATGGAAGGGATGCACAGCGCTTGAGACGATTGAGGGTGCTCAAGAGGAAGTGGGATCCCGAGAATAGGTTTGGTTTCAATGCGCCTTTGATCTAGGGCGTGTTGAAGTATCACTCTGGCGACAGAATCGTGTGGCCAAAGAACAGACGAAGAAATGAATGTAGTTGAAGTCATCTCACATAAAAGGTCTACAGAAATTGCTTAGCGACCCAGGCGCAGCTGCATGGCCAACAAATTGATCTTCGAGATCAGTAGAACCATCTGAACTCTTCGCAATCCGGCCCATCCTTGAGCCTTTCAGTAGGGACATCTATCGCTCGGATCTTGACTCCGCCTTGCCTGCTATCCCGTCTCCTGTTATCAAAGATCATCCACACGCCCAGCAAGAGCGTCAAAGCAGCTCCAAACCCTCCGAACGCTGCTGTCGTTGCCAACGCCGGGATGTAATTAGGCGCATCCTGGGTTCTGAAAATGTTACTCGACACCACGCCCATCAAGTTCGCGACAGGAACGCCAATAGATGTCAACATCATTCGACGATTCTCATCGGCGATGTTATTGTTATACCAGACGTCCAAGATGACAGACGGAGCTGATGTTCCCCATGTCATCATAAAGGTTGCGAAGTAGGCGAGCTGGATGTTGGCATGTACGTCGGAGATAGATCCGTAGATTACCATGCCAGTGAAGGTGAACAGAAAACCCAACGCAACGAAAGGAAATCGCAGTCGGGTGTAGTCGGAACTGTAGGCCAAGATGAGGAGCATCACAGCTCCGGTGATATTTGGCGCGACAGTATACAGGTTCGTCTTGATCGTGCTGTAGCCGAGACGTGCCACAATCTGGGGCAGGAACAAGCTGACACTCTGAAGTGGGATTCCCAGGCAAATTTGGATGGCGAGAATAACCCAACTTGTCCAGTGTTTAAAGATTTTGATTGCTTCGCGGAAGTTGAACTTGGTTTCAACCTCTGACGAAGAGTCGATTTGAATTCTGTAGAAAGCGAGCTTCTTCTCCTCGGGTGTGAGGAATCTGGCAGAAGCAGCGTTGTAGGGGAGAAAGATGAAGGCGATAAAACTCCCGATAATCGTCAGGCCACCTTCGATCGCGAACAGGTATTTCCAGCTCGGAAGCACGCCGCCTTCGATCTGGAACACACCATATGCTAGAAGACCGCCAAAGGCACCGGCGATATTCGAAGCAGCATAGAAAAGGGCGAGTCGACGGGCCAATTCGCCACGGCGATAGAATGTGGTCTGGTAGTAGATGACGAGTGGGCTGGAATGACAATGTTAGCAGTGAGCATCGGTTGTATGCAACGCCATCCTTACAAGAACGCAGACTCCGCCATGCCTAGGAACCAGCGCAACGCCATCAATCCTCCCCAGTTGATGACAGCTATGACTAGCAATGTCATGCTTCCAAAGGTAAACATCATGCAGGGCAGCACTCTGCTTGGACCATATATCTTTCCCAGGATTCCCAGAAATGGTGCTGTGAGCACGTATGGTACAAAGAAGATGCTGAGAAGAATGTTGTACTTGTTTGTGCCCGCAAACCCAAGATCCGCCTCAAGTCCGGCAGTCTTAGCATTTCCCAAGTTCGACTTGTCCAGCGAGTTGAAGAGGTACATCATGGCCAAGAGTGGCAGTATGTGGAGGTCGAATTTCCAGAGTAGCTTTCTCTCCGCGGCAGCGGATATTGTGAAGGACTCGCCATCTTCCTTGACAATGACAGTGTCGCCATTGTGATCCTTGGAGATAGAATTGGTTCGCTGGAGATCGCTCGAATCGCGTTTCTGAGCTTCAAGGGAAGGAAGCTTGAGGTCGCCGTCCGGGGAAGACATTGCTGTGTAAGTGAGTTTTGACGAGGCACGAACGTCTCAAGGGACAGAACGGTACATCGTTCAGAAAATATAAAAGCGATGTCGTCGTGCCCGGCCTACCTTATCGCCGACGGCAGACATTACCACGGCTGGACAATATAGGGCATGCCGGCCGATCATGTTGGCCGCAGCTTTGCCGTAGAGAGTTGAGTTGATACTGCACAGGGCACAGGTGAGAGAAGTCATGTCACTGAGTAACATCGCAGCGCAACATGGCCCGGTGGGAGCTTATCTGTCCTCCGCGTTGATAAACATGGGTGCGGTGGGCGAATGAGGAGTCATCTCCCGATCGGTTCCTGGGCTTGGCCACTCTGCGGTACGAGCACTTCCGGAGTGCAGATTGATACATCGTGGTTTGGTGCAGTCAACGGAATGACTTGGAAGAACTCCTCCTTGGGTCCAGAGTGGAGGTGTAGCACCGACTTCATCCTGTTTAACCCGACCTGCGTTTCTCTCCTTTTTCACAGGCTTCCTGTGCTACTTCTTCGTCCTCAGCAAGCGGCTCTGCGAACTGCTTCATCGCGGAGTCCCTGGTGACTGGCCCCTCGATGTAGGATGAACAGTATGGTGCAGCTTTAACGAAGCGGTGGCAATAGTCGAGAGATGACTTGCTTGTAGAGGAAATGGCCAGCCGTTGGAAAGAGAAGTCAGCACATCCAACGCCAAGACCCATCCGAATCGTCGGACCGACCGCCCGTCCAGACCTCTTTCCATTCCATCTTCGCATGAGCATACAGTGATGCTTTGTCGAGTAATCGCCCACACGACACGCAATCTCAGATGCCCACAAGGGAGAAGGCGAGCGATCTCAGAGCAGCATGGCGGGCACAGTACTCCAATGACAGTCGCCATTACTCCACCCTCGATTTTCATGTTGGCCCCCTGTTCCAGCAGCGCAAGAGACGTCCTTGATACCAAAGCAAGACAAGAAACTTTCTCCAGCATCATGTCATTCACATCAAGTGAGCAGTCCAATGTGAAGACGGATATATGTGCCGTGTATCGCACGCTAGCACAGGCGAACAGCGTCGAAATATGGCACCCGGAATCCTCTCGGAAGATGTCCCAATTCACGGGACTCCGCCTAGCAAGAATTCCTATCCAGCTCCTCTGAAGCCATCCGGCGCTCTTGATCACTTCAAATCTGAGGAGACTACACCAGTCATCGGCCGAGAATACTTCGATGTCAACATTGTCGACGATCTTCTCAAGGCTGAGAATGCTGATGAACGCCTGCGTGACCTTGCTATTGCGAGTGAGTCTATATGAACCGCACGTGATCTATGCTAATATCGATCAGTCTCTCAGCGAGGTGTGGTCTTCTTCCGTAAGCAAGATAACTTGACGAATGACTTGCAGAAGCAATTTGTTCATCGTCTTGGCCAACTTGCTGGCAAGCCAAAGGACTCCACGTTGCATATTCACCCAGTTTTGAACGGCACTTCGGAGTTTGGAGCCACTAAAGATAATGAAATTTCCACGATAAGCTCGATCGCTCGCAAGGAGCTTTACAAGCACGACGCACAGAAGCAGAAGGGCCGCCGTTATGATGCTGCGCTGTGGCACAGTGACATTCAATTCGAGCCAGTGCCCGCCGATTACACTTCACTTCGGCTGACGAAGCTTCCGAAGACTGGTGGTGATACCCTCTGGGCTTCTGGTTATGAATTATACGATCGTTTCTCACCACTATACCAGAAGTTTTTCGAGAATCTTACCGCGACATTTGTTGGCGACGGCTTCATCAAGGCCGCTGCAGCGAATCCTGAGAAGGTCTTCATCTACGAAGAGCCCCGAGGTAGCCCACAGAACGTGGGAAAGACGCTGAGTGCCGTTCACCCAGTTGGTTCGTATTCATACAGCATTAAAGGTCGGCAGTGAGAGACTGACGTTCATTTAGTGAGAACAAATCCCGTCACTGGCTGGAAGAGCATTTATGCACTTGGCCCATTCCCGAAATTCATCAACGAGTTGACTGCGGATGAATCTGATGAGCTTCTTGCCAAATTCAGGCAGTTGATCCTCGATCAGCACGATTTGACTGTGCGCTTCAAGTGGAGGAATGAAAACGATATTGCTATCTGGGATAACAGAAGGTTAGTAACATGATTGAATTCCAGTTACGCATGCTAATCATGGTCTGCAGTGCTTTCCACACTGCCACTTTCGATTACGATGGCCTTGGAGATCGCATTGGCAATCGCGCTGTCGGCATTGGCGAGGCACCGTACTTCGACCCTAATAGCAAGTCGCGCTCTGAAGACTTGGGACTGTAGCCCCTCGATGCCGTGCAACAAGGTTGGTTCCGGCGTATAGCACATCTGCTCTACCGTTCGTCGGCGCCAAGAATGTGGCTTCGTTTTCTTCTGCACCAATTGCTGTATCAACGCATTCGATTCGAACTATGAGGATTTCACTGCCATATCTGTTCACAAGAAGCACGTTGCAGTCGCTACATGTGTGTGTTCTTCATCAGGTGTCACACGGATCAAGCTAAATTCGGACATCCGGAGAGCTATTGCTTTTGTCACCTCGATGGCCTCAGCTTACTACCATCAAGGTAGCTAGCTAGTGCTACAACAAGAAAAAAAGTACAAGAGCTTTCCATTTAGACATGACGTCTCTGCCGAGCAAATGATTGACATTTTGATTCCTCGTCCAGAATTCCTTAGCTGACTCTACAAAAGACACAACCCTTCTCTACTGCCGCAGAAGCCCCAATAAACACCAGGAATAAGAACTCAACATGCCCTCGAAATACAAACTCATCATCCTCCGCCACGGCCGCTCCGAATGGAACGAAAAGAACCTCTTTACCGGCTGGGTCGACATCCCCCTCAACGACCAAGGCACAACCGAAGCAATCCAAGCCGGTAAACTTCTCAAACAACACAACTGGCTCCCAGATATAGTCTACACCTCTCTTCTCCGCCGCGCAATCGTTACCGCAGACCTTGCGCTCGACGAAGCAGACCGTCTCTGGATACCGGTCGTCCGATCTTGGACGCTAAACGAACGCCATTACGGCGGCTTGCAAGGTTTGAATAAGAAACAAAGTGCCGAAGAACATGGTGATGAGCAAGTACATCTCTGGCGACGGAGTTTTGATATTCAACCTCCGGAAACGAGTGAGGAGTATCGTGCTTCGGAGGACGAAGGGGGGAGGTATGCGAGTCAGGGGATTGAAGTGCCCAAAACGGAATGTTTGAAGGATGTTTTGAAGAGGACTTTGCCGTTTTGGGAAAGTGATATTGTGCCGGAGTTGAAGAAGGAAAGTGTGGTGTTGATTGCCGCCCATGGGAATAGTCTGAGGGCGTTGATGAAGGAGCTGGAGGGGATTAGTGACGAGGATATTCCGGGCGTGGAAATCCCAACGGGAGTGCCGATCGTCTATGAGTTAGATGAGAACTTTAAGGGTAAAGGGAAAGAGTTGAAGTAGGCAGAAGGCTGTCGTGAGTAAAAGTCGAAATGCTCGCTGTTGAGTGGATCTAGTCCTGTAGTACCGCTTATGACGCCCTGTGGCTCAAAATAACGTAACGCAAGAGAATCTATGCTTTCGCCTCATGCAGTCGCAGAGTGACCAGGTTTGCTGGGCAGTTTGTCAACGACAAGTTCGAAGTCACGACGCCCTCGAGTGCTCCAGGTGGGGCTTCAATCTTGTCGAACTTCTGTAGCAGTCGCACAATGACATATGCCGCTTCTGTGAGAGCGAACTGCTGACCGATACATATTCTTGGCCCTCCGTTGAAAGGCAGATACTCCCAGCCAGGTCTCCTGTTGGCAAAGCGTTCCGGGTGGAACTCTTCGGCATCTTCACCCCAGAGATCCTTTCTTCGGTGCATGACGTGGATGCTGTAGTCGATACCTGTCTCCTTGGGGATGAAGACTGGCAAGTCACCATTTGGTCCACCTCCCCGAGGTAGGGTGGTGGCTTTGTTGGAACGACGTCCGTTACCCGGTACGACTGGCCACAGTCGGTTGACCTCGTTCAAGGTGTACTGCAAGTACTGGCATCCCTTCAGCGTGCTGAATGTAATCTCCTTGGGGTCGTCATATGTGCCGAAGGTCTCAATAATAGTTGCTCGCAGCTTTTCGAATACTTCTGGGTGTCTCAGAAGCTGATGGAAGGTCCATGACAGGAGAGAGGCCGTCGTGTCTCGCCCAGCGAGCAGAATGTTAAGAAGCTGAGCGCGGAGCTCAACAGGGTCACGCGTCTGCTTGACGAGCTGCTCCAAGAAGATGTACTTCTCCTTATCCTCTGTCTTTTCGGGCGTAGTTGTTCCTTGTGCCAGCGCAAGATCGACGTAGCGTGTGATGAATTGGTTACAAATCTCCCCGTTGACCTTGTATTCTTTCGGATTGTGCAACCAATGCATGTCACCGTATCTGAATTTCTTGGCCATTGTCATCTGTGCTTGATCGAAGTTGACACTGAATGATCGTTCGGCATGTTCTTGCGCACCAGACTTGCCAGTATCCACACCTGAGGCCTCAGCAATCTGTGAGTCAACGGACTCTCCAAACAGGAATTCGGTGGCGGCGTCGATAGTCAGGCGGAAGAAGCGTGTCTGAATGTCCAGGAAATCAGTCCAACCATCGTTCTTGACAGGCATAACCTTGAACAAGTCTTGAACATGTCGCTCTTCCATATCGAGATCCGAGACCTGCTCGCGCACGAAGTTTGGTCGAAGCATCGCTCTAGAGTGCTCCCATTTCTTTCCGTCTTGAACAAACTGCTCAATAGTCAGCTGCTGCGGTCTGTGGCAAGATACTGACATACAATGCCGTCTCCAAGGACCTCTCCCATAATGGCATGTCTGGTCGGGCCAAGATCATAATCTGCAAACTGTGTAGCCAACATCTGAAGAATCCCAATCATGTCAGTGATGGTTCGTATCAACGCCCAGCGTCAATTTGCTCACAGCCTTGATGTTCTCTGGATCACTGGTGAAGAAGATCGTTTGGCCAAGCACAGTGTATTTGAAGGTCGTGACAAGACGACCCAGCTGTGAGCTGATAACTCTCTGTCGCTCGGCCAAAAAGTCCGGGAACTGTTTTCTCGCATCGGCGGCTTGCAACTCTTTCACATGTTTGAGGCCCATGAACCCGCAATCGGGATACATAGGTGCTTCTGCACATCCAAGTTGTCGAGCCTTGACTACGATGTGTCAGTCGAGAACTCAGACATGGCTGATGGTTGACGTGCCAGCATTTTGGATCCGAGTGAGAACGATGACGAGCACCTTGTACGCAGCTAAAGCTGCCAGACCGACCAGGCCATAGAAAATAGAGGTGTGCATTCTGCGGTCTCTCGGCACGCGAGTGAATTGACGCAGCTGTTTGAATCTTTCGAGACGCAGTAAGCACTGTTTGTCAGAGAGCAGCGAGACTATATCGCTTTATATTAGGCAACCCTAAAGCGTGACGATTCCTGCAGGAGGAAATGTGGCTAATCCTGGCAACTTGAGGTGAAAATGAGCCAATGTTCTGTCGAAAGATGCCGCGCAACACGCGGGCTAACAGGCATGCCGCGTTGACGAGTGAAGTGGAGAGGAAAGGTCACCATCAAGCACGATCAAGTCGAACCGAAAGGTTGCTCGCAGTCGTGTTGGCCGAGATGTGGCATCCAACCCCGCTGCTATGGAGCCGAGCGCCACTAAAATCCAGGCAGCGGATCTTGGCCGGCGAGGAGGATTTACAGCTGGGAGGCCTAATATACGACGTTCCAGCTGATGATATCGTCGTTGCGTGGAACATTTTTAGAATCGTGTATCATGTTCTCAGAGCTTGCATCACCATGTGCATACCGTGCGACGTCGTTCAGTTCGCATGGCTTTTACGGCCGTGTATCTGCACAAAGAGGAGATCGCGTCTTGTGGCGCGTCTTATGTTCGGGCTTGATGACAGATCAAGCCGCAGACGTTCGTTCCTGGCGGATGACTAGCTGCATCTCGACCGGCTGACTACTACTAGAGGTCGGTTGGAGTCAGCATAAACGAGATTCGAGCGAATGTGAATCCCTGGCCCAGCCCAACATCAGGACGGAGGCGGCCAATCCGAAGTGAGCCCTACCACCTGCGAACACAAGCTGCATGTCACCACCCTACGGCCTTGAGCGCTTGATTTCCTGATACCCGCTCCCAGATGAATGCTGATTAATCGACTGGTGACACCGAGGCACATAAGCGCAGGCGCACTATGAAATTGCGGGCTATGATGAGTATGGGAACTCGCGTCAGGAAACCACAGTTGCGCATCCACGGCGGAGTTCAGTCGATGTGATGTTGTACAGTAGTCAGCGGAGGCTAGTTCAACCTCAGGCAGGTGCCAGGGAACATGGGTTGCGACCATGGCAGGGATTGCCAACTCCTCGTAACACATTCTCCACCGCACGGGATTCAGAGTTACTCGGGTCACTAATCATCACTTTTCGATCAAGCGCCGGACGCATGAGACTGGTACGCCGGCGAACAGAGCGGTGAAAAAGACAGATACCGCTCAGATTCGACCGAAGGCGGCTTGAAAAGTTATGGGCGGCTAAGGTGGTCTCATAGTAGCCGTGCAGCGCAAAACAGTTGTCCCATCTCTTGCGCAATCATGCTCGGCCATGTTGCTGTTCCGGAGGGCATTGATCCGGGCATACCTCGAATCGATGTCCATCGTTGCACCGTGGTTGGGTACTTTTCGCAATCGTACGCGCGGCGTCCACATTTCGTTCAGCAGCGACTTTGAGCGGCGCGTGTGTCGTACTCCCGCACATCAGGCTGCGTCTTCGGAAGTCCATCTAAGATGACCGCAAATATGGGCCAGAAGACATAGTGCCAGTGTCGGCTTGCGGATAGCGGAGTCGACAGGCATTCCTCGAGCGTCGTTGATCTTTCGATGCTGGAGTGGACCGTGCAGCAAATACATGGTGGCCATATCGAGCGTGCCAAGTCACGTCGAATCGGTCTTTATTGGTCGAGCTTCCTGTGTGTCGTCGGACACGGTACAATCTTCGCTCTCTTGTTTATTCGTGGCAGTGCTGTATCGTTCATTTGTAGCGTGAATCAGATGCACGATTGAAGCAGCTCAACATCAGGTCAGCCCTTTTGCTGTGACACGTTTAATGTTCGGAAAAGGGGTTTCGCACTGCTCTGGTGAGCATTGGGTTTCGTCGTCGACTCGAGATCATGCAGATGGTGTCCTTGTGGGCGAGACTTGCGGCAAAGCTCGATTTCCTTGTCGACTGCTAAGCTTGAGCCAAGTCGTCCTGGCGCGATGGTCGTCCAAAGTTCGGACTACCTGGTAGAGTAGAAGAGCAAGGCCATACAGTAAGATGTAGTTGCTGTCGTCGTCGCTTGAACCAGGAATAATGGGTGTGATCCAGGTGCACGCCGAACGACATCGACAGCGAGGCTACAGAGCTTTTTTTCCGCTGTGAAGGAGGCCACGACGCCTTCCACGTTCTGAGTGCTGAAGGCTGCGCTAGTTTGACGTTACGAGGCTCGAGCCAATCCTGTGGGGCGGTAGTTAGTGAGCGGCTGCTTGCAGCGCCATCTTTGTGCTCGTGGTCTGAGAATAGAAATGATCCTTCGTTGCAGCATGTGCAATGCGTGTAAAGGTCTACGAAGGAACATATGAGCTGCGGGCTCTACAAAAAGACGGCAGTATCAATTGGATGTGAACACGTCCATGTATATTTTATTCGTAAAGTCGTTATAGTAAGGATGCTGGCATTGCCGTTCACCGCATCCAGGTTCCGCTAAGCCACAGACCGTGATGCGTGTAAGTTCGCCCGAATCTAGCAAGGTGACCTGCAAGATGTAGCTCCGCATGTGCACATTTGAAGGCGGCTCACTCGGACGTGGTGTCGCGGCGGGCATGTCGAAGAGAGCGAGCAGATGGCAGTGCCCAGGACGGCATCGCACTCCCGCGGGCGGAGCGGAGCTGAGTGCGGGCCGATCTCGTTCGCTTGCATCTCCGCCATGACGCCCACGATCTATTCAAGATTGAGTTTCGGCCTCTTGTTCATTGGCTATCGTGCGCTCGGCCAGTGAGCTCTCCTCCCATTATCATCATCAACATCTTCACGGGCACAGCGACCTCTTGATTGAATCGTCGCAGCAAAGGTCAAGCCCGTACAACCGCACGACATACGATCATGGCTTCAAGACAGAACCTCGTCCGGACGGCCACCAAAACAGCCAAACCATCTCCAGGAACCCGAAATGCCTCCAGTCGAGCTGCTTTCCTCGCACAGCGGGCAGAACGAGTCGCGACCATCTCTTACCACGCACGCGCAGCACGTAAACAAGGCCAGCTCCGACGCTCCGTCTTTGCCATCATTGCGGCGGGAGGTCTTGCCACGGCTTCGCAATACTACGTGAACAATGGCCACTTCGTTCGCCAAGCACATGCGGAAGCTCCACAGGAAGAGGAGGAGAATCCTCTCATCTTCGAGAAGAGTCGAAAGAAGAAGAACGCCAGCGTAGAAGAAAACCGAGATATGATCAGCAGCCAGCACCATCAGGTCAAGCAAAGTTGGGAGAAGCCTGGAGTGTATGCGTGGGGCAGCAACAGTGGCAAGGTCGTGGCTCCTGACAGTGATGACAAGTACATCAAGACACCTCGACGGATAACCTACTTCGATGGGATGCTGCTCAGAGACATCAAGCTCGATCGCAACTTTGGCGCCGCCATCGACGAAAAGGGCGATCTGATGCAGTGGGGAAACGGATTCATGGCAGACCTCAAAGCTCCGGTGCGAACGTTGACAGGCAAAGACTTGGTCAGCTTGAGCATCACGAAGGATCGCATCATTGGACTGTCTAAAAGCGGCAATGTCTACAGCATACCCTCATCCGCTGAAGAGCAGGAAACTGGCTCAAAGCCATCAGAGTCAAGCTGGATACCTTTCTGGAGCGGCCGAAGCAACATCTCCTACCGTGATCTGACGCCAAAAACTCTGGGACGAGGTGAAAAGGTCAATTCCGTCGCTGCTGGCCTCGAACATGCGCTTTTCCTGACGTCCAAGGGCCGGGTCTTCTCCGCAGCTGCTGCATCAGACTCATTTCCGTCTCGCGGTCAACTAGGTGTACCCGGTTTGACTTGGGGTACACGCCCGGAAGGCGCTTTCGATCAACCGCACGAAGTCACCACCCTTCGTGGCTTCGACATTATCAAAGTTGCTAGTGGTGATCATCATTCCCTGGCCCTCGACAAGGATGGGCGTGTGTTCGCATGGGGCGATAACATGGCCGGACAGCTCGGTTTCGACAATACCGCTGAAGCTATGACGGTTGATGCGCCAAGTTTACTGCCAACACAGAAGCTATATTCTGGCACAAGCCAGACGCCCAAGATCACCGACATCGCTGCTGGAGGTGAGAACAGCTACATGACTGTGGAAGCCACCCGGGTTGCATCGCAAAAAGACGATCCGGACGATCCGAGGACAAGGCTGCAAGTCGGTCGCGTGACGGCAGACACGTTTGCGTTTGGCTCTGGCATCCGCGGCAATTTGGCGAACAATAGGTGGACACACGTGCAAAGTACGCCTGCAAAGATCCCGACCCTCTCTGGTCTGTTCGAATACGACGAGAAGACCAACACTACTGTACCCATCCGCTTGCAAAGCCTATCTGTGGGCTCCACTCATGCGGCCGCTGTCATGAAAAATATCACATACACCGATGCCTCATCCAAAACTAGCAACGACGACACGAACTGGGGCGCAGACATCGTGTTCTGGGGCGGAAATGAGCACTATCAACTCGGCACCGGAAAGCGCAACAATGTGAGCGCTCCGACATACCTTCAACCCCTGGACGCGGAAGCTGAGCTGAAGCGCGCAAAGAAGAGTTCAGGGGCGAAAGAAGAGCATCGATTCCACATCACGCCACGTGCATATGCTAAGCTCGGTGATGGACGTTGGAAATGGGTTGAGCAGAGGGTTGAGTGTGGGCGTGGATGCACTGCGGTGTACAGCGGCACATGAGATTGCACAGAGGAACAAAACTCCAAATATTGAAACATTAGCGGGCGTTTATATAAAATGTAGATACCAGATAGTCATGACTGTAGCATCACAACAAACTCCTTTCAACTCTAGACGAACGCCAGCATGAATGCTCAAACAGAGACTAAGACAAGTCACAGGTCGAGACCCAGCTGTCGTTCTGCCATTTTTCCAAACTCCTCGCCAAAGTCGAATCGAACACGATCCAAGCTCGCAAATCATCCTCCTCTTTCCATTTCTTTTCTCATGGCCGCCCACCTCGACAAACCGCCTCAGTCCCAACAACATACGCACACAACTGTTGCTCGTAAGTGTGCACTCTCACGACACACCGATCCTTCTCCACCATCGCCTCCAACTCCTTATGCACCTTCAACCTCTCCTTCTCCGCTTCCTTCCAATCATCAGCCTTAAAGCCAATCTGTTCCCTACCCCCATAACACAAAACCCCAGGCGAAAGTTTCACTTTATCACCCTTGAAAGGAATCGGGAGTCCAAATTCCATCGTCGTTTGCGAGATGCTACCTCGATGCGTCGGTTTGAATTTCGTTTGTAATCTGAGACTCGGCGGAGTAGGACCAGCTTTGATGTAGACGTATAAGTTCCTGATGAGAGATCTGTGTTCCGGAGTGAGGGCTTGCAGGAAGGCTTTGACGTCCTCGTATGAGCCGATGAAGGCTCGGGTTGGGTAGTCAACGATGGTAGCCATGCTTACGCTGGAATCTACGATTTGCCTCTGGGAATCGCTTGCTTCACGCGATTGCTCTCCAGCCACTCTGCTGCGCTTACTGATGAACAGATTCGCAGGGATAGAGAACTTCAAATTTGATGCTCTCTGAAAATCTGTCGCTCCGCTTGCCTCGCTGAAAACTTCACGGCTTTGCTTAGTGGCGTCGAGATGCGTGGAGAGTTGATCTGTCGCGTCTTCTCTGCAGGACCGTCTTGCACTCGTCTTGTTGAAAGCTACTTTGCTGCACTTCGTGGTGTTCAGATACGTAGAGGGCCCGATCTATCGTATTCGTGCTTCCAGATCTCACAATTTGCAGAGATTATCTGTGGTATACGTTGCGTGCGGAATTCAAGGAGAGTATGTAGTTGGCGATAGTAAAAGACTGTGTATACTGCAAAGGTGTGAGTATGTGAGATGACGAGGGAGACCTACCGAAGCATTTATTCCTCAAAGATTTTGTCTTCAAAAACAAGGTATTTTCAAGACTCGAGACCACAGACGAGTGGATCGCGGTGTTGATAATAGGCAAGTATCGAGCCACGGGTCGCGTGGGAAAAAATGCGAGAATTTCTTGGTTCATGGCGCAAAGCGGGCATCTACCAGTTGTCTGGTCTGGTAGGAGCAAAAGGCAAAGGTCTACATTTGAACTTTGATGCCAAGTACCGATGGCACAATGTCAACTGAGCGCCAACACTGTACGTGAAGAAACCAGGTTGTTACTGGGACTTTGGAGCGAATCGACCAGAGAACTGTGACTGTCAGCACCAGCAAGAATCGAAGGAGGTAGGGAGTGCGTATGAGAGAAGTCGGGAACACGGGAAGAGCCTTTCATGAAGAACTGCGCCATGTATCCAAGATACTCGTGAATAGGAGAAAGTCCGCCATGCTTGAACGCTTGCAAAAAGCACATGCCCCTCCCAATCACCCGAACTGTGTCATCACCTCCCTAAGTATCGATGCTGAAGCCCTGTGGCCGCTGTCTCTACGCAAAATCTTAATCAGTGCAACAATTCAACCCAAGCTTTCTGATCATCGTAACTATCCGTAATGCATGTCCCAAATGCGGCTGCTGTGGTGGCGGCTGTCTTTTGTACTACGCTTGTACGGCCCCACCTACTGTGTCGTGACCGTTGGTCTGCTGTTGGCGAGCGAGAAATTGCTCTCGCATGACATCGTAGAGGAACATGAACTGTGCCTCGCTCTGGACCATCATCATGCGCTGCTGCCGTAGTTGGTCAACAGTGTCGAGGATCGGATCATCTTCAGGCCCGACATTGTCCAGCTGACCAGTCAGGAGGAGACTGAGGAGGTAGTCTAGCGCAATGAAGGTGCCTGATCGTCCAACGCCAGCAGAGCAATGCACAATGCGCGGGTTATCCTGATCGGTCTGAATAAGATCTTCTGCGAAAGAAGTACCATTCGCGGTTGCGTCCGTGTCAGTGGAGGCTTTGCGGTTTAATCGTGCCGAAAGTCTGATCAACTGCACCAAAGCTCGACGTTCCTCGCCTTCGGGCACCAGAAAGTCGGGCCAGCCCGAAAATAGCAAGTGCTTCACTTCCATCTCACGAGAACCATCGTCATTCGTCGACGTCTTCACTTTCATGGTCCGGATATCGGTCCTCGTTTGCGCATCGTGCTGTATGTCCACCAGGTCCACCTCTCCTTGGAAACCGTCATCGTACTGCGCATCGGGAGGAATGACCAGCGTTTTCTGTTCCTCATTGAGTGGGTAATACTGGAAGCATTTCTCCCTTCCGGCTTCATGTGTCTGCGTGAGCATGACAACCACCGCGGGGCTTTGCAATTCCCCTACCACCATGCGATAAAAGTGATTGACACTAGTATCCTTGGGCCCTTGCGTGGAAATGTATCGCCTCTTGCCCAACCGAATGGGTGATGCATTGATGTAATCTGAAACTCCCTCAGCCACTTTTAGCTTGATCCTGTTCTGGGCGTACGGCTCGACGTTGAGATATCGATTGCGCTCTTTGACTGCGTCATCGTTCAAGCGGGCGAATTGTGGTAGCGGGTCGCTGGGATCGAGGGGGTGCTGCGTCCCTTGGAGAAGGCGATTCCGCTGCTGCCATTCGAGATCGATGAACTTGTTGTGCAGATCGATTCGAGTTTGCCTGAGGAAGGTGGGCAGAGCGGAGGCGGCCATGTGGTGGTGGGTGCGGGAGGAGACAGAAGGCGGGTGCGCGCATGCGGCAGCTGAAGAGGCAGTACTACTACTTGTCTTGTTCCAGCCGTTTCTGGCACGCGCCAGCATGGACCGCGGTGTGTAGGACGAAATGCTTGCTGGTCTTGTTCTTTATGTCGCCGGCCAATTTCTGAAACGGCAGTCAGGCAAGATGGGGTGGGATGGCGGGGAAGCAGCGAGGGAGGGGAGAGGGGAATTATAGTACAAGTACAAGTCGGGAAGGAAGGAAGGAGGTGAATGGGAGGGCGGCGTCGACACAGAGGCCTCAGGTCGTGTTGTTCTCTGTGAAGCTCGACGTTCGCGGCCTCCAATCATGAGCCTGCGTCATACAATCTGAAACCGACGCTCCAAAACTCTCGTGTTTCGCCATCTGCAGCCTCAGCTCCGAAGCTCCGACGAACCGCCCATCCATGACAAGTCTATTCTCGGACGCTTCTCTGCAGCGTGCGCGCCATCAACCTTTTGTCATCGCCGCAAACAACCCGTGCTTGCGTGCAGAAGGTGACTTGAGGCAATCGGAATGCCCAAACAGGCATACTTCACGACACGCATGATTCGTGAAGCATCGTCAACTGCGTAGCATAACAGAGCTCGCCACTGCCGAGTCTTGCCGTATATTATAGTTGGCTGCGGCAACTGACATTCTACCATATTCTCCGTCTAGGTGGGGCAATCTTGTTGGTCGTCTCGCATGTACAAACAACAACAATAGTGCATCGATCATGGCTCCGTGGCTACGAGTCCTCGAAGCCTACGCCGTACAAGCCCTGCTCCGCACTCCGGCCTTCCACCGCGGCGTCGAGAAGGTTGCAAAGCAAGTGCATCGCATCCGTCACGGCCTTCCCTACGAAGAACCAGGTGGCACAAATATATCCGATCCATCTCAACCGACGTTCCGAAAACACTTTCTTGATGAACTCAAAGGCCAGCTCGGGCAAGCAGAGCGAGAGGAGCTGGAAGGAGCGATGAGGACCAAGGGCGTGAACGAGGACAGCATCAATGCCCGAGGCGCTGTAGGAGACGCCGATGTGGAGCGAGCAGAGCAAGTCTGGCAAAAGATGCAGCGAAAAGCAGGGCAGACTGCTACCAAAGACAAGACAACGACAGAGGATGAGCGGGTCAATGCACACCACGCATGGAAAGAGGCACAGGATAGATTGAACGAGGAACCCAAGCCTGGCTTCATGAGCGCGTACATGGATGCCATCAAGGAACAGATTCGAAATGGCAAGCCTCCGAGATGAGAGGCGATGACCAGGCGACAACTTTACAACGATGAGACGAGACGAGTGACGGCAAAACTGTTTAAAGGCATTCAAGGTGGCCAAGAAACCACGAGGCCCTCTTCAAAGCCAGCCAACCGGGGCGAAATCTGCCGGAACGCAGTTGTGGCTCCAAGAGTCGCAAAGCACCTCCGAACTCCGCTCTGGCCTTCGACCTGGCCATCGAAGGATGTGAGTCGCACGTGCGGTATCGAGACGGACTCAGTGCCCGATGCAGTCCAAATGGGCCATCTACCATGGAACAACACGCGCTTCCACGTAAAGTACGCTCGTCGGCGCCGCTCTCTGACATCGTGACTTCGATGTTTCCCCCGCTCAAGAGACGAGCAAAGCAGACTCGCGCGTCAACTTTACATCTACAGTCCAGACAACGAGCTGTTTGGATCACAATCAGCCAAAACTCCGTTCCGCCTGCAATATCCTCGGAGTTGTTCAGGGCTGGAATGGGAATCCTGTTGCACGGACGTCCTCTTCTCTCGAACGAGCGGAATTGATGAAAGGATAGAGAGAGAAGCATATAGGACAAGCACAAAATATACACACGTATGTATATATGGACATCTGTTGATCTGGTGCTAAAATATGCCCTCATCAAAACAACGAGTCGCGATATTCTGCTGCAGATGATTGATCTCTTCGCAAAGCTTCTTTCATGTCGACTTCCACTCTGTTCTGTCTGCTGTCAAAGCGCCTCTTGCGCCTGCTCTGCTCCTTCCAAAAGTTTCCAACTTTCCCCAAAATTTGTGGACTCCAATCCGAACGCCCCCAGCGAACCAGCAAATGATATTCACAGAAACATAGTCTTCCTCGCTCACATCCTGGAACTAGGACGAAACAGTCACCGGCTTCCCATTCAACCTCTCCGGCTGGCTCTTGCTCTTTGCTCGCAAAAAGTCTTCGACTTGTGCTTGTGTCAATTCATCCACTCGAGGATCCTCCTTCACAACCTCTTCCTTCTTCTTCTCCTCCTCCTCCTTGTGACCAGCGAGGCCCACCGTCTCCGCAACGCGCCCTACAGCGTTCACAACAGCAGCCTGCGCTTGCCCGGCGTACTCCTGCACCTGTTCTACTATCCCAGGTTGTGACTCCTCCTCCCTCGTCAAGGGAGTCTCTTTGGGCGCTTGCCCTACAGTTCGGGGCTCCATGACGCTGTGCTCGGTTCCTTGCCCATCGATTTGTGTATGCGGTGTGCCAGAGGCGAGCTGGCCTTCGGCGTGAGTGTTGGTTTGCTGTGTTTGTTTCGTTGCAGAGGTCCCTTGTCGGGCTCCTTCGGGCGGGTGGGCAATGGCATTTTCGGGATCGGCGTAGGGGACGGTGTAGGTTCCTTGTCTGCTTTCGGGTGGAGAATGTGCGTCTGGTGATTTGCCGATGTCGTTGAGAGGTTTGGCTTCGGGCTGCTTGTCTGCTGGCAATGCGGACTCTTCAGTGGTTTGTGGGTTCACATTGTCCGCGGACATGACGTTGGGATTCGTTGTGGTCGAGGACATGGCGTCGGGGTTCGTCGCGGTCGTGTTGCTTGCGGGGTCGAGGTTTGCGCCGGCGGTGCTGTTGGCAAGTTGTTCCTTCTCCTCCTTGTTCAGCTCAGTCTTTGCGTTTTGCCCGCTGACTGTTGCGAACAAGGCGGATTGTGTTCTATTCAAGGTCTGGCGCCCAGGACTTAACGATAACTTGGCCACGCCAGCTTCAGGATGCAGCCCCGCAATGATGCGCCTCCGCGGTTTCCCAGCTTCTGTACCAATTGCAATCGCTACCAAGTCTCCGTCTTCGTCATACTCCCATTTTATGGGTCCTGTAGGCAAGGTCTTGTGTCCGTTTTCTTCTATCACTTCCTTCCAGCGCAGGCTTTCTGTTACGTTCGGTCCAAGATATGGCATGTCTCCAAAACTCCAATCCAGTTTCCCGCCGTACTTTTTAGGGATGTTTTCTACATCGATAACTTTTGACAGTTCTGAGAGCATATTCTTATCGTTGAGAATATAGATCTTGGACACCGTAATCGGATCGAACCAAGCCTTTGCCCAGTCCCATAATGTATTGAAGAAAGAGGGGGCACCAATGACGAAGATGCGATCCAAGGTTTCCGGATAATGTGCTGTCGCCAGAGAAGAGCTGTCTTGCAAATGTGATCGCAATGTCCAAAATTGCTTCAAACCGACTTTGCTCAAATCCACGATGTTTGCACTCTGGCTGACAGGCGTTTCGGTCGATTGTCGCTCTGGCACAGCGGAGCAGAGCGGAAGCACAAAGCGACACAGGTTCTCGTACAGGGCGAAGAGTCGCAACATCTTACGAGGTGCCTTTGCCTTGATATCCATCTTCTCACCCTTCTTGGCTTTCTTTTCCTTTTTCCGGTCCTCGTCGTTCTGGTAGGCATTGATGTCCTTTGTGTTCAGGTTGGCGACCTCAAAGACGTATAGCGGGATCCCGCGCTTGTCCATTCTGCCTGTCCATTGTGGATAGAGTCGCCGTGTCGCCTCGTACTCCTCGATATCTATGGTTTCGTAGAGTGTGTCCAGCTGGTTCTCTTTCCGCCAGTCCTCGGTGGCTGAGAATTGGCCAAACGCATCTTGAGGCACAAACTTCCTCGCACGGAGGTACCGGAGCATGGTCTCGTCATCGTGTGAAGCGGCTGTTTTCTCGTCTCCAGGATCATAGTAGCCTTTTTGCTGAGCTATCGCTTTAAATTTATCCAATGCGCCCCGCTGTCCCTCGCTGAGATGTCCAACATGTCCAGCAGGCCACTGCAATGCTGTCAGAGAAGGGTCAATTGTGCATGAATGGAGGTGAAGTGATACCTGATACGAGTTGACTCGTTTGAGTTCCGCACCGTCCGGCCGACTCATGCTGTCCGAGTTGAGAACGAGCAGTCGGCGATTGTTGCGAATTCGACGGCAAATGAAGCTGTATGTACAGAATGACGATGGCTCACTCGGCGAGGGAAGGTTTTAGTGCTGAGAGGCAGCGCGAGGGAACGACTTTATGACGTGTGCCGGCATTCCGGTGTCATTGCTCACAAAGGATCTTGGGCGTGCACGCGCTGTGCGCGGGTGGTGCATTGTCCGTTGTCCGTGATCCGAAGATTTATTATCACCACGGCGGGCCAATGCAGGCTCGCTCGTGTAGAAAGCTCCGGGCGATGGCGATGGCAGGCGTCTGTCAGACGGCGCCAGATCTCAGCGCGCGCGCCAGGCACCGCTCGTCCAGCATGTCCATGTTCGCAGCCAGTCGGCCGTTGCACTTCCTCCAGAGCCGCACTATGAAGCTCTCTGGCTGTCTGGCCCGCTGCCCCGTGCTCGCCAAACGCGCCCGCCATGACCGCATGGATTCCAATCCTGCACCCACAGGGCTGTCATGTGCATCTTTTTCGTACAGAAACTGCACGTCTATAACTAAGCAGGCCACCTTCGTCCGGCTCTTCCGGCCTTAGGCTCGCCCAGAACCCCGTCCTTTGACAAAAGCAGATGAGAAATCACAGGGAACACTCTGCTATACTCCGGCCGAGCAGTGCGTATGGTGATGCCCTTTCTCTTCATCCCCTACATAAGCACTTCGCTCCGCCAGTGCTATGCCAACACATCAGGCCAGCAGTTAGGTACACAGTTGTCACAGAGTTAGTGGCGTTTGGCTTCACATCCTCTAGGAAGATACAGACCAGCATATGCAGTGTTGTCGGTCAGCTGCAGGCTAATTATGGTCCCATAGAATCCGGTCGCCGAAATTTGGAACGGAACGCTACGACTACTGCACGGGAAGATTGATAGCGGCAACGAATATGATCTTGATATTCATGATATGCTGCTCCCAAATCCATCCTGACTGCTTTGGTAGGAGATAATTGACTGTGCAAGAGAGTAATAAGGCTACTGTCGTCAAAGCGTTCGCCCAGAGATGTCCAACTGCCAAGGGACTTCTACAATGCTTTCCTGAATTGTCGTCAAATTCGACTCGGTCTCAGAAACCAAACAACTACATGTAGTCAAGAACCAAAGATGATTTTGTGATCATCATTGTACAATGTGCAGAGTGCTGTGAGCGGTTGGAGGGAAAAGTGAATCGTTTTCGCGTCATCGAACCAAATGACGGCATCGCGCTCTTGAGGCCTCCAGCTTCAACACCGCGGCTTCCGACTTCGCGAGTGCCGCACGCATTGTCTGCCACCTCGACACATTCCCGCCGACATGAACGACATACTCGGCGCCGAAGACGTCCCGCCCATCTTCCACCTGCCAGACGAACTGCTCGAGCTGATCATCGAATATCTCCCGCCAACCGCCACTCTCGCATTTGGGACGACCTCGCGCCGCAGCAATAAGATTGTATACGAGCCGCTCGTCTGGCGGCGACATTGCGTCCAGACATGGAAGTACTGGCAGCCCGAACGCGAATTCGGCGACAAGCTGCACTCGCCGCCAGCTCAGACTAAATGGCGAATGCTATACAACGAACGCGCCAGGATTGACCGAGAAGCGACTGACCTCTTTAATGAGGCGCTTCTGACACAACAAAATCGTTATGCACGGATGGAGGAGATTGCAAACTATGGCTACGATGTCAAAGACCTCATGTTGAGGCTAAGGGACGAGACACCCGACGATGCCGAAGATGTGCTTGCACGGCGATTTCACGCGGATGCATTATTGGGACAGATACATCGCGCTACGGCATTGGAAAAATGGATGCGGTTGCAGCGACGACAAATGGTCCGGTTAGAAGAGGTCCTGGGCGCCTACGACTTGTTCGTGCTTAGTGGGCATAATGGCGACCTCAACGATATCGATAAAGAACTGGATCGGCTCGCTGATCAGGTGCGGCATCAAAACGGTGAGGATGAATTTGACGAGCTCAGTGTCCGACGGAAAGCTGTTCTCGTGGCCGAGTATCTGCGCTCCCAAGGTCTACTGGCCAATGCCGGGCATGAGAACTACCATGCATTACGGAACAATTTCTTGTCGATGGCTTTATTCGAGGAGAATTATACCTGTCTGCCACTCCAAGCTGTAGCAATATACTGTGCCGTTGCTCGCAGGCTGGGGATCAACGCCAAGCCTTCAAATTATCCGCAGCACGTCCATGCTGTGATCGAGGCGCCTTCTGGAATGACATTGGACGGCAAGCACATCATGGTAATAGCAGGCGCGGAGCCGGAATTGATGCATATGGATCCGTGGCGAAGCCACGAGGAAGTACCTCTGGACCAACTCCGTCTACGGCTGCTACAAATGGGAGCTCCTGACCACCAGCACACTCATCACCTTAGCGCCACAACCTCTCTCGAAATGTGCCTGCGCACTGGCCGTAATATCATGGCATCCGTGCAAGAAGCACGCGAGCGTCATCGTGCAATTGACGACATGTCTGGTCCTGACATTGAAGCAGCATGGTACAGTATGCTCTGGTCAATGATCATCCTTGGCGATAACAACAGCGCCAGCACTCTGCACCGCCGACGCCAATGCCTGCCATACCTCGTCGAGCACTTCCAAGCTCACTTTCCTGAAGATATCAGCCTGATTGAGAAGTATCTCCCGACCATGTTCGCAGGCGAACGTGAACATAGCATTCTCCTCCACCTCATCAACGAACGCCGCACAGACGACCGCAACAAGAAAGCCCCCACGTTCCGAACGGCCGAGGCCGCGAATGTCACATATTGCATCGGCACACACTTCCGCCACAAACGCTACTCGTACGAAGGTGTCGTTGTCGGCTGGGACAGGCGCTGCTCGGCCGAACAACGCTGGATCGAACAAATGCGCGTGGATGACCTTCCGCGCGGCAGAGAACAACCGTTCTATAACATCGTGTACGATCAAGACCCCACTCGTGCTCGGCTCTTACCCGCCAGCATGGCGAGACACTATTATATGGTGCTCTGTGTCGCTCGTGGTGCTGACGATGCTGCGTCTTCTAGGGCCGACGATAAGAGTGTGCGGTACGTTGCGGAAGAAAACATCGAAGTCGTGGATGAGCCGGATGAGCGGCCGAGTGAGGTACTGATGGCTTTGGCGGGGAGGTACTTCAAAAGATGGGACCAGAAGGAGAGAATATTCGTGAGTAATATCAAAGATGAGTACCCGGATGACTAGGTTAGCCACGAACAAGAACTGTGGGGTTTGGACAACTTCCCTGGCACGAGTAAACGATGCAATGAAGATAGATGATTGAGATGTTGTCCACCAAGATGGCAACTACACACCAGGGTATTAATTGGACTTCAAGACAACATAATGTTCGGATCCTGTCGCTCCAGTTCCTCGACCTTCCTCGCCACAGCTTCCATGCATTCATCTTTCTGGTAAACCAGCATATCTGGCCACCCATGCTGTCGAAACACTTCGACCGCCACCTTCTTCGCCCTGTATATATCATCATTCGGGTGTTCCTCTCCCTCCCTTACCACCGCAAAATTATCCTCAACTCTCCGTCCAGATGTAGGCAGGAAATTCAATTCTCGAAAATGAAATTTCAACATCTCAAAGAACTCCTCAATCCCCCAACCACATTTCAACCCCGAACCTGCATTCCGCCACATCTCCTCTTCAGGCGCGTAGTCAAATGATTCATCTCGAATTGCTTGGAACGGCGCATCGGGATGCATTGCGTAGCCTACAGCTGCGGGATGGAAATTTCCTCCTGGCCAGTAAATTACACCGAGATGGGTGTCGAGGAACATTGCGTTCTCTCTGCCGATGGCGAGACCGATGACGTGGGGTGGGATATTGTCCCATATGCCGTGAGTGACGGCGCTGTAAAATTCTGCGGGGTTTTGGTCTTTGATGAAGAAGGTTTCTGGTGAGAGGATTGTACGGGCAATGGAGGAGTAGTCTGCGAGGTGACAATGCGGTGCGACTAGTTTATTTGCGTTAGTTGGAGGGGGAATAGGATCATAATTGCTCGTGTAAGGCGTACTGTCGTGGCACAGGCCAGAAGGTTTTATGTATGGTAGGTGTCGAAGGAGTTCGATGACTTCGTCTGTCTTGCCCAGAGGTCGCAGGTTTGTGATTGTGATTTCTTCCCAGCCTTCTGTGGGAGGAAAGACGATTTGTTCTGGATCTAGGTATAGCTCTGTCAAGAACAAGAAATATTCCTTGAAGGCTGCGATAGTTGCTTCGCGGGAATAAGAGATATTGCATAGGTCTAGAGTCTCTGAGATTGATAGTAGTCCACTCTCGGATGCACAGTCGCATTCTGGGACATCTGAGTCGTTGTCCGACATTGTATGCTGAAGCAGAGGGTGGGAAGATGCAAGGTGATTTGAACCGTCTATCTTGCGTTCGTGTTGATATAGTGTTGGGTATCTAGTTTTCATTGCCGAGACAAAGCTACCTGTTGCCTACTTGCCTGCCGAGCTATTGACTTGGCAGTTCCTGGTGGTTCTGGCGCCAACTCGATATCGTGAAGAGCACCACCACTGAGGTCTTTAGCTATTGATGGTACGAGACTGATCGCGACAGTCTCCTCCATCATGGCAGCACTGCCGAGTGCTAGCCGAGTGGGATCTTGTGCATTGGTGGTCGCCGGCGCGCGGCGCAAGCTTTCACCTTACTCTGCAGCGTGGTCACGAGGAAGCACATCCCGCAGGAACGCTTTTTGATCGGCCCAGTTCCGCGATTTGACAGTGCAGCAGCACGTTGCAGCCTCGTGCAATCCCTAAACCCCGGTAGGATCGGCGTTGTCGACACGCAACTAGGTAGCGTGGCATCTGCACCAGGAATGGAAGAAGGCCTCTGCTTCCAAATCGGGCATCTTATCACGGAACCCTGCTTTGTGGCTCCCCTGTGGATTGAATTTCGCAGTGGCTGTAGCACTACGTCCTGAAGTTGAGTTTTCGTGTGCATGCGTGCATTTGTTTCATTTTCCTTTCGAAGCTTGCGTCAAGGCATCGATTTCGGCTTGAAAGGCACTCATCTCGGCGAGGATATCCTTAGACTGACTCGCTCCAGGTGAGGGGATGGCTTGCTCATTGCTTTCTCCAGTCTCTGCCACTTTCTGCAAGCTGGAGATGGACGCCGACCGCTCACTGTCAAAACTTGCTCCACGATGATGCTCGCCGCTCAACTTGCGTACGTACGGACTCGGAGGGCCATCGAGGCTGGTTCGCTTCGAGCCAGGCAAGCGACGAGGTGGTGGAGGGGGCGGAGCGGCAGCACCAGCCGCTAGTATCTGAGCTGGCCTTGTTGCAATGGTGGAATCGTCTGAGGCCTGACGGCTGACGTTGGAGCTCCCCTTGCTGGCTTTGCTTGGATGTCGGCGCAGCGGAGGAGGGGGTGGAGCAAGCTTGGTTTCGTTCGAGGTCGGCTGTACATCCTTGGGAGGTGGTGGAGGTGCTGGTTGACTGCTAGAATTGGACTTCCTTGCAGGCGGAGGAGGTGGGGCAAGTTTGTTGGAACTCGTGGAAACGACAGAGTCTGCTGGTGTAGGGATCGAGGAGTCCAGCGTCATATTGGAAAGATTGGAGCCGCTTCGCGCTCTGCCATGGCCAGCGCCAGACTTTCTCGTTGGAGGTGGTGGTGGTACAGCTTTCGGTGTCGGCGGCACAGTAGCAACCTGTTGATCTACCTGTGCAGGCAAGACATTCTGCACGGGTGCTGGAGATGGCGATTTCTTGCCAGTGTCTCCTGGTGGCATTGGAAGCGGTTTGTTCAAATCACTACCTGGTCTGGGTGAAGCTGATCTGAGAATTCCCGTAATGTGTTGTGTATGAACAGGAGGCGTTCTGGGCCCTGATGCCATGAAGCCCGGGGGTATAGATTGGTCGAAATCTGCAAAGGATACGGTCAGAGGCCCCTTTTGCGATTTGGGAGGAGCTGGTGGTGCCAGGTCATCGGACCTGCCGACGCCCATTAGTCCCGAGTGCTCGTTGTCGTCTTCGTCAGATGCCGATTCGTAGTCGTGAAAATCATCCTGGGGCGACTCTGGACGCGGGCCATGGCTGCGGTCGAACACCGAGGAAGTATCTGTACTGCTGCTATTGCTGTCCGGTACCCTCGCCGCACCTGGTGTTGTCGATAAGCCTGCTGGTACGGGAGCACCATTCATCAATATATTTTTGAATGCATCCACGTCCAGAGTAGGTTTCGATCTCGTCTCTCCCCCAGTCATCTCTGCTTCTTTGCTGCCCTGTGATAGCCCAGTCTCTTGACTTGCCAATGTCCTCGCAAATGGATTATATGGCGCCTTCCTTGCTCCGGGAGCAGCATCTGCCCAAGTAGCATTGCCTGTGTTGCTGCCTGCGCGCTCCACGCCTGATCCTCCCGTTGCTGCCGCGTCACTCTCTCTGTCGTCGTCTTCCAGGCCTACATTCCTCGGATCCATCACTGGCGGCGGTGATGCTGTTCGACCAATCGAGCTCCCCTCGTACAATTCCCTGTCTCCATTCTGCGAATTGTGCACCTCCTCAGGTGAGTGAGGCGGGGTCTGGATCACGACTCGTTTCGCCTTTGTCTTTGTCGAGCGCGTGGCTGCATCTGGTCAATCTTCTATCCTGCACGACATGGCGTCCGGCATGACACGCGGGCCTTCTTACTGGGAGCCGCGGCATCCGAAGCATCTCTGATCGTGTCGAAGATGCTGGCGGAGGCAGGGTCTGGATCTACGGGCACTCGCGAGCGGCGGAATGGGTTGCTGGACATTGCTGCTCAGCCTAGCCTGAGTCAGAAGTCAACCTGCACTGGCGCGGGCGTGGTCGGTCATGGGCGAGGCGGACAGCAGATAGACAGGAACAAGATGACATAGAGACACGGGCTATCGCAGCAGCAGAGCAGAAGTGCGTGAGTGAGCGACAGGCACCAAGACGAACGATCGTCATGTCCAGCCCGTCTGCACGCGCCAACATCCCAGCGAGCATCTGCTGCCGAACCCTTGATGACTGGCCCCACCAGCACGAGCGGAGCATCTCGTGCGCTGCCGAAACACTCTGTGTGACATCAACATCATCAGTCATCAACATGCATCGGCGTGGGAGAAGAGCCGTCTTCCGCGGCGTCCTTTTCCATCAGACAACTTCGGGGAATGCTTCCAGTGGTGATGACAGGAGGAGTCTGCACGCCGGCGATTATGCTTACCTCTACCCCAATCCAAGAGTCGAGAGTGACGAACGTAGAAATGAGATTGCCTTCAGTGTCCAGAGGGAGGCCCATGGCAGCAATTGCTACCCATTACCGCAAGTCTGAGAGGCATTCACGTTGATGTCTCGTCGGCCGAGACCTCCTGGTGCACCTTCTATGTCTGTGTAAAGGTCAATATGGCAGGACAACTTGCTCAGCATAGCACCCGCCTTCATTGAACCCAGCCTGCAGCAAAAGTGCGCTCAGAGCCAGAATACTCTCCTGGCTATCACTTACTCCGCTGCGCCAACACAGCTGCAGGTGCCCGAAAAGATGTTGGGATTTGCTCTTCTGCTGCTATTGCCGCTCTCCGCCTTCGCTGCCTTCTCTCCGAATGCTTCGGTCACTATCGTAAGCGACCTGGACGATGTTCTCCGCATAACAGAGCTCTGGAACCCATTGCGTGCAATCCGAGACTTCTTTACGGACGACTTTCAGCCCGTCAATGGCATGCCTGAGCTGTACAGAAACTTCTCTCAAGTAAATGGGACGGAGTTCGCTTACATCACTGATGGTTTCGTCTCTTGGTCATCATCATACACCTACGGCCTACAAGAACAGTATGCCTGCAATTTAACGTAGAGAGTCCAGCCCGAAAGCATAAATACTGACGCTGCCATGAAAGTTACCCACCAGGAAATGCCTACTTCCGCGTCTTCGATCTCTCCAACCTCAAAACGCTCTTCAACGCCCGCCAGATTCATGCTCAAAGTCTCATTGACGAGGATCCCGACCGCAAATTCATTCTCGTAGGAGACTTTGCCACTCCAGGCCTCATCAACGCCTACGCAAAACTCGCCATTAAGAATTCTCGCCAAATACAATGCCTCATCTTCTTCGACGTCCGCGCCACGAACCCTGCGAACTGGCTCGTCCCAACAACCAAACCACTAACGAACAGAGCCCTTTCCAACCGCTGGACCGTCTTCGAGACCGCCGAAGAATTCAAAAACGACAGCATCACCTACCTCAACCAACTCAAAGCCACCACGAACGACACTTTCGGCTGCGGTTCCCTCGTTACCCGACAAAAGCCTTTCCTCGATCTCATTGACAACACACATTATACCTCTGCAAAAGCGACAATCATGACTTTGACCAAAGGCCTTTCCGCCATGATGCAGTGTCTGATGATCTTACCATTTCGTCCTAGCCCTCTGTGCCGTTTCGATCGAAGGGAAGAGACGTGGTACCCCTACTACAAAAAATTCGAATCGGAAATGGAATTGAGGACGTGGAAAAAGCTGCCGAATACTGTGGTCAACGGGACCAAGTATGAGAGGATGTGTTACGATAATGGGACGTTTTGGCTTCTGAATGGGACTTGCGAGCAGAACTGAGAAGGGAATTCAGATCCCTGCGGGGAGGCAGACCGGGTATGAGAAACAAGGTGCTGGGAATTAGCAGTGAGCGGCTAGCAGTGCAGGTTCGGGAGCAAGCAGAATTGAACAGCAGCTTACCGCGCGCCGGGTGAGGCAGAGAGAGGCAGACGATTACTGCCGGGCCATTGGCAGAGCAATGCTGACGATAAGCAGCTTTCAATAAAAATGATTCTACGACACTATCCTCGAATCCCAGTCATCAGCAAAGAAGTCGCTGCCTAATTTGATGCTTCTCATCGCAGCCCGCATCCTTTCATTCGCCTCTCGAGCCGCCTTCTGCTCCTCGGCAGCCTTCTGGGCCTGCGCCAGAGCTTCCAGGTCCTTCTCATCGATTTCTCGAGCCACAGCACTGGCTAGTTGCTTATCGAGCACCTGCAGAGCCTTCCATTTCATCTCCTCGATCTCGCTCGCCACATTTTGCGCAGCTTCCAGCTTCGCTTTCTTCGCAGCGCGGACCTCATCTTCGCGCCGCACTTCACGTTCCTTTCGCTTATTCTCCCTGAGTTCTTGACGTCGAGCTTTCTCTGCAAGGTAGCGAATGCTGTGACCTTTCGAAATGCCCTCTGGCTGCTCGACAACGACCGGGGGTGCGGTGAAGAAAAGAACTCGGCCGTAATCATCACGCTGATACTGCTCGCGGACTTCGGCGGGGATGCTCAAGTTGGCGGCGTCTGGCAATGTGTAGACTTCGGGTGCAGGTGCTGCGCGGTAGTCTTGAGCGGGAGGACGAGGTGCGTACGCAGCAGGAACTGTGGGCGCGCTTGATTGAGGAGCGTAGCTGTTGGTCGGTGCCATCGGACGAGGTGGAACTGTCTGTGGCTGAAGAGGTGTCGATGGCGCATAGCTCATTGGCGTCGCTGAAGGTGGGCGTGGCGCTGTCGCCGGCGCTGGCTGGTACTGCTGCACCCGAGGTGTGTACTGTTGTATTGGCATGGTGGGATTGGATGGTGCGCGGTGGAGCTGCTGCTGTGCCAATGGCTGCTGGTAGTTGTGTTGGGGCGTGGGCGGTATCTGTCGAGGAGGAGGTGTCGGCATCTTTGGCGGCGGTGGAGGCGTAGGCTCGGGGGGTGGCGAGTCCTTTTCGCCGCGGGGTTTTCTGTGCACAGCACCAATCTTCGGCGGCGCCCCTTCTGCTCCCCAAGTCACCTTTGGGGAGTCGTCCGTCTCCTTCTGATCATCCTTAAGCATGAAAGCGATCGGACTAGGATACTTCTTCATCTTGCGAGGATGATCAAACAGGTCCATTTCGTAGTCCTTGTCCCGCACTTCATCGGGTAGACAGCTGGCCCAAGTCTTGATCGTGTTGAATTGGTGGAGAGTCTCGTTGTACCGCGATTGACAAACATAGATCTCTGTTCCCTCTGCCAAGCCCCGCGGCCGACCTTTGAAGTAGCGCGTGTAGAACATGACGAAGCATTTGCCTTCCACTTCTTCCAGACGATGATCGCGATAGCGTCCCGTCTTTACGATCTCGTTTGCGAAGAAGTGCTTGTCAAACCGATGAACGGTCTGCTCTGGTCTGTAGTACCAGCAGACGTTGACCATGTTCTCGCCCTTGGGGTTCTTGTAGGTACGATAGATCTGACAAGGTATGGGCTTAGTCAGGTCGTTTGGATTCTGAATGTGCACCCAGTCTCCGACTTTGTAAAGCTCGCCATTGTGCAAGACGCCGTTCGGTAATGGTACCTTGCCCTCATCGTCTGCGAATGCATCATCCGGTTTTGCCTTCTCCGAGTCGTACAGCTTTCCAGCTTCCACTTGGAGCGCAACAGCATCTTTGTAGATCTGCGAATCATCCGTGTTGTACTGCTTGGCATTGTTGAACATGAGATTAACATCCGCCATGAACTCCTCCAAAGTCTTGTACTTCTTCCGCTTGACCTTTCGCTTCAGCTGGTCGTAAGCCATGGGATTCTTGATTTCGTTGTAATAATCCGGTAACTGGGCCTTGTCGGGAAGACGATCGAAGTTCTTGATTAAGAGCGCGCCGCTCTTATTCTTGGGCTTGCGAATGCCTTTCAAGATGGTTTGAATACGGGCTTCCATGGGCGTAAGCAGTTTAGGTGGCCTCCCTCTAGCACGCTTCCCGTCCTCTCCGTCCTCTGCGCCTTCTCGCTTCGCTATGGATGTCGACCCTCGCGGACCTTTCCGCTTTTTCCTCCTCCCGCCCTCCTCATCCTCATCCTCGTCGTCATCGTCTGCATCCTCGTCTGATGATTCTTCTGCATCTCCATCCGCATCTGCTGGGCCTGCCGCTTCAGCTGTCGGCGGCGCAGGCTCCACGAATGTCGGAATCTCGCCTAGGTCAGGAAGCACAGCTTGCTCTTTCGTGATTATCCCTTCCTGTACAAGCAGCTGCAGCTGCCTCTCAATCTCCTGCTTGACAACCAACGCGTCTTGAAACGCACCACTCTCAGGGATATTGAACACCTGCGCATTGTATGGGATGAGCGCAAAATCTCGAACGAATCCGCTGACGTCCTGGTACTCCTTGCGCGCGATCTTGCGTTTGATTGTGGAAAGTGCCATGGGCTCCTTGATTGTTTCATAGTACTCGGGCATCACGCGCTTGTTGATCAAGCGCTGAAACAGCTTCGTAGGGTCGAATCCATCGCCAGTACGGAAATCGTAGATGTTGTTGAGCATCCGCATCATGGCCTGCCATTGCGCATCGGGAATTTGGGAGCCGTCGTTGAGCGGTTCGGTGGACGGTACCGGCGTCGAGCTGGGACTCCTATCGCGACCCTTGGTCGATTGCCGTCTCGCAGCCATCGCGCCGGTTGTGCAGATAGTGAATGGTGCTGGGAGTCAGGCGGCGCATGAAGCTGTCGCGAAGCCACAAGTGAGGGAAGACGCGACCAGGCCGCGCGCCAAGACTAATCCCTGCAGCTGATCTTGCCCATTCACCTACACAATGGCATTAACGGGAAGCCGCATTCATCGATCACATCTCGTGGTACACAAGTACAATACAGCGCGTCAATAGCATCGAAATCTGACGATAGTTACAAACCGATTCACTTTGTCCTACTACGTGTTGTACATATTGGACGCTTTGCCCGCCCCATCGCAACTTCTCGAAACACAGGTCACCTAGCGCCGCCTGCCATTGCCACAAGACACTGATCAGTCAGCCGGGCTTCAGATCACTCGCCTTTCACGCATGCCATAGCATTCTGAATCCAACAACTCATCAAGAAAACCACGGACCAAGATGACTGGTGCTATACGGTTACGAGTCCGAGGGCCAGATGGTCAAGCAACCATCAGCATCGACAGCCAAGCCTCATGGAGCGATTTGATGCATAGCATATCAGACAAGACTGGTGTCGCCGACTTCGATCTCAAGTACGGCTTCCCACCTCAACCATTGAATACCGAATCCATCAGTGGCCAAACCAAGCTCGCCGACCTACCCTTCAAACTCAACGGGGAACAGCTCACCCTCAATCCCCGTACCATTCAAAACACTCTATCCCAACCCATGGCAGGAACAACTCCATCGACGTCAACCACCAAACCTCTCCCTTCAAAACAACAAATCTCCCCACCATCTCACAAAGCCTCCGACTTCCCTCCCGAACCCCTCTCCCTCACCCGCAAACCGGCACCGGACATGGCCGTCGATCCCCCCGAAATCGAAGTTCCCCAACTGGAAGGCCTCATGGTCCTCCGCGTAATGCCGGACGACAACAGCTGCATGTTTCGAGCTCTATCCTCGGCCGTCCTCGGCTCTACCCTCGACGGCATGACCGAGTTACGCTCTGTCGTTGCTCAAGAAATTCAATCCAAACCCAGCTTCTACACCGAAGGTGTCTTGGAAAAAGCTCCCGACGATTACTGCCGCTGGATCCAACGCGAAGACAGCTGGGGTGGCGGTATCGAACTTTCTATCCTATCCCAAAAATTCGACATCGAGATCTGCAGTATCGACGTCCAGACTCTTCGCGTCGATAAATTCAACGAGGGGAAGCCGACGCGATGCATCCTGGTATACTCAGGAATCCACTACGATGTCTGTGCGGTGACGGCGTACAGTGGAGCGGATCCCGTTTATGACCGGAAAGTCTTTGACGTGATGCATCTGCAAGATAACGAGGAAATTGACGGAGGCGCGTTGGTTGCTGCTCTGCAATTGTGCAGAGTCTTGCAGGATAGGCATTACTACACCGATACGCATGGCTTTGCACTGAAGTGTGGTACTTGTGGGGACTCAGGGAAGGGGCAGTCATGGGCGCAGGATCATGCGAAGAAGACAGGGCATACGGATTTCGGCGAGGCTTGATTGAGCGTTCATGAGCGTTGAAAAGGGCGAGGGCGGCCATTGTGAGGATATGTCCGTCTTCACGGCATTGGAACACCTCGGAAGGTGATCATTCCAGCGGATTTTAGTGATGTAGCTCCAACATGAAGGAGCTTCTGTTTTCAATTCATCTGTCAATCGTGCTGTGAAAACTTGTGAAATGTGGAACGCCCCCAGCGCCTACGCTTACATCCCATGCGAGTCGCTCAAGCAGAATTGAATCTGCTTCTATATTCGTCGAACTCTTGCCTTTTCCGAACCCATCGTCAATCTAATGCTGCCAAGAGTAATTTCTCACCGCGCCAGGCGATCTCTACTCTTATTCCCACCTTCTCCTGCCCTTCCGAGCTCCACGCTGCTCGACATTTCCCGCTCGCGACTTTGGCTGACTCTCAAGCTCTCGATGCTTGGCCTGACACTGTCCATGCTTGGTCGTACACTGGAGCTGCTACTCTGTCTTCGCCTTCGCCTCGTCTCCTCAGGATCACCAGGCGACAGTCCACTAGCTCTGGCGAAGAGATTTAGAATGTCAGTCAGAGACACAACTCCTGAAAGTCGTCCACTCATGCTTGCGCCTGGAAGCTGGGCAGCACCAATCGACACCGCTGGATTGGTACTGGTGTATGGCGGACCGGGTGTCACATCGATGCTGCCGGACCTGACTGGAGTTGTGATTGGAGTGTTGTGCTCGATGCCATTGTTGTGTGGCGATGATGGCGGGAAAGCTTGCTTCATCGCTGGGGAAGGCGGCACGCTTGTGCTTGGTGAAGGCGCATCGACCATCCACAACCGATGAGAACGCGTTGCGCAAAGCTTTGCGACGGTGTGCGCGAGGGTAGAGAACGGTGTGATGTGGAACACAGGGTATGAGTCCTTTCCATCGAACATGCCTCTCTCACTCAGAATTACTCCAATGAAATGGATGCAGCTGCTGTGCAGTAGTGGGATGGCCGAAGTGTCCGTCAACAGGCGAGTATCAACATGACTGATGTTTCCCACCACGTTGCGGTGACTATCAAGCACAGGCAGCGAGGTAATACCCTCTGCGTGCATGAGTCTTAACGCATCTGCCACCGGCTTGTCGCCATTAATAGCAAGCACTTCTTTGGCACCCAGCTCTAGCTCTTTCAAGGTCATCGAGTACAAGTTCTCTGTGGCAGCAAAATTGTGGTGGTTCTCCCAAAAGAATCGCACTAAACGGAGTTGAGTGAGAACGCCAACAGCTTCACTCGAGCCTTCCTTGTTGATAATGACACGACGATGGCCCGCACCCAGTGTCTCCATCGCCTGGAGCAGGGTTGCTGTTTGTGTGACAAACACTGGCTCTTCGCGCGGTCCCAAATGGCTAGTGATATCTTTGAGCGGGATTGCATCGCCTCGACGTGCTCTGTCCGCGATCTTGGCTGCAAGCTCGTCTGGTTGTGAGAGGCCCAGGACAAGTAGGAGATATGCGTTCAGGTCGGAATAGTCAAATGTGGCAATGACAGTTTTTGTCATTGTGGACTCGCGCACAAGTACGACATTGGGAGCTCCCGACCGAATCAACAGCTTTGTGGTGTCTTCAATGCTCGTATCAAGCTCCACGAAGCGCGTTTCTGCCGGATCTATGATCTCTTGCACCTGAATTGTGCGCCAATCCCGACCTTTGAAGCGCTCGTCGCCGCCATTGGCCTTGTGCGAGGGGTGCATGAGGAGCTCGGTCAGGGCTGGGCCTGAGAAAGAATGTGTACGCGGTGTGTGCTGGCGCGGCGAGGCAGGATAGTTGCGCAGGTTGAGACTGTCGGCAATGCTCGATCGCTTAGACACGGACGGTGACGAGTTCTCCTTGCGCGGTGTTGTGAGCGGCGCGGAGGCACTGGAAGACACAGAAGAGATGGAGATGGGCTGCGGCTTGATGCCAGGACTGTCCTTGATGGCGACTGGCGATGTGGACGACTGCACCTGGCCGCCCGATGAGCCCGGACGAGAGTTTGCTTCTGCCATGATGCGGAGCGAGGTGCGTCAGAGTGCCTCTCTCGCGCCTGCCGTGAGCGCTCTGCTTTCCCACAGCAAGGCGGGGCTCCGTTAATGGCGGGGACAGCCTGTCGTCGATGCCGCTGCGGCTGAAGGCGATCGGCGGGCGGGGCGGGCTGGTGGGCGGGCGGGCGAGCAGATGGGTCAGGCCATTCTCAGGCAATGCAGTGCGTGTTTGCGTGTTGCACAGGAGGCAGTGCTGCTGTCGTGGCAGAATCATGTGAAAGTGGACGAAGCTCCCACACTGGCTATCGCTTGGCGCGCCGGAGACCCCTGCGACATTGCGCTCTCTCGCTGGCGGCTCGCACGATCGACGGCCTGCAAGCCTGAACTCTATGGCGGCGTTGCTTTCTAATCGGTCGCTGCCACATGCGTCGATGCCGACATCATTGCTTCTCAACACACGGCGGCCTGCGCGGCTGCACTGCTGCGGCGGCGGTCCAACATGTCGGCGCATGAGTCAATGGCAAGCAGTGCAGCGCATTCCGACGTGCGACGGAGCTCGCTATATACGCAAGCGGACATAGGCAGAGCAAACACCGGGTCACGGAGTACCTGTCAAGTGAGTCAAACAAAGGCGTGAGGAAAGATTACAAACCAGACGAAGCCTCCTCGCGCTTGACACGCAGGTATTGCAAAGCAACGCTCGCTTACTACTAATCCATTGACGCTGATCTACTCCTCGTCGTCTTGCATCTATCCTGTTCTGGTCTGCGACACTGCGACACAGAATCTCCCCACGCTCACCAAAAGATTCCTGATCCAATCCTGATCGGACCCACTTCGGAAGCGATAGCACAGCTGCAACGCGTGTTGAAGACCCGCTCTGCTCAATTCTCGGCGGTGAACCAGTCCCGCCAGTCGCGTACTAGAACTAGTCATATGGTCACAGACCTCTTCTGCGCTCTCAGAAAACTTTCTTTGCCATTGACACCAACAACGACACAGCGCACAACATGTCTCTCCGCGAGGCCTACACTTTGGCACACACGGCACAATGCCGATTGCAACTAGCAGCAAGTCGACCTGATCGAAATCTCAGATTCGTGGTAGGACATCTCATGCACTACGAATCGCTGCGACTCCGGATTGTTGAGATCGAACACGACATTTCAAAATCTTCCAGATCATCCTCGGTGGCCTTCAAGGGAACTGGACATGTCGACCACCACCTTCAACATAAGCCATCAACAGGACAACTAGGACGAAGATCGCCGCCACCTCCTGCTCAGACATACGACGACGACACAGATTCAGACGAGGACGAAGACATGGCGTTCGACGATGAAGCAGATGATGGCCTGTCATTAGAACGATTCCCTTCAGCAGCAGCACAAGAACCTCGACAGCCCCCTCAACCCACAAGAACAGATCCAGAACCACCCGAGCTGGAACCAGACGATGAAGACTATTCCGACGACGAAGAGCCACGGAGTCCGGAAGAACCCAGCCCGGAAGATCTTCAACGGGCAGTTAAAGGGGAGGGCAACGAACTCTACGCGACGTACTACGAGGGCGTGCGCAAATGCGTCTGCCACGGAAATACCGACGCTCCCAGTTTCGACAGGATGTGGGAGCTTCCCCCCGATCAATCCAGCGCGAGGGAGGGCGTGACGAGAGCTGTCGCCCATGTCAGGGATGGTCCAGCTGAAGCTCAGGCGGTCTGCACTGCTGCACCTCTGCACACGCACCATGCGCAGCAGGAGGTCGTCGCATGACCACAGACCAACCATGGTTGGCGATAGCGAAATCGGAAGGACGGAAGCGCGTGGGATGTCACGAGCGAATGAGTCTTACGGAACATGCATGGTGTTATTTGCAGGGCGCGGATGAGGAACAAAGAGCGAAACGATACCCAACTCAATTGATCAGGATGCGGCCTTGGCGCCGATCCCGGAGTGCCGGCAACCGGAGTTCGAATGTTTTTGGTTTTTTTTTCTTGGTATGGGATACGGAGTCGGATACTGCGGGTTAGCGACGGTGTCTGATATTTCTTGGCAAAAGAGTCACGCATCACGACCGCTGAAGATACCCGGGCATGAGTTTATCCAGAATGATATTTGGTGGAATGTCGTCGATGAGGCGAGTTGCTGAAAAGCACTGCCTTCGTTTTGACGAGGAACAGAATCGATAGTATTGAAAAAGAATACAATTTAGATTGACTAAAGTCACATCACTATATCGCTTACATCCTCGCTCAGTCTTCCATCTTACAAGTTTTCCTCGGTCTTGCGGCGCCTGCTATTTTCGATTGTTAATTTTGCCCAGCAGTTCTTTGAACAAGAGTCGACTTACGGCTCCTTGGGCTTGAAATAATAATTCCCTTCGACCTGTCTCACCCCCTCGCCTCCTTTGCACCAACTGACCCTAAATTGGCACAGTCAACCTCATTTCTCTTCTCCCTCACCACTAACCGTGGCTACCTCTGAATGCAAGTACCTCTGAGTGCAACCGCAGGTGACTAAGCCAACCAGCAAAGCTGTTCATGGATCGAGAGCCAATCTGGTCAGGCGCTTGCACTCAGAGGTAGTTGCATTCAGAGGTGGCCACGGTTACCTTCGCCTTTGCACCCTCGAAACATCATTCGACTGACTTACCGATCTTTCACAAACTGCTCCACCCTCGGCTTCAACTTCCCCTCATGCAATGCAAAATCATCCACGGTACCAAGCCTTAACGTTCTCAAATTCGGAGACCCGCTTCCGATGCGATACATGAGCGTACCGCACACGGAGCAGAAGTAGCTTGCCATTTCATGGCCCGATGCGATTGTTTTTCGTTGGACGTAGCGGGCCAGACGATCTTGGCCGCGAATGTGAGTGAGATGGGAGGAGCGGACGAGGAAGTTTGACGCGAACATGGAGCCGGTGATTTTGCGGCAACTGTGGAAAGAGAAGAGTGAGGTCTCAGCGAGTGATTCTTAGGACTTGGAGAAGGGCTGGTAATTCACTCTGTGCAGTTGCAGATGAACGTCGCTACCAGACCGGGCTTTTCAGTTGGCTGTTTGAAGAGATGGTGTTAGAAGAACATGTCTAATTGTGAGAGTGGAGTTGATGTACGAATTCCAGTTGGACCTTTCCGCAATAGCATGTTGCTGTTGCTGTCTTCCTATCATCTTCGCCATGTGCACCGTCGGATGGTAGAGGGAGATAGCATACTTGAGGTTTGCAAAAGGATTCACTCATGGTGGTAAGTTCCTCTTGTCAATCGTGTAATAGTCGAGTAATGCCAACGTTCGTCGCGCGAATAGTATCGACAGCTAAGGCTCATTAAGAAGTCGAGATCATGGAAGTGAAGGATGCTGCAATTTTGCCTCGGTCAGCCTCATAGAAACAACCGAGATCAATGTGATTTCTAATCCATCGAGCAAGCCGCAATAGTTGCCCAGACCTCCTCGGTCACGTTTGGTGCGCTGGTCGCTAGTGACTGTCTCTTCCGCAGCTTCAGGCGAAGATTTAGAATTCCTCGACGACCGTTCTGAACGAAGCTTGCATGCATAATGCAGTTGGGGCGTCGCAGCACGTTGATCGCCGTCTCGACGCGCACTGAGCAACATACCGCGCTGGAAATCGACAAAGAAGCTGGTGGATGATTGTGCTGTTATCCAGGAAAATACTCAAGGGACTATGCTGCTAATGTAACAATACTATAGTGGTATCAGTGCTCGACGACAAATTAATCACAGTGCATCGCCATTTGGAACAGACTCTGCTTCTTCCTCCAGAGCTCTTGTTCTACCTGCTCGACCGTCCGAGGGTAAAGGTCACCAGAATCACGACTGCAAGGACACCAATGGCACCAGGCAGGAGGATCTCGTTCGGTACACCCTGGATGATCTGCTCCTGTGTCTTGGCGCCTTGCGCCGCAGCAGCTTTGCGGTCTCTTCGACGTTGTGTAACGTTCTCTTCCTCTTCTTGCTCTTCATCTTCTTCGGAGTCTTGCTGCTTTCGACGTCTGACGCTGCTCTCTGGGGGCGTCGGGAAGGCAGGCTGTGGGTCAACAGTCGCCGCCATTGCCGGCTTCTCGGGGTCGTGCACGAACAAATCGACTTTGTCCTTGCGTGCTTCCTTGGCCAGCATAATCGCTTCAAGCAAGTCGTGATCAGTGGTGATCGACACAGTATCGCCTTCGTTGTCCAGGTAACTGAGCGCGAAGCCGGCATGCTGCAGCTTTCCGTTTTCGAATGCGGGTACACCTCCAATCGTATCCGCTTCATGACCAAGCTTGTCGGCGATGGTGCTAATGAGCTCTGGCATTCCTTGGGATGCAATGACGTGCAGGCGGTGTACTCGACCGCCCGGAGCCTTGAATTTGAAAGTGAACGGCGTGTCCTCGATAGCTCCAGCAAGAGCCGAGGCCTCTTCGTGCTCAACGCCAGTGTGAGAGGCAGAATCGGTGGGCAGCACAGAGTCGCCTCTCGTATAATCTGGTCGATGACCCTCCGGCGACATCATTGCCGATCTGTCGGGAGTGTGCGGCGCGTGACTGTTACCCTCGCCAGACATCATTGACTCAGTCTCGGCGTCCATTGACATCCAGAACTTGTTCCAGGCGGGGCCTTCACTATCGCCGGAATTCATGCCGTTAATCTGGTCGAGCGTGGCGTATGTGAGTTTCAGCACATCGACCATGCCAACGATCTCATCACTCTCCTTATTCATGACGGGCAGATTGAGATAGTGTCCGTCGTGCATTTTCCGGAGTGCTTGCTGGATGCTCATGTCCATTGGCGCAAAGTCAGGGTGTGGTGTCATGACGCGGATCACGCTGCAATTGGCGGGATCGAGGCCAGCAGCGATGACGCGAAGTACAACATCCTTCGATGTAAAAATGCCAGTGATCTGACCCTGGTCTTGCACAAGCACTGCCGTAGTGTGGTTCTCCTTCATCATCTGGGCCGCCTCCTTGACGCTTGTTCGAACAGAGACGGTCGTGGGAGGTAGACCGTTCAGCACGGATTCCAATGTCGGTCCAGACATACGTTGGCGCACAGCCTCGACGTACTGGATGACTTGCTGTGGCTGACTTGATCCAAGTTCGGCCTGCACGCCTTCCAATGCATCGTACAGCTTCTTTGAGGAGGTATATGCTCTTTCCAACTTCTCCATAGCTTCGTAGAAGCACTTCGTGATATCCAGAACTCCGGAAATATCGTGGTTTTCATCCATGACGGGCAAGTGTCTGAATCCTTTCCGTACCATCAGGTCCAAAGCATCCGTAGCACTGGTATCCGTCTTCGCGCACAACGGGTTCTTCGTCATGATCTCTGCGATCGTCACGTTCCTCGCATTCAACCCAGCGCCCACCACGCGGAATGCAAGATCTTTTGCGGTGAAGATACCGGCAATTCGGTCATCATCATCCGTTACGAGCACACAATCTTCGCGCTTTGCGGCCATCATTTGAGCCGCTTCGGTGACGGTGGTTCCTGGTTTGATCTGAAGTGCCTGGTTTGGCTTGAGAGCGAGCACTGTTCCAGGTGGTGCTTTGCGAGACTGGCGAGCTCTCCCGGCGGGGCCTCTACGCTTGCCCAAGTCCTTCTCCAATTTGCTACGAATCGCCTGCAAGGCCATTAATGGCTGCTCATAGAATGTCCATTTCAAGTCCCTACCTCATCGCGCTTCGATTGTTTCGCCCTGCTTGCACTAAATGTACTCGTTGCCTCGCTTGGGGCCGATTCGAGCTTTGGACGTGGGATGCCTGACAGTGTTCCGTGTTCGTAAGTTTTCGAGTGGCCTTTGGGCGTGCCGCGAGCACCGCTGGCTGTGGACATGATTGTGTGGTGTGCTCGAGATCGCTCGAGACGTATTCCTGGGGACCTCAAAGGGCGGGTGGAGAATGCTGCAGTGTTCCGAAAACAATGCTGCAGCCAGGAAAGGGTTTGGCGAGATGTAAACAGTCGGGTGGATCGGCGCGTTCACACCCGGAATCAGGTGACGTCGCCAAGACTTCGCGTTGCGCACCTTCCATTCTCAATTCCTCGAACTTTGGACGACCTCGCCCGAGACGACACTAACCGACAGCACAACCACACAGTCGCCCATCATGGTCAAGAAGCGAGCATCCAAGTAACATTGTCCTACTACCCGATCGCGAGGTCGAAATGCTGACAGCTTCACAGCGGTCGCAACAAGAAGGGCCGCGGCCACGTCAAGCCAATCCGCTGCTCGAACTGCTCGCGATGCACGCCTAAGGATAAGGCAATCAAGAGATTCACCATCCGCAACATGGTCGAGTCCGCTGCTATCCGTACGTACCAATCATTCTGTGATTGAAGAACGCGGTGCTCCCGCCGGGAGCGGCAGTCTGAATAGAAACTGAGAGGAGATTTGAACAGGTGATATCTCGGATGCCTCCGTGTTCCAGGAGTACGCAGTGCCAAAGATGTACTTGAAGCTGCAGTACTGCGTCTCGTGCGCCATCCACGGAAAGATTGTGCGGTATGTTCATCCTACAACTAGACCGTGGGAAGTGGGGATGGCTGACAGGAGGATACAGTGTCCGCTCGCGTGAGGGTCGCCGCAACCGTGCACCACCGCCACGTGTCCGATACAACAAGGACGGCAAGAAGATCCAGCCAGGTCAGGCTCAGGGACCTAAGCCACTCGGCGCCCAGGCCGCTGCTACCTAAGCGTATCGCGATCGAAAGGGCGTTTGGGGGGAAGGAGCGAAAATGAAGTATACCTTGCGTAGCTGGAACGTTGAGAGACAACAGATCCGAGAAGATGGTCCTCGGTGCTCACAAGAGTATCGGCCGGCACGAAATGATGGTATGCGAAGTAATGAATAGCTTCGAATGATACAGTACGAAACCTCATCTGCCCGCACGTTCTTCCAGCAATCATCTCTTGCTCTCCAACCTGTTTGGATCCGCGTTAGTCTCTGCATTTTCGATAAATGAGATTGCCCTGCCCCAGTCAGCTCGTCGATTCTGTATCACTTAATATTCTGATTGGCGATAGCGCGCGCTGTAATGGAGCACGTCAGCTTCAAAGCGTCGTTTGAGAAAGGCACAGGCTATTGATCCACTCCTCAGTACGAGACCAACGTACATTCCCCTCCAAAGAAATGCGAAGCTGAGAAGAATAGTAGAGAATGTGGTTCTCATCATACTTCGTTTCCATTCCTACATTACTCGTAACAGCAAATGGTACCTCGTAACATCTTCATTAATCAGCTCGTTTCTTGCTTGGTTCATCCTGAGCGCCAACGCCAGCGACAACCTTCGCAGCTTCCGCTCCATCCTCCTCCCAGTCTTCCTCGTTCTCATCCCAGTTGTCCAGCTCTTGGGTAACATCAGTGCTCTTTGCGGCAACACCGTTAGTCTGCCCATCTACAACGCCGCTTTCTTGATCCCGTAGCCCAGGACCTTCGCCCAATTCTACGTCCACATCCTCGTCGCCTGGCACGATATCGTACGTTTTGTTCTTTCTCTTGCGCTCAAGCATGCGAGAGTGGTACCAACTGCATAGCAATAGACCGCATGTAGAGCCTACAACGTTGGCAAGGATGTCGAACGGATCGAAGTCTCGGCCGTTTGGGAGAAGTCCTTGGATCACTTCTGCGGCTATAGAGAGGCCCGCTGTGATGGTAAGGAGGGTGAGATTCACAGCGCGCCGTCGCGAGGTCTCGAGAATCCAGTAGAACGTAACCTGGCGCTCTCATTAGTACTGTTCTATGGTACGCACGCGCTCGACAATCGCATGGCGCATCGAGCCTGGTCACGGTCGTAATGTGGCATGAACCTACTGTCAATAAGAAGAAGTCGACGAAATGTAGCCCCTTGTCACTCTGTCCATACGTAGGGATCTTTGACGTCGATAAGCCCAGATACGCGGACGTGCAGAGCAGACCTGAGAAGGCAGCTACGGGCAGAGCTTCGGTTAGCTGTCGCTTCCAATGCAAGCAGGAGCGGCGCATTTCTGGTGAGATGGTGGACAAACATACCCAAGAAAGGCTTGCGGATTCGAAGACCACCAGCCATTATTGTTGCGGCATCTTGTTGTTGTGCTTTGAGCAAGAACTGGCAAAGTAGGAGCTCGGCGCATTCAGTCCAGCACAGAGCGAAGCTGGCGCGAGACCGGCGGACCGACGTCGAAGCATGATCTTGCCAAGCTTCGTCACTAGTCGATCGAGACAATAGGCCATTGTTCGGATCGCGGGCATTGCTGGCGAACAACAGCGCGTGGCAAGCATCCGCGAGGCGACGTCGACCTGTGCAGTCCACCGATCCAACGCATCGTGACGCCCGCGCCAGACTCGAGTGTGAGCGCGTGCGAAAGGCGTGAGCAGTGACGGCCGCTCAGGGCAGCCCACATGACGGAGAAGCCGAGCGAGTTCAGCGACCTCACTCCACGCGTAGACTGCACTTCCATCGAGTCCACCGCGGAATCATCACCGGCCGTCTTCACACTTCGAGTGTAGACTTCTTCGACACTCTGAATCCCCATGGTGCCCTTTTCAACCCCCTTCCGCACCTGTCAACTGCCGAAACTCATGAGGGAGCACCCATTCACCACACTCGCGACGTAGCGGAGCGCAGGACATGAGCTCCACGCCGTCGCGGCCTGCGCTCAATGGCATACATCGCGCGGTCAATGGCGCCAATGGAATTGCGCATCGCGTATCAAGCATGACGGCCACCACGGCGAATGGGGAGGATGAGGGGGACGAGGATGCGACCCATACCATGCTCAAAGCGCGTATGGAGGCCGCGGAAGCCAGGTTGAGCGCACTCTTTGCCAACGGAAATGAAAGGCGCGCGACCAAGCGACCGAGCGAATCGCCACCACCCGCCGCGCCCAGCGCCGCGCCCAGCGTGAAGGCCTCCGCCCCTCGGAAGGCCGCCCGCCAGATTGACGATGACTATGGAGATGATGACGAGGATGATGAGGATGATGAAGAAACCGACAAGGACAGTCCTTTGAAGTTGAAAGCAAAAGCGAATTTGCCCAACGGTGTCTCTCCGCACGCAGTCCGATCACCAGCACCCGCAGTCAAACCCGCGACCCCGATCACTCTCAAGCACAGCACAACTACCACATCAGAGCAGGCAAAGACATCGGAAGATGTGCGCAAGCAATTGGAGCAAGAGAAAAAGGCGGCGGCCGATGCTGCAAAATACAGCTTCCAAAGCATGTTCTATACTCTGGAAAACGACCGCGATGCAATGCTGGAGCAGCAGAAGCTTGATGAGTTGGATCGTGAAGTGGACAATGAGATATCTGGGGGTTCCAATGTCCCAAACAATGCCAACACCTCAAACGCGCCAGCTGCGTCCGGTGGAGCAACTCAGGGAACGCTAGGAAGTGCTGACCTCGGGGCATCGAGTCTGACTCTGAAGCACTTGATTGCTCGCATAGATGCGAAGAGAGACATGGTAAAGGCATCGGACAATCAACTGCGTACACTCATCTCGGAGGTCCGAAAAGGGCGTAGTAAATGGGCGAGCGAAGATCGCGTCGGACAAGAAGAGCTCTATGAGGCTGCCGAGAAGGTCTTGATGGAGCTCAAGGCAATGACGGAATACGCACAGCCATTCCTTACTCGCGTTAGTAAGCGCGAGGCACCGGACTACTACACTATCATCACAAAACCCATGGACATCGGCACCATGATCAAAAAGCTGAAGCAGCTCGCATATAAGAGCAAGAAAGAATTCGTCGACGACCTAAATTTGATCTGGACAAATTGCTTGAAGTACAATGCAGAGCCAGCGCATCCGTTAAGGAAGAAAGCCCTCTACATGCGCAAAGAGACGGACAAGCTCACGCCCCTAATCCCTGAGATTGTGGTCCGCGATCGAGCAGAGGTTGAGGCAGAGGAACGCCGGCTGCACGCGGGAGACGAGGAGAGTGATGATGACGATGCGCCTATTATGGCATCGCGAGGTCGCAAAGCCCCAAAGAAGGGAGGCCCAACGAGCTCTACCAGGAAAAGCATTAGCGGTCCATCTGTGGCCGTTGAAGACACTTCTGCGACCCCTGCACCTGACACGAAACCAGTTCTGCATTCGCAAGCCTCGAATTTGCGCAACGATCAGCTGCGGGCCGACTCTGAGATTCCCGATGCTGCTTCCGCAGGCTTCAACACACCCCCTCCTGGCTTGACAACACCCATGCCAAATGGGATTCACGGTGCTGCTGGCGCGAGCAGCCAAGCTGATCTTATGGATGTTGATGGCCCTTCTGTCATCAGCGCTGGCACAGAAGATCCAGATGAGGACGACACAGAGTTTAAGACCTGGAAACAAGTCACGAAGAAAGACCGAGCACAAGCTGCAGCGGAGCGCAACAGACTATTCCGTGGCGAGCACCTGAACCCGGAAGAGCCGGCACTACTACGCAGCAAAGCTGGCATGCGGAGGTGGATCCGGCAACAGAAGATGATCTCTGATAAGCCAGTGATTGATGCCGATGCTTCAGAAGGAGCTGAGAGCGGCGAAGCTGATGCAACAGCTGGCGGCGAGACATTGGCAGAGGGCATAGAAGGCGAAGAAGACTCTACACTGCCTGATTACTACCACCCGCTCTCTGCGATACCAGACCTGAACCCGAAGTGGAAGTGGATGACAGATTCTGAGGGATACGTTGTGCCACAGACGGACGAGTTCATGCGATACTTTGCCAAAGAGACCTATCGTGTTGCACCCGGCGCACTCAACAAGAAGATGGAAGCCAACATCCGCCAGATGCAAGAGACACGGAAAGTTTGTGCGAAAATAGGTGTCGTCAAACAGATGCAGATTCAAGCACAGGTGAGTAACACTGACTAGGCAGTCATGTTCGAAGATGCTAATATCTCACAGACCTATCAAAACCAATTTCAGAAGTATGAGCCGCAGCCCTTTGAAGAGCAGGACCCAGGCACCGTGGTAGTGTCCGAAGACGGTCCCCTGCTTGCGCCTTGGCTCAATCGAGATGCTTTGCAGAAGTCTATTGGCAAGATCTTCTATCATGCAGGTTTTGAGGACTATCAGCCATCCGCGCTCGATTCTATGACGGACGTCGCGATCGACTACTTCATGAAGATTGGAAAAACCATCAAGCAGTATCACGAGCAACCTCCGCAGAATGGCGCTGCTGCACCATTCACAGTCGAGGAGCAAGTACTGCATACTCTCGATGAGAACGGCTTAGACATCGAGACTCTGGAGTCATGGATCAAGGACGATGTTGAAAGGCAGGGCAATAAACTGGGCGTCATGCATGACAGGATGAAATCGCACTTGGCGGATCTCTTGGTAAGTTCGAATGCTGTACTGTTTGTCTCCGTCCTTGCTGACTCTTTTCAAGCGACCCGCTCTGGGCGATCACGCTGGCGCAGATGGCGTTGGTGCTTTCAACGACGGCAGCGAACAATTTGTGGGCGGCGACTTCGCTGAAGACCTTGATGAAGACTTCTTCGGTTTCCGTGAGCTTGGTCTGGCTGAAGAATTCGGACTGGAATCTCTCAGCGTGCCGCTGCATCTACTGCAAAATCGCATGCATGCTCAATACCAGGCACAAAACCAAGGGCCGATCACGAGCGGTGGCCTGGTCTTTGAGCCGCCGACCCCATATGATTCCATCTCGCAAGACACTTTGCCACAGCAAATTGGTCTGGTTCAGGATTACTTCCGCACCAAGTTGCGTAGCTCCCGCGAAGACGCACTTGTGGAAGATGAGGATTTGCCTTTGAAGCAGAAGTTCCCTAAACCTCGGTTGCCCCCCACTGGAAAGATCACTTCACCACGCAAGAGACCGCTTAGAGAACAAGCTCAGGCAGCTAAAAAGAAGCGCAAGCTTGAGGAAATGGCGAACAACAAACCGATTCAACCACTCAAGCTACAGATGCCTACGGCACAAACGAACGGCATGGATCCCGAAAAGAACGGGTCTGGAGACGCGGACGCCCCCTTGAGCCCCCCTCTCAGCCCAGACAACAGTTGAAAGTTGCAAACCGACTGTGCGGTAAATTTAGGAGAGTGGCTCGCATATCATGCTTGACCCCAACACACGAGTCTGGACACTAGGGCATGGTGCCCAGAAAAAGAGGTCTCGCTCCCATGCCGGATTATCCCACGATAGCGCATGCAGATCTATGCGCAGCTTTAACAGTCGCGAAGTTGACTGTTGTGGAGGTAGCAGGAGCACCGTGATAGCCAGCAGCCGACGGAAAGGCCATGTACAAAGGCATACTCGGGAAGTCGTGGTCATATTCAAATATTGATACCCGGCCATTTGCAGAGTTGACGCGGACCAACACCAGAGCCATTTACGGATGTGTGATCAGGTCAAGTACCACGGCGGGACGAAACATCACTATCTACAACTGGATATTCCGAACCACAAAAGACTGATCACGTGGGTGCGTCTTTTTCTGGAAACGACGTATATTGGATGATGTACGCGGCTCAAGGCGACCGAACGGGGTGCGCGGCCGTCACAATGATCGCGTTGGGCGCGAAACAGTACGAGCATGATTTTCAATGGGGCGGGTTCTTCAGGGCGTTCACAGGGGCGGGGCAGATTGCAGTTTTCTTGCGTTTTCGCGATACCCCCAAGTCTGACCACAGGCAGTTGACTAAAGCATTAAGGGTGGAAAGGGAAGGTGTTTAGTTTTCTTGGCTTCATGACACGAGCTGTAGTTTGATACTCATGGGATGGACAGAGCAAGTCGGAGTTGAGGGCTCAGCGAGATGCTCGCGACGAAGCTTGGACACGCAGTTGTACTTAGAACCAGGTAGTGCGTTGTAATTGAGATGAACGACAGATGTTCTGTGCGAAGTGAGGGCCAACTTTCTGCCAGGGCAACTCGAGGAATGGATTCAACGGACGGGGCTGCCACAGACAGGGTGTTGCAAGGGCCGCGTGATGGCTGCGTTGGTACATACGCCAACTACTGCCCGCTCGATCTTTACATCGTCATTTCGAGGGGGCCAAGACGCAGAAAGTGCGCTGTCGTGCAAGGATTACATAGATCGGCACACTTGCCGCCGAGGCGTCAATTTGGTGGGAAAGAGACGAGGCGGGACGCGGACCCTTTCTTCAGATCGACCATTTTTTGTTCACAACACAAATAGTCGCGCTTCCCTGCTATCCACAACCCACACCCGAACTCGGGTTGCGAAACATTCACAGAACCATCCCTACGCGACGACCGCCCGAACGACCGACGACGTGAAGTTGCATGGGCACGTTGATAAGTGACAAGCACTGCTGAGAAGTGGGACCGTCATAAACAACAGCCCGACACAGTCATGTCAGTGTTACCGGCCGAAGTGCATTCTGCACTGGCACAACTGCTCCAGGGCTTGCAGAGCACCGACAACACGGCAAGAAGTGCAGCGGAAGAGCAGCTCAACAACGAATGGGTGCAACAACGACCGGACCTGCTCCTGATGGGCTTGGCCGAGCAGATGCAGGGCGCGAACGATGAGAGTGTGAGTGGCAGACAGTACAGTTTCGACGCGTCAATTTGTGAGCGACACCTAATCAAGACTAGACGAGGAGTTTTTCGGCAGTCATCTTTCGAAGAATAGCCACGCGAACCACGAAAGAAGCGTCGTCCGGGGAGAACAAGGAGATCTTTCTCCAGCTGAACGCGAACTCGAAGGTCCAAATCCGAACGAAACTTCTACAAAGCTACGCCGGCGAGCAGAATAAGACGGTCCGACACAAAATCGCAGATGCTGTCGCCGAGATCGCGAGACAATACACCGACGAGAGCATCCCCGGACTCGATGGGGGCCGTGACACATGGCCAGATCTGCTCAACGCGTTGTACCAGGCGAGTCAGAGCACAGACGCAGATGTGCGAGAGAGTGCCTTCCGCATTTTCGAGGCCACTCCGGGCATCATCGAGAGACAGCACGAAGACGTGATCATACAAGTGTTCCAGAAGGGCATCAAAGACGAGGACATGAAGGTTAGGATAGCGACCATGAAGGCTTTCTCCGCCTTCTTCCAGTCGCTAAACAAAAAGGCACAACCGAAATACTATGGCCTGATACCCGATATCCTAGGAACGCTTGTGCCACTGAAAGAGGCGCGCGACTCAGAAGGCCTGACCGAGGCTCTAATGGCAGTCATTGAGCTTGCTGAAGTGGCATCGAAGGCCTTCAAGGGAGTTTTTGGCCCGCTTGTGACAGTCACAATTGAGATGATCGCCGACAAAGAGCTGGATGACCAGGCACGGCAAAACGCGCTCGAGCTCATGGCTACGTTCGCCGACTACAATCCTAAGCTGTGCAAATCGGACAAAAATTACATCAACGATATGGTCACGCAGTGTCTGTCAATGATGACAGACGTCGGCCAAGATGATGACGACGCTGAAGAATGGAACGCACAGGAAGACGTGGACTTCGACGAGAGCGATTCGAATCATGTCGCCGGTGAGCAGACCATGGATCGTCTCGCTAACAAGATTGGTGGCAAGGACCTGCTGCCCCCAACATTCACTTGGCTTCCACGAATGTTGCAATCGAACAACTGGAGAGACAAGCACGCTGCCCTGATGTGCATCTCAGCCATCAGTGAAGGCTGTGCCGACATCATGGAAAACGAATTGGACCAGGTTCTGCAGCTGCTCCTGCCTACTCTGCGCGATGTGCACCCTCGTGTTCGATGGGCGGCTTGCAACGCTCTGGGACAGATGAGCACAGATTTTAAGGGAACCATGCAGACGAAGTACCACGGCATTGTTCTTCCCGCGCTCATTGAAACATTGGGAGCGCCAGAGCCGAGGGTGCAGTCGCATGCGGCTGCAGCTCTGGTCAACTTCTGCGAGGAGGCCGAAAAGGAGATCCTCGAGCCATATTTGGACCGACTGCTCACTAACCTCATGCAACTGCTGAGAAGCCCCAAGCGATTTGTGCAAGAGCAGGCTCTGTCAACAATCGCTACAGTCGCAGACTCCGCAGAGAGCACGTTCGGCAAGTGGTATCCGGAACTCATGCCAGCACTCTTCAGCGTTCTCCAGGAGCCAAATGACCGCGAGAAGAGATTGTTACGCGCTAAAGCTATGGAATGTGCTACGCTCATCGCTTTGGCCGTTGGCAAGGAGCGCATGGGTCAGGATGCCATCAATCTCGTCAACCTACTTGGTGGCGTGCAGCAAGGCATCACCGACGATGACGACCCTCAAGAGAGCTACCTTCTGCACTGCTGGGGTCGCATGTGTCGTGTGCTTGGTCAGGACTTCGTGCCCTACCTGAAGACTGTTATGCCGCCTCTCATGAAGCTTGCGCAAGCCAAAGCAGACATTCAGCTTCTGGATGATGAAGAGAACGTACAACAGATCGAGCAAGAAGAGGGCTGGGAACTTGTGCCACTCAAGGGTAAATATATCGGCATCAAGACCAGCACCTTGGACGACAAGTTCATGGCCATTGAACTCATCACAGTGTACGCCCAGAACCTCGAGGCTGGATTTGCGCCATACGTACTCGAGATTATGGACAAGGTCGCCATCCCCGGTCTTGCCTTCTTTTTCCACGACCCTGTTCGGGTTGCTTCCGCCAAGGCCGTGCCGCAACTGCTCAATTCCTTCAAGGTTGCCTATGGCCTCAACTCGAACGAGTATCTGACGTTGTGGAAGGGCACAATCGAGAAAGTGCTTGAAGTCCTTGAGACTGAACCCGCAATTGAAACTCTCGCCGAGATGTACCAGTGCTTTTACGAATCTGTCGAAGTATCTGGGAAGGATTGCCTGTCAAACGATCACATGACCTTGTTCATCTCATCTGCAGAGTCTGTTCTCAAAGACTATCAGAAACGTGTCAAGGAACGAGAGGACGAGGCCAAAGAGCGCGAGGATGGCGAGGAACCCGGCGAGGACTACGAATTCGCCGTCGAGGACGATCAAACACTACTCTCCGACATGAACAAGGCTTTCCACACAATCTTTAAGCATCAGGGGCAAAGCTTTCTGCCTCACTGGGAACGACTTTTGAACTATTACGACCTTTTCGTCACCAACGCAGACCCAACACAGCGCCAATGGGCGCTTTGCATTCTGGACGATGTGCTCGAGTTCTGCGGACCTGCTTCGTGGAACTATTACTCGCATATCGCTCAGCCTCTTGTCGACGGCATGCGTGATGATGCTGCTGCAAACAGACAAGCAGCTTGTTACGGTGTCGGCGTCGCTGCTCACAAGGGCGGTGATCAGTGGTCGGAGTTCGCCGCCGGCAGTTTGCCCATCCTTTTCGAGGTCACACAACGACCAAACGCCAGGAGTGATGACGATGCATTCGCCACTGAAAACGCCTGCGCTTCAATCGCCAAGGTCCTACACTTTAATAACAAGAAGGTCCAAAATGTTTCTGAAGTCGTCATGCACTGGGTCGATACATTGCCGGTCGTGAATGATGAGGAAGCAGCGCCATATGCATACAGCTTCTTGGCGCAGCTGATTGACGAGTAAGTCGCACTCTTGCATGCCAGCTAATCGACACATTGCTAACGTTGCGCAGACAAAACCCAGCAGTCATGAACAAAGCAGCTCAGTGCTTCACCTTCATCGCGCAAGCACTTGAAGCCGAAACTCTGCAAGGAGCCATGGCTCAACGAATCGTTGGCGCGGGTCGCAAGCTGATCTCGACAGCCGGACTCGATGCCAACCAACTCTTAGGCTCTCTTCCAGCGGAGACACAGCAAACTGTCAGAGCTTTCTTCGGGTGAACCAAGTTGAGTCCCTAGGACGGCCTCGATTAATGGGCATCACGAAGACACGGATTAGAGGCATGCATACGCAGCGATGGCTTCAGAAGATATGAGCATATACTGGTCCAGCCGTCGATACAACGCCGCGTTCGCGCAGCGAAAGGATGCGCAGTCGCGTCCCTCGTCTGATTTTCTGTTGTTGACTTTTTGGTTGAAGAGCTATGAAACGTGATGATGCATGCATGGATATATCGATGGATGAGCGCGAAGGCCGAAAGAGGTAAGACACGATGCATGATGCGTCCAAGATGAGATATCCCTCAGCACAAATCCAAATTCTTCACACGACCTTTTCGTTTCCTCCCTTCAGCATTCCCGCGACACACGCTCTGCAGACAAGACATATTTCCAAGAATTGCGGAAGCGATGGCAAGCCTCATCAAGCATGCGTGCTTTTCGGAAAGCCAAGCGGATCGGCGTCAAGCTCGAATCCTCTGCATGTACGAGCGACGTCATGTCTTGCTTGTTGTGCGGCTCACGACCATTCGATCACCGCCCACTACGAGTGCACCGCATTTGATTGCGTGTTGCCGTTTTGTGATGCTCTCGTGTTGGTAGACACGGCTGTGCTGTGCGAGGCTCGTGGCAGTTGCAGGTTGGAGCGTACACTCTGATTACCTAGGCGGCACGCGATGGTCGTTGCTCTCGCTTGCGTTGGTGATCCTCTGCGTATTGAGTACATGCACTTGGGGAACTGCTCTTGTTATGATGGCGGTATGATGATGGAGGAGGCTCTTGTCTCGTGGTCATGAGGAGAATGAGATCGGCGTATGTTTACTTTCCTGTACATCAGTACTAGCACTGCTCTTCGCTTCCGCTCGTGTGCTCCACATTGTTCCCTTGCTGTATTATTGTCAAGTCGCACAGTAGGTCTGCTTGCAGCAGAGACGCTGTCCACGCTCGCACTCGAAAATGGCCGACGATACGAAGTATTCGATTGACGACGGTCATAAACCCTCGGTCGACGATGGCCATGTCGAGAAGACCGCTTCGCGAGAACAGAATCCACCCAAATACGACGGTGGACGCCGACGAAGCTCATTCTGGGACAACAGCAAGGAAGATGAAGACCCTTTTGGCGATGAAGAAGACTCCGAAGTCAAATATCGCACCATGACCTGGTGGCAAGCTGCCATGGTAATGATTGCAGAAACCATCTCCCTTGGCATTCTGTCTCTTCCCTCCGTCCTCGCGGCGGTCGGTATGGTTCCCGGAGTGATAATGATCATCGGTTTGGGAATCGTGGCAACATACACGGGCTACACGATGTATCAATTCAAGCTACGATATCCTTGGGTGCATAACATGGCCGATGTGGGTCAGGTTCTGCTTGGACCGATCGGAAGAGAAGTTTTTGGTGCTGCCCAGGTCATTTTCTTGATCTTCACAATGGGAAGTCATGTCTTGACTTTCACAATTGCATTTAACGCGATTACGGGGCATGCGACTTGCACGATTGTGTGGGCGGTTGTGGGGACAATAATTCTGTTTCTGTTTACTTTGCCCCGTACGTTGAAGAATGTCAGTTACCTGTCGATTGCGTGTAAGTATCCTTCTGCCCTTTTGGTCGTGGAGTTCTGCTAAAATGAGGATGCTAGCCTTCATCAGCATTGTTGCGGCCGTCTTTATTACCATGATTGGAGTGGGCATCGAGAAACCGGACCCAGTGGTAAAAGCTACGGTTGTCGTGGGCTTCGCACCAGCTTTCCAAGCCGTAACGAATATCATCTTCGCCTATGCCGGACATGTTGCATTCTTCACCTTCATCTCCGAGTTGAAGGATCCAAAGGACTTCCCAAAAGCGCTCATCTTCTTGCAAATTTGGGACATCAGCTTGTATGTTGTCGCAGCAATCGTCATCTATCGTTACGCGGGACCTGAAGTGGTTTCGCCGGCTCTGGGATCAACTACTCCTGTTGTCAAGAAAGTGGCTTACGGTATTGCTCTACCAACAATCGTTATTGCTGGTGTGATGTTAGTATTAAAGCCAAAGGCGATGTCGTTGTTCTGAGACTGACCATGCCAGTTACGCGCACGTCGCGAGCAAGTACATCTACCTGAGAATCTTCCGTGGCACGAAGCACATGGGCACTCGAACTTGGCTCGCAGTCGGCTCGTGGTTGGCGATCATTGGCACACTCTGGATCATTGCCTGGATCATTGCCGAGAGTATTCCAAACTTCAACGATTTGCTCTCGTTGATCTCCTCCCTTTTCGCATCCTGGTTTACATACGGTATCTCTGGTGAGTTGCACCCTTTGCCTCGGATTCTGTGAATCACTGCTGACTTTAGTAGGAATACTGTGGCTGTACATTAATTATGGCATGTGGTTCAAGAACTGGCGAAAGAGCTCGCTGACAATTGCGAACTTCGCAATCTTCGCGCTTGGAGCTGCGATTTGTGGTATTGGACTTTATGCATCGGGAACCGCAATTTCGCAGAATGCAAGCAAAGGAGCAAGTTGGTCGTGCGCCGACAACTCGGCGAACGAGAAATGAAGTGTCTGCAGTTCTGTTGCTGTAAATGATGTTGCTATACTGGTATCATCGTATCTGATTCATGTTTCAAAGTGCCGTGCTCCTCATAATTCGGCGGGTATCAAAGTCTGGTAGTCGTGATCAGTTGGAGAATTTGCTGGGCAGCTGCACAATTGTTAGCTCGTGCTGTTCGACAGAGAATACTGGCAGCCTTGCCTTCTTGCCCGACTTCGATTCAAAGAGACCACGAAGCTTGTCCGTGAACTTCTCATTTTGCGCTCTGTACTTCTTGGGGTCGACATTGTGGCCAGTCATTGCACCCAGCTTCTTCTCCACCGCATCAACAGCTACAGCCTGTCAGCGATTGTCAAAGTTCTGCGCCAAGAGATGCCCGTACCCTTGTCAAGATAGTCTTCCTTCGGCTGGCCATTGTTGTTGCCGCCGCTCATACTCGAGTTGTAGTTGTTCATGTTGTTATTTGGGCCGCCACCCATACCAGAATTTTGGTTGTAGCCCATGTTGTTATTGTTGTTGTAGTTATTATTGTTCATGCCGCTCGCACCAGAGTTATTGTTATAGTTGGGATCCATGACGTTGTGAGTTGCTGTTTCGCAAAATGCCCTCTTTTCGAAAGTGATGAAGCTGTGATGATGTGAGGATGCGAATGGAGTGAGCTGCAGGTGAGGGAAAGACACTCTATTATACTTGACCGCTACGAGGATCTAGATCGTGCTGTTGCAGCTCGGCCAGAGGAAGGATCTGCTCAGCCCACGCCGTCTCAGCTGGCGTTTTGTTGCGAAACCTTCGCTGGTCTCGCGGCACGATGGCTGCACCGCCTCACGACAATTTGAGTTGTGGCTGGTTATCAGCAGCGATCTCGGATTTGCAATTAACTAGTGCCCGAAACGGGGAGTTTGACGCGAAACAGTCAATGCGGAATTGCGCGATCACTGTTTTGACCAAGTCACTGCACGTCGTCGAAATTGCCATAACCGCCAATTGCACACTTTGCACCACAGTCGCAAAGTCAAGCAACCAGCGTTTCGCGACCGGGCAGTCGTGACCATGGCCGACGCGTTGGAAGAGGCAGGCGAGGTCGGCGGCGCTGCGAATGTGGCCAAGGATCTCTTCTCCGGTGCAGTCGGTGGAATTGCCCAAGTACTCATTGGTAAGATATGGCTCTGACTGTGCATTCTCATAATATACATTCGCGTCTTCAAGACACGTCGCCTCTTCTCACGAGCACTTAGGCACAAGGCACATTTCTAGAGCAATGAAAACTAATCAAGACTGCAGGACAGCCTTTTGGTGAGCTAGACTCGATCCTTGGAACCAAGATAAAAATCTAATTGCCACCAGATATCGTGAAAGTACGGCTACAGACGACATCAGAATACAAGGGGGCTCTAGACTGTGCATCACGAATTCTCAAGAATGAGGGCGCGTCGGCCTTCTACAAGGGCACTCTCACACCATTGATTGGTATCGGAGCCTGCGTCTCAGTCCAGTTCGGAGCCTTCAACTACGCCAAACGAGCATTCGAAGCATCCAATGCATCCAATGCATCGAAGGTCAACAAGACACTCGGCAACGCCCTCCCACAACCACTCAGCTATGGCCAATATTACGCAGCTGGAGCATTCGCTGGAATCGCAAACACAGTCCTCTCCTCTCCTATCGAGCACATCCGTATCCGTCTGCAGACTCAACCGCACGGCGCTGGAAAGCTCTACAACGGACCACTCGACGTAATTCGCAAACTTGGAGCGACAGGAGTCTACCGCGGAACATCTGTGACCCTCCTTCGAGAAGCCCAAGCATACGGAGCCTGGTTCCTCACATTTGAATACCTGATGAACCAAGACGCAAAACGCAGCTACATTCTCCGGAAAGAAGTGCCAACCTGGAAAGTCGCGTTCTACGGTGGTCTGGCAGGTGAAATGCTCTGGATTGCGTCGTATCCATTTGATGTGATCAAGTCGAAGATGCAAACCGATGGATTTGGGGAGAAGCAGAGGTATAAGACGATGAGGAATGCTTTTGCTCAGACCTTTGCGCAGGAGGGCGCTTTGGGCTTCTGGAGGGGCATTGGTCCGACATTGCTGAGGGCTATGCCTGTTTCTGCCGGCACATTCGCGACGGTGGAGCTGACGCTGCGCGCGATCAGCTAGATTTAGGTCGACCAGGAATAGATTTTGATGGAGTACGACATCCTTACACCAGCTGCTCGCGCAAAATTGGTCAAGGACACTTTCCCGAATTGCCTCTCACTGTCATTGCCTCCGAACGTGAGATTACATAACGCTGACTTGCCCGCATGGATATTCGAAGGAAGTCGAAACACAGCGAATGGAATTATAGTACAGGCTTTGTACACTATAATACATCAAGCGAGCTCTCGCGTTCTAGTCGAGGATATCACTATCATCGCTAGCAGTCACAGCTTCAGGTGTTAGAGGTCCGGTATTGCCCGTCCTCGAGTAGTCGCCATCCGAGATCGAAATACTCAACTCCCAGCCATCGGGCTTAAATGGCCATTCGAACCAAGCTTTTGTCAATCCTTCCAGCATTTCGCATGTCAGCTGTCGAACCTTCAGGTGCTTCGGATCAAGTCTGCCACCCTTCCTCGGATCTGTGATCGCAGGCACCAAGTTGACCAAATCCGTCGAGGCATTGGGTGCCAACTTCTCGAGCGCAGATGTCACGCTCTGGCCCCTGTATTGATACAGAAAGTTAATGATATCCCTACAAGCGAGCGCAGCCTGGCGACGGTCCGCCAATCCTGGAACCTCGAGGTCGCAATTTGTCGGTATGCAGTCCAATAAGCAAAGATTCTGGTTTGCGTTAAAATCAGCTGGATCCGCCTGAAGTGGCTCATAATGCCTTCTATCTGCCATCAGAAGTTGTGAGGGCGCGAAGAAAGACGTCCAGTCATCTACAAGTCGGTGGAAGTCCGCATAGTAGACTTGTCTTTTACGCTCAACCTGTTCCACAATCGTGTCGGCAAACTTTATGAGGCTTTCCTTCAGCTCGGTGACATCGACGCCATGCTCTTCGAGGATTTTGCAGTGGAGCTCGAGGCTAATGCCACAGAGAGCAGCATCGGCAAAAAAGGCAATTCTGACGTCGGTACCGGTCAGCATGGTCAAGTTGCCCGGCTTAGCCTTCCATGCCGACGACTCCATCTCCAATTTTGGCAGTGATCCGTGTTGTATTCCCGAGTCTGACCGGGTTTTGGTTCGTGCCGCAGCCTTGAACGATTTGGATGGATCTTCGCATAAAGCATCCGCCAGCTCCGGAAACGTCAGATACTGGTACAATTTTTCGACAGGGACTTTGCCGTGCGGAAGATCAGTCTTGATTGGAAAGCGCCGCCCTGTGGTGCGCTCGTTCCAACGCCGTAGAAGCTGCTCAAGTGCTTCCCCAACCTGCTCCTTCGTTTTGTAACGAATCTGATATGGGGAGTCTGTGGCAGCCTGCTTTTTGGGGCTGCATTTGCCATCTGAACCCAAGCGGAAAAGCTGTCGGCCTTCCGGCACCTTCATGCCATATTGCACAGCTCGGGCTCGGACAACGTCTTCGCTGGCCAAATGGAAGCCACTCCACCTCGATCGAGAACTCCATTCGTTCAGTTTTCTTCTCGCAATGAGTTGTTCCACGGCAACTGCAGTCTGAACATGCATGCCCATGGAGACAGTAGCTTCAGAATTGTTCCTGTACATGGTTCTCTCTGGAAGAAAATGTATTCTATCTTGTTCCGGAGTCCAGAGCAGCATTCTCGCGGGACCGAACCGATGCATATAGTCGTTCACTAATGCGCCATAACAGAAGTGGTAGATTGACGCAACCGAGCCGCTGAAAGATTTGCCGCTGTATTTGAGGCTCTTCCTTCGGTTCAGGCTCCCTATTACGAGAATGGGAGGGGTTGCGTTCAATGGCCCGGAGCTTGAGACGCGGTCTGAGATCGGAATGGGCCCGTCGTCCTGAAAAAGCTGATTGTAGGTAGCCGCGATCTCTTGATGCATCGCGCCTGGCAGATCAATGTGCTTATAGGTCGACTGCGGCTCGTTCACAAGGTCATCTACATACTCCTGGTATTGCGATTCGGGTTCCAGGAGCAGATGACTTTTCGGCCTGAGCAGATTGTGTACTTTTCGCGACCATAGACACGAACCAGGATGTAAATCGATAATAGTACAGCCTTTATACTGCTCGAGAGTTGGCGCGAGGTATTCCAGTACATCATCTAGTCCTCGGTCAGCGCTAGCTCTGGAGTCGATTGTCAGCTTAGTTCATACCCATAAGCTGCTCACTGACAACTTCTGGCCTGTTCCGGGCCGCTCTCAGCACAGCGGAGGTTGCGCGAGATTCCACCCTCGATTGAGGCGTTCCTGTAGTTGTTCGTCCCTTCCTTTGATCTCTGGGAGCCGGTTTCGATCTTCTTGTTGGCTTCGGCACGCGCCCTGCCTCTGACTGAATGGGCCCATTCTTCTCGCTTCTGTCTGCTCTGTGAGAGACTTGTCTGTCATGTCCTCTACTCTGCTTCCTGGCTGAGTTGGCCTCGTCGGAGTTGACTCCCGATGCTTTATTCTCTGCCGCTGCCCATGCTGGGGGTTTCTTCGCGCGTGTGGCAACAGACCAGCTCTCTGATGGGACAGGCGTGACAACCGGCGTGAAGACAACTCGCAGCTTGTTGGACAGCTCATTCGGCTTGCGGAGCAGTCGCTGCGCTGCCTTACTCATTAACAGGAGCACGGAAAGGAGATGTCTATACAGAGTCGCGATGCGGGATAATTCGTGATGGAGAGGTCATGCATTTCGGTTTCGCTCTTTTCCGGAAAGAGGAACCTTGCCAACTCTTGGCACCCGAGCCCGTCATCTCAGGCAGCGACGACGACCTCACGTTTCGGCAACAAAGTAAGATGCCCCCAAACTTACTCAAAACGGTGTGCACTTCTTCAAGACACCGACGACATCACAAAAGCCCAGGCAGACTCCATGTCAGCTGAGCGAAACCCAAGTCACACGTCTAGCAAGGAGGCAAACAACTGGCCTCAGACGATGATCTTTCTATAAGCTTCGAATAAGAGGAGGAAGGCGGTCTCAGGAGCAGCGATGGCTTTGTCCCGCCACCATGCAGCTCTATCCACTCCGAGGAGCGTGGAGGATCTCGTGCAAGAAGCGCAGCAATTCGAGTTCAACACAAATCGTCCTCTGCAACAATGGCTCCGAGCGGCGAAAATGCTCCTCACCGAGGCCTCCATATGCGAGCAAGAAGGCAATTTAGCCACTGCTTATCTATATCTTTACCGCCATGCCGATCTCATTCTGAGCAAATTGCCTGAGCACCCAGACTACCGAGATCCACGTTACAAGCTCGAGTTATCACAGGCTCGAAAGACTGTCCAGCGAAACCTTGTGAAACTTGAACAATGGAAACCACGAATCACCCAGGACTACCAGCGTTATGCCAAGGCGATGGATAGACGAAGTGCAGAGAGGCAACGCGCGCAGCAAGAATTTGACCAAGCCGCAAGACGACTGTCATACGATCCTTCTCGCAGAACCTCAATTGCTTCGATGAGCAGCCGTCCTCCGAGTCCAATCTCATCATTGAGTGCAATGGACAATAGAGAGTTCGCTGTCAATCTTGCTCAGCGCGAATTGAAACGTCGCGATGCATCAAGAAAGTCGACGACGGAGGCAGGCATTCCCGCCGCGACTGTAGCAGAACGACGTCGTGGCCTCGTGGCACCGGACTATGGCGATTATGCAGGTACACACGGACCTTCACAAGGACATGATGACGGTGTGCGAGCAGTTGGCCAGCAGTTGCAGCAACAATCGCTTCGATCTCGCAATGGATCGAATGGGGACCAGTCGATGAGTTCAACATTCAGTTATCCATCGGTGCCTCAAAAAGAAAGTCGTATGGAATGGAATACGCCACCGACTCAGCCCTCCATGCCCCAATCTCGATATACAATGCCGATTCCACCTGCTCGTCCAGCAAAGGAATCGCTCCACAAACACAGCGCCTCTGAACTTCCAAGACGTCAGCCTCCTCCCAGGCCCCCACGACCAGATTCTCTCGAGACGCCCGGGCCCCCACCATCTTCTCCTCAAGTGCCCTCAAAGTACACCTTCAAACCGACCGCTTTCACCGAAGCCGGTGCACCCCTCCGCACCGTCCTACTTCCACCGGACCTTCGCACCCAATTCCTCAATCTCGCAGACCCCAACACATCCCGCAACCTCGAAACATGCGGTATCCTCGCCGGAACCATCATCGCCAACGCCCTGTTCATCAACACTCTCATCATCCCAGACCAAACCTCCACCTCAGACACGTGCGACACCACCGACCAAGGTGAGATCGATCTGTTTTCCTACTGCGACAGCAATGACCTCCTAGTCATGGGCTGGATCCACACTCACCCTTCGCAATCCTGCTTTCTCTCTTCACGAGACCTTCACACCAGCTCCGGATACCAAGTCATGTTGCCCGAAGCCATCGCAATCGTCTGTGCACCACGACATAATCCCGACTGGGGCATTTTTCGCTTGACAGACCCGCCTGGCCTGCCACATGTGCTGGAGTGCAGGAAGCCGGGAATTTTCCACACGCACGACGAGGACCGGTTGTACACGGATGCACTTCGACCGGGCCACGTGGTTGAAGGGCCAGGTCTGCAGTTTGAAGTGGTGGATTTGAGGAAAGGGAAGATGAAAGTGACGTCGTAGAGTGGCGGTCGCAAGAGGGGCGAGGAAGGAAGACGTGCGAAAGTGAAGTGGCTCGATAGAGATGGGTATGGCGGAACGAGGCCAACGGAAATATAATTGGAAGGAGAAATGGTACATTACGACTTTCATGACCAAAAGGCACGCTATCGTTGCAAGGAGAGAGCAACTCCTCCATGTACGATCGTCGTCGCCATCATACATTGCATTTGCATTTTTCTCCATAGACTCAGCATATAGCTCATAGCGGCTTTCAGAAGTGAGAGAAGCTATTGCTGATCCGGTAAGTTTTCTTCTTGGTATCATATCATCAGACCTCACGCTAATCTGGTCAATCCGAGTGACCTGTTCCCGTTGCCAATCCCCGAGCAAGATGCTCATCTCTCCGTGAAGGAACCTCACAGAATAATCATGTCGCTCACGTTGGTCTCTCCGCCCATCCCTAACGCCCAAAATTGTTCGCCTTCTCGCAAGCTCTGTCCAGCAGCGCCTAGAAGCACTTTTCTCATCGTACCAGAGAGACCGTCAAAGGAGCCGGTCAGTTGTACTGGATTTTGTAACGCCGCTACTTCTCAAATCCGAACCGTCCCAGGTCAGGCCCCTGATGCCTTCCCATGTTCGAGCCAGATGGGCCCATGCGGTCATCGCTCGTCGTGTCCATGTTCTCACGCATAATGCGCTCCGCCTCTTGCTGACCCGAACGTCCAGCACCCGACGTACTCGTGTCCACGACGCCCTCGTCATATGTCATCCCGTCGATAAATCGGCTTTGGCTCGCAGTTGGCGTGGTACCGGGACCCGATCGACTGCCGGGTACACCGCTGCTCGTAGGACCCACGGTGCTCTGGCGCGCAGGTGTTCGAGCTCCTTCGCCAAAACCTACGAGCGAACCAGTGTCTCGATCCATATCGCTCATGCCGCCCACGGACGAAGTGTCCATGTCCATGTCTTGACTCTCGGACATCTTGTCAAAGTCTCCGCCTGCTTCGCTGCCGGCCCATGTAGTGCGAGCGCCTACGGAGCCGGTAGCTGAGGCACTGCCGACGGTGCTACGTTCGCGGCCGAGAGCTGGGTTGCCAGTTGAGTCGAAATAGCTGACAGCGGGTGGTACTTGTTGGGCGCCGTGCACACCACCCGCGGGCGTGAGGTTGCCGGTGCTGCCTGGTGTCTGAGGGTTGCGAGCGGTGGTGACGCGTTCGAGGCCAGCAAGGCGGGAGATGCGATCAGCGCGTTCGGCGTCGAGTTGGTTGGAAAGGCCGGAGGGCCCTTGGCTGTGCTGGTGGTGGGGGAGGTGGCCGCGGTGACCGTCTTTGATTGCGACTGTGGAGAGCTCGCTCATGGAGGTGGTGGTCGAGTTGGGCGTGCCGCTGCGCGATCTGATGCGAGTCAGTTATGTACCGCTGTGCGGGAGGCTGCTCTTTGCACATACGGAACCTCGCTGGGAGTTTGAGGATCGCTCGGCGGCGGAGGAAGATTGATCAGAGTCGGCGCGTTGGACATCGCGGCGGAGGAGGGGGTGATGGTGGTGGGAAGTGGTTCAGTTGCGAATGTGTCGCGACTGCGCGTATATAGGAGCGGGAAGTTTTGAGTGATAGGATTGCTTTGCTTTTCACACTTCGGATTCGGAGCGGCAAGGTGTGTATGTCAGCCTAGGTTTGTGTTTGCGTTTAGTCCAGCACTTGGAAGGAGGGACGGACGACGTGGGACAAAGAAGGAAGTTGCTACGCGGGTACGTCACATCTTCAGGGACCTTCGAGTTCTCCGATCGTCGAACGGTCGAGGCGCTCCCTTCTTCACAGCTACATGCATGGGCCGCTGAGCGAATCACGCTACGAACATTTATTGGCAAACAGGAGCTACAGCTACAGCTCGTGGATATCATTGTTTTCAGAGTACATAAACAGCCTCATAGCAGCAGGTTGAAACGCCGCACAACTCATAACGCATTTATCCCCCCAACACCACGCTTGTGTTGAAGGTAGTAGTATCTTTTTGGCCCCCAGTGTCCCCATGTAAACGCCCAATTATGCATACAACCGCACCACTGCTTAGACTGGCAGAGGGAACGTGCTGGCCCAGGCAGCAATCTCCGCCTTGAGCGTGCCAACCTCAGGGACGTTCGCAGCGCCACCAGCAAGCTTGGCCTTGAAGTCCTTCTGCTTGTTGGCGTCCTTGGGCAGCTCCGACTGCACCTTGGTGGCGAGCTTGATGCATTGATCGATGTAGCCCGCAATTCGGTCAAAGTCTGCCTCGCCCATGCCTCTGCTGGTCATGGCTGGCGTGCCGATACGGATACCGCAAGGTGTGAGAGCGGACTTGTCACCGGGTGTGGTGTTCTTGTTGCAAGCAATGTTGACTTGATCGAGCACAGCTTCTACACGAGCACCGTCGAGGCCGAGAGGCTTGAGGTCAAGGAGAACCATGTGGTTGTCTGTGCCGTCTGTCACCAGTCTGTAGCCCTTGGCCTTGAACGAATTCTCGAGCTGCTTCGCGTTCTTGATGACCTGCTGCTGGTATTGCAAGAATTCTGGCGTTTGAGCCTGCTTCAGTGCAACAGCAAGAGCAGTGATGGTGTGGTTGTGTGGGCCACCCTGGTGACCAGGGAAGACAGAGAAGTTAATTGGGCCCTCAAGATCGTAGAGAACCTGCACTTCCTTGCCAGCCTTGATCTCAGTCTTCCTCACACCCTTGCGGAAGAAAATCATGGCACCACGAGGGCCACGCAAACTCTTGTGGGTAGTCGTCGTGACAATATCGGCGTACTCGAATGGCGACTTGTTGACACCAGCAGCAACGAGACCAGAAATGTGTGCCATATCCATCATCAAGTATGCTCCGACCTTGTCCGCGATTTCCCTCATTCTCTTGTAGTCAATCTCACGGCAGTACGCTGAAGTACCAGCAACGAGCACCTTTGGCCTGTACATGAGAGCATTCTCCTCGAGGCGATCATAGTCGATCAAACCCGTCTCCAGGTTGACTCTGTATGGGAATGTCTCGAAGTACGTTGACACGGCGGAGATCTTCTTCGAAGGTGTCTGGTATCCGTGGCTCAAATGTCCACCGTGAGGCAGATCCAAACCCATCAAACGATCATGTGGCCGCATGATCGCCTGGTAGACCTGCAAGTTCGCAGGGCTGCCACTCAGACATTGCACGTTTACACCCCACTTGGCGGGGTCGAGGCGGAAAGTCTCGAGTGCACGCTTCTGGCATGTAAGCTCGATGCGGTCAATGTGTTCGTTTCCACCGTAGTAGCGGGCACCTGGGTAGCCTTCGCTGTACTTGTTGCTCATCGGTGACCCAAGAGCATCGAAGACGGCGCGGGAAGTAACGTTTTCGGAGGCGATGAGGAGGATCGACTCGCGTTGACGCTTGATCTCGTCGGTCATGATAGACGCGATCTCGGGGTCGGTCTCGACCAGAGACTTTTGCATCAGGTCTTGATGACTCTGTGGCAAAGCCAGGTGGGCGCCATTGACTCCGTTGGCGGCCATTTTTGCAGCTGTCGTTGTTGTTTGACGAGGAACTGGTGTATGTTGGTTCTGCTCGGAAAGTCGTTCAGTCCACACAGCAAGAACAATGGGAAGAAGGACTGAAAGCGAAGAGTCAAGGCAAAAAAAGGCGGTAGACAGCTTTTCACGCCCGCGCTCCAAGCTTAGCTTCCCTTGCTAGACTTTTTAAAGTCGCGTCCCAGATTCTCGACGAACCGCGCAAGAGGGGCACCTGCATGGATTTCCCGCCAACACTGTCCAGCCAATCATAGTTCTCGGTCGCCGAGGGTCCTTCTGCTTAGCACGATCTGTTTGCGGGCCTTTTTGCAGATGCACATCGTGCCCACTCCGGTTTCTCCCTCGCTCGCCGTTGCCTCCACCAACTGCACCTGCTTGCTGCTGCTGTTGCTGCTGTGAACCCGAGCTTGCTGACATTGTTGTCGCGTGTCTCTACATGTATACCATACTTACGTCGGCAATGACATACGCTGTCGCAAGTCGCGAAAGGCCCCACCATGTCTCGAAACTCGGCGTCCCTCGATCATCGTGATGGCATCGGGTCATTTCAACTCAGGTCGCTTTCGCTCGCAATGCGAACGCATCCCAACCATCAACAGTACCCGGGATGAAGGCTGCTCGCATCCACGCTTCCCTCCGCTCTTCATTTGCATGTCGTGAAGATCAGGAAACGGTGCAACTCATGTCTAGCCGAATGTTCCCGTTCCTTGCTTCAGCCTCATCGTGTACTGGGGGTAGCTATGCTGGAACGGGACGCCGTGTCCTCCGCGTGGTGGTCATGCGGTCTGGGCTGTGCGATCACTTGGCGGATATGCGGGGAGGAAAGTACAGAGGTGATGTAGCGAGAGGGCAGCAAGTGTACGTGAGCGGCTTCAGGGCGGGCGGAACACGGCTGCGGATGAGAGCTCTTCATAGAAACAGTGCGAGAATGTGAAGAGGCTGGGATCGATGGTGCTTGTCGCAGTGTAGGCGGCAAGAGCTCGTCCAACATTCGTGCGATCTATGGCAGAAGCTTGCTCATATGCATTGAGTTGAATGTTCTCCAGGACTAGCCGCTAGCTATCTCATCGCACTTCAATTCTCGATTCTGTCATGTCTGATGACCGGTCTGCGTATCCGATCAAAGCCCATTTATCCATTCGTGCGCGTCATATCTCAATCGCTCGTTAGAAAGTCATCAACATCTCTCGTTGCGCCCATGCGGCCGGGCGATTACGTCGCAAACCGCACAGTCCTTCGCGTAGTGCCACCGTCACTCCCCAATCCATCATTTGCTCCATCCAAGCCGATACCACCACCGGCGATGGCTTTGCCTCGCCCAGAGCCACGTCTTCGTTCCAACCGCTTCTGTCTGGCTTCTTTTGCCTCTCTTGCTTTCCAACCTTCCACCTGCTGCCTCCGTTTCTGACTCCGCGCGTAAGCAATTGCAGGCGTAGGCCTGAAGCCAATTCCGTTGATACCCTCTCCATCATCATCCGGAGAAGTAATTTCATGCCCAGTAATTTCTGAATCTTGCCATGTTAAAGACGCCGGGTCGAAGCTGGTCGCATCATCGCTGAAAGATGAATCAGGTGATTTGCTCAAGAAGAGATTCGCTTCCTCGTTGGTCCCTTGTGAGCACTGTCCTAGCGGAGAAGGCGGCGGCGGGGAGAGCATTCTTTTGTTGTTTCTCGAACTCGTTTTGAATTCCGTTTGCTGGCGCTGATAATGATCTGATTCGGCATCGTCCTCCGACGACATAACCATATCGATCGCCTGATGCAGATCGCGAATGCCATTCTCTCGTAGTGGCGTGGGAGGTAACCATGCATAGTCTTCATCGTCCAAGATCGTCTCATCGACCTCCAAAACAAGCGTCGTATTCCCACTCTCGCTGTCTGGGATCTCCACACAACGACCAGCACCTTGGGGTGGAGTTTGCACCGCGTCTCCTAATAACTGCCTCGCTTGCACAGCTCCACGCAAGTCGCGTATATGAGGATTGCGTTTGAGCTTCTTCCGTGGCGACTGTGAAGGACTTTGCCGCTGTGGACTGGTGACTGCGTTTGTAGGTCGTGCTTGGCGGATAGCTAAGTCCTTCAGCCGCTCGGCAACTTTACTTCGCGGACTGTCGGGCACCACGAGACTCCCATCCGAATTCCACGTCGTGTCAACTCGAAGTGATTGTGCTGGTCCAGCAGCGCTTCCAGCAATGGGCACATCAGCCTCGTCCGGATGTAGCTTCCGCTTTGGCGAGGGGTTCCGCGTACTACCATGAGGAGGCGGCGGGCTGAGAGATGACTTGGGTGTGGGCGTCCGGTAAGGCGGGTTTCGGTACGGCCCCAGTATCATCTTGCTTCTTGTGATGGTGGTGTGTTGGAAAAGCGATGCATGGATCCAACGATGGTCAGTGGTGTGAGTTGAGTGGTGAAGTTGGCAAGTTCGAGGAGTCCAGGCAGCGTGGAAGGTGCGGGTGGGGCGAGCTTGCGTCCAATGAGCGTGCTGCGCCGTTCACATGGCAAGCACAAGTGAGAGATCGGAAGGAAGGCAAATGCCGCCGCTCGTTGACGCGACTAGTGATTATTCTGATGTTTCTGTGTGCTTTCCTATTGTTACAGTCATGAAACCTGCGATATCCTCGTTGCTCGTGTCTCCCACTCGAAACGCCTCGCTATCCCATCTCAACATGTGAAAACTGTCGTGTGGTGTATCAGAAGAAGCTGTCTTACTCGTACACGAATACATCTCCAAGCGTCTTCCGCCTCTCCAGGCGCCGCTTTTCTGTGGAGTACTGCCCGTTGGGGAACGCTGACCATCTCCAGCGCTTCTAACCTGAAGTGTGAATTCCTCGCGGGGCCAGCACATCATCGATCTTCGGAGCTTCTTGCGCATCCTCGTCCCGACGGCTTGAGCGCGACAACGGCCTGCCTTCTGCCTTCTTTGCATAGAAGGCCTCCTTAGCCTTTTGGGCCGCGGACAAGCTGTCAATGTACGTTCGGAACTTGACAATCTCGCGGAGCAGATAGTCAGATTTGCGCTGCCAGTTGGCCATGGCTTTGGCGAAATTGGGGTGGCGGGGCGAGTACTGTATCCTGTCAGTATGCGAAAAGAGGGCTGAAAGTGAAATCGACTTACCGCAAGCTCGATGGCATGCTTAAGCTCGTTGTGCTTCTCGAGCTCCTGTTCTGAGTTCTGCACGTACGCAGTCAGTTGCCTCAGCTGATCCACTTCCATCAGTTGACTAGCCATCATTGACTGCGTCGGGGGATGCCACTCATGTATCATAACCTTGTCCGCTGGCAGTCTAATCTTGCTGCTGCCGTAGCCGGTGTCGAAGCTGGAGCGAAGCGAAGATTGCAGACTACCCCTCCCCGGACGGTCGGTCGATATGCTGTGGCTGTGACCTCTGGTAGCCATTGAGGAAGGTGGTGTGCTGAACGTGTCGGATCGATCTGTCAAGGCGGAGTTGATGACGTGTTCGGACCAGCCGTATTCAATGTTCGACACACCACCCGACAGTGGCTCCTTGCTCAGACGCGCAGACCAGTAATTGGCAGTTGTCATGAATTCGATGGCGATCTCAGGAGTGCCGACTTGGAATAGATGTACTGCTCCATTAGGCAGACTGAGAGCCCACACATGCGGCCGAGCCTTACTGTAGCCGGGGGGTGGTAGGGTGGATGCGATTGTCTGTCGTAGCACGAACACTTCAAGCTGCTCTGCGTTCTCCATCCAATCACCACCACCGACTCTTGCCCCGGTCACGCTGGCTGCCTTGCCAATTCTGCCAAGTTGCGCTTTTCTAGAACTCGACTGTTTGGAAGTGGAGGTGCCAAAGGCGAAAAGAGTCAGTTTGCCCTTGCTGATGACGGCGAAACAATCGTTCCAGTTGCGCTCTCTGGACTTTCGGTCAGGTGCATCAAGGTGGTGTTTGTGCTTGAGCAGGCCTTCCTTGGCCCATGGCGCTCCCTCCAAAGCAAGCGCTTCATCTTCCAGCAAGCCTCCATTGACAGAGAATGACTCGGATTCGCCACCGCTGGTCTCCTCCCGGATGATTGCAGAGGACAAGGCATTGGCGAAGCCGATCGAGTGCTTGAAATCGGCCATGGCAGACATGTTGGAAAAACTGCCGACCGATGCAGATGTAAGAGTCTTGCTGTAGGAATATTTGCTGCTTTGAGCTGGTGACCAGAACCCGCTTCCATCGTCGAAGCTGGTTCGAGAGGAGCCAGCTGTGCTGGGTGGGTACAATTTCCCTTTAGCTCGATTACCTCTGCCGGGCCATCTCATTGCAGATCGGAAGTCTTTGGCGTTCGACCTGTACGACATGGACGACATCGCTTCGGATGGCGCCTTGCTTACTATGGAGCCAGAGCGCTTGAGCGTGCTGCTCATATCGACCACGGAAAGATTGCGGTTGCTCATAACATCTTGTGCCGTGGCGCCGTGCAAAGGAAGAGGTTCGGTCTTGATCGAAGTGAAGAATGACTTTAGAATAGTTTCCAATTCTGCTTCCCATCCTCGGATATTGCCTGTCCAAGGGCTGCTGACCAATGCATTCGACACGCCGTTAGCTGCAGATTCCGGTGTCATCACGTCGGAGTCGTTGCGCACTGCAGATGGTCGAATAGACAATCGCTTGGAGTTGACAGCAAAGCTTGAGGCAGAAGCGGGCTCTAGCATCGTGTTCGAGTCGGTCCGCTCTGCTATTGCTGATGGCGACGTAGGTGTCATGATCGGCGAAGTCGGTTCAGAAGGACCTGAATTGGACCAAGGCATTGTTGGTCGCAGCGCGCTGGGCGTTGGTTTAATGGTACCACCAAACGCGTCAGGTGCAGCGTCCTGCACTACACGTCTGATGGTTGGCAAAGTATTCTTGACATACGCACTCCTCGACATGCGCTCCTCGATGTCTGCTAAGTGCAGATCTGTGTTTAGAAGAATGATTGAATAGAAAATGGTGTGTATGACGTCCTGCGCTTTGAATCCATGGTTTGGGTTGCACTCGCACCATCGTGCAGACAGAGCTGTGATGATACGATCGAACTGCTGCGTTTCTCCTTTGAGGGTTAGTTTGCTGCAAAGCAGCCGCAAAGCAGCCAGCACATTCAGCCCGGAGAAATCAAACAGCCCCATGTATGCTGCAAGTGTTTTCGTGCTGAGCGTATTCCGCTCGCCGAGCCAGGAAGCAGCGTCCGCTTTGGGGACATCCTCTTCATCGCCATCGAAAATCTTGCGCGCGCGTTCTTTGTATTCGGCGCCGTCCTCTGTCAAAGGAGAGGGAACCCGAATGATTGTGGGGTCACTAGACTTCCGCGACACCGAGCCGTGGTTGACCGGACCATTGTTGACTTGACTGTTGTTGACCGTTACCATAGGTAGTAGAGCCTGCGGGACGGGGCTTGTCTGCGCAGACGAAACTGGCTGTGTTGCTTGACTGACAGTGGGTCCAGGCGCGAGTGCGTTCGAGGTCCGGGCAGCGAGTATTGTCTGGCCTTCAGTGGCGGATAGGTCACCGTCTCTGTTGAGACGCTCCTCAGACGCGGTTGGCCTCAGCACCAGCCGGTCGGACGTCTTTGAAGGTGGCCGCTCCGGCCCTGAGTGCGCTCTGACGTACCAGCCATCTTCATTGACGCTCAACTCGGTGTTGGGTTCGATGGCAGAGTCTTTCATGTCAGAACCAAGTAGATCTGGACTGTCTGCCTTGGACCTAATTATACGATCGCCAGTGCTGGGCCTGCTACTGTCAAGAAGAAGGTCGTTGTAGTCGCGGGCAATCATATCGGGAGGGATGTCACCAATCGGTGATACCCTGCCCGTTTCGTTGCTTGGATCAGCCACTGTCCCACGCACCGTTTCTTTGCTGGGTTCCCGCTCGTCTTCAGAACCCTTGTTGCCCGCTGTGACCAGGGCGTCCGGTTTGCGTTTCTTGACTTTCAGCTTCGACTTCGGACTTCCGTACTGCACCGGTATTGGATATCGTGATTGAAGCGATGCATCAAGCGGTGGCGTGTAGCCGGAATGAAAAATGTCGGGGTCCTCGGAGTCCTCTGTTTTGGTGTCACTGGTTGTGGGTCGTGACACCGTCTCATCCTTGGACTTGGCTGTGCCATTGACATCACGTGTGTCTTGGGAAAGGTATGGATCCATGACCTTGCGTAGACTGCTGATCGACGGACTGGGTTGAGCTTGGTTCACAGTAAAGTTCGTGGGAGTTTCAGACGGGAGTGGAAGTGGTGGCGGCTGCAGTGTTTCTGATGCGGACTTCTTGCGTCGTCTGAAAAATGAAGAGGGCTTCTTGTTGAGCGTCTGAGTTGTGGTGGGCATGTTGACGATAGGTGTCTGCTGCGACTCCGCATTGGGAGTTTGTGCAGCGGATGCTTGGGACACCGACCGAAGAGGTGCATCTGACTTGGTCGCAGTTTGGCCGACGTGCTTGGAGCTGGGTCGTTCAGTGGGCGAAGAGACCACGCGTGAACTTCCTCCAAAAACGCGTTTAAAAAAGCCCTGCTTCTCTCGTGGGGGAGAAGGGTCTCTTCTTCTAACCTGGTTTCCAGGACTGGATGGCACAGTCGTCTGCGCGGATGGCGGGTGCAGACCCGTGATTCCGGCTCGCATGCTCTCCGTCCTGACGAAATCCGCAGCTTGGGTCCTAATTTCTGGTGGAATGAGATTTGGCGCATAACCAGACTTTCCACGCAGGTTATCCTGCGTGGCCTGTTTGCGCAATTGGTTCGGCTTTTGTGCCTTGGGGTTTGCAGAATTGACGTAGACCGGACCATTCGCGGTGGGGTTGAGCTGTTTCCGTGGGCCGGCTGCGATGACTGGTTCTGGTGCGGCTTCACCATCTGATTCGTTGTTCGACTCGTACCTGCTGTGTATAGAAGGCACCGGTCGCCCACGCGTGAGCACGGAAGGCTCGCCCGATCCCGTTGTTATATGCTCCATGCTCACTGAGCGCCGCGCGAATGCTGGCATGGCAGCGGGCTCCAACGATGCGCCATTGGCATGACTATTGCTCGTTTCTCCGTTTGTCATGCCGCTCTTGTTATTGATTGTTCTCTGCGTATCGCTACTATGCCGCCCCATACTGCCCGGCTTCAGACGCATCGTCAAGCTCTGTCCAAAACCAGATATCGAATTACTATTGCTGCGTCGGCCCCGGCCAGACTGGATGGAACGATTGCCTGGAGACTCCACGTGTCGCGCGAACTCGGAATCGGAAGATGAATGCGTATGCCCTCTGGCGCGCTGCTGGGTCAGGCCTGATGGGAACTGGCCAGTGAGGGAATGTAGAAAGGTATGGCGCTCGAGATCTTGGGGCTCCGCCATTGCGCTGTTGTCCTGGTGCGAGAAGGAATCGAGCGAGAGTAGGAGGTTGTCGACAACAGAATCGCGCGTCGTCATGTGCCACGACAGCCCATGAGAGTACCGCTGCTGGTCGGACGGCGCCGTGATGGTTTGGGGCGAGTTGGGGCTGTCGCCGGGACGCACTGGCTGTTTGCCCTTCCGTTCGCTGCGTGTTCGAGGAGGCGGCGTGCGAGGAGGACTCCCACTGCCGCTACGCCAGTCCGGTGGTGAATTGGTCGTTTGGCCGTCGCGAAAGCCTCGTGAGCTCGTCCGGATGCTGGGAGGAATGGGAGGACTCCTCGGCGGGGACTCCAGGCCGGCAGTAGCATGTGCAGTAGTAGCAGAGCGCGATGCAGAGGAGGCAGAGGCTGATGCATACTGATGGGGCTCCATGGCGAGCAGGCGGGTGCCGGCAGCAGGAGGCAGCACAACGCAGCAATGGTTCGCCAATCAACCCTATGCTGGACGGGACTCGCAGTGCGGCATCCGTTTTGGCGCAGCAAGCCCTGGCTGCTCGCGCAGTGACAGCAGCAAGCAGCAGTAGGGGAGCGGTCGTCGGAGCGCGTGCAACAGGCCAGTTGCTTCGAGCGCGATCTTCCAGAAATCATCAATGCTCACGTCCAGGGGTGCATGGTCCGCCGAGCGCGCCACGATCAGATGCAGCCTAGCCTTGCAGATCGCGTCGCCGCCGCGGGGACTGCCGTGTGCGCGGAGAGGGCTCGCTGTGGGTGCCGCGGCGGTGGTGCGGGCGGGCGGCGGCGTCGAGGAGGGTGTCGCGCGGGCAGACACGGCCGTGTCACGCTGTTCATATACGAAACAGCGTCGCGACGGCCTCTGCGACGCCAAACATCTGCTCCAAGCAATGTCGAGGAACTCGCAAGGATGATGGAGTTATCTGACTCTGCAGGGTGCTGCTCGGGACCCACCACCGTCTCGGCAACTGTTTTCCAACACCAACGCATATACGAGCGGTCTGCTATTGCATCTTCAGAACGCGAACGCGGCGCGATGCCGCCACTTCACAGCATCGCTTCGCATACATTTCTTCTTCGTGCCACTGTCGCAGGAGTCTTGCCCAGCAAAACTCGCACAGCATCGGGTGACACTCTCCTGAAACGGAGGAAATGGGCCTGCATTAGCCTCTGATCCTGACCCAAGTTCCTGCATGCATGCATAGCCTTTGCATGAAAGACCCCTCTTTTGGCCAGTGGCAGTTTCGCGGCTAAGAAACATATCAGAATGATTATGCGACAAGTCCAATTGTACCTTTGTCGTTGCCAGACACTTTCGCCCGTTCTGGCAGCGATACCGCCTGATCCTATCATGTTCGTGGCTGCATGCCCGCTTCGGCGATGCACTGCACACCGCCGAGTCAGCTTCACGCATTGTAACAGCTGTAGCTTGAAGGCAAATTCCATCCTCCACCCTCCTGTCAGTCATGGCTGTGGCGCAAGAGCGCTTCACTGCATCTGTGGCAGCTGTAACATGTATGTTGTGGCAAAGGACGGCAGATGGAGGCGGTGAAACATATGAGCTTCCCCTTGTATTGCGGCATACCGTGTGGCCCGCAGCACTGACACGTGGCAGCAGTCTCCAGGTCTGATTGATACATGCCTGCAAAGGTGATATCTTTCACGTTCTTCGACAAGTGAAGTTCTCGGTTTGAACTTCCGGTCTGTGCGCCATCCTCAGTGACTTTGTCCTCAGTGACGCTTCACTACAGGCAAAACCGGCTCTCATACACCTCGTTTTCGGTCGCGAAATGCTCAGCTACTTGCAATGCAGCCGGTGATATGAAATACACTCCGAATAGGCTTGTCAGCAGAAGCTGCGGGCAAAAGCTCGCCACGATGCCTGGTCTATAGCCGCCCAAGATGTCTTAAGCTCAATTGGCCTATGTACTGCCACGCTGCTAAGACATTCAGAAGGCTCTGAGGCTCGATCGCTTTTGACTAGGCTTATCAATGTGCGAGGGTCAGCCAAGTGAAGGTGGACGCAAACTGAAGTCTCACCAATTGATGTACTCCAACACTTTGAGAGCCATCAGCTCTTCGCTTTGATCAATGTTAATTCCTATCGCTCCTCATCCTAGGCAACCTCTGACCTACGTGTTGCACAAGTTTCAGACGCTCCCCCCGATTCACGATAGACATATACCGTTCATAGAAGTTGAACACATTCGTCTCGGCTCAAGGACGCCAGGGGCGCGATGGCAGTCCTCTTGAGGAAATATTGTGCTTTTCTGCCGTTTAGGGTGCACGGCGGATACGTAGCACACAGTACACACCAAAATCTCGATAGATCGCGAAATTGGGAATCTGGGCCAAAGTGATATACATGTAGCTCGTAACATTCGACCTTACTCACGTCTGGCCACACTTTCCATAGGGAGGATCTCGCTGTGTTGTCTTCTCGAGGCCGCAACGATGGAGCCTTGCTGACCGTGCACTGACCTGAACAGTTCTTGATATTAAGATGCTCTGCTGTCTTTCTCGTTCATCCTGCTTCTTGAGCGCGAGCATGATGCGTGATGGGAGCGGCAGGAGAGCGGCCAAAGCGCCAAGACTCGTTCGCGTGAGATGACGCTTTGAAGAAAGCTGGCGCGACTTTTCGAGTTGAACCGTGTCTCTTGCTTTTCAAGCTCGCTATCCCAATGCAATGACAACAAAGTGGTCGAGCAGCTGCTTTGGCGCTGTCTCGGGTGCATCGAGAGCACAACATATCTACAAATTGGCCAGACCCGCAGTCAGCATCAGGCGATATGCCACCAAAAGCACCGACCAGGAAAGCGACATCGATCGACACGAGAGAGCTGCGCTGGTGGAGATACAGGGCCTCCGCAAGGGCGACCTCATCAATCCTCCGCGGTCCACGAGACCTCCTCCGCTGAAACTACCGGAACGCGGCGATGCCAATGTCGCGCTGTACTACATCCGCATTGGAAGATCGTATGGCTCGTTCTACTGGCGAGGTGTTAAGGCGGTGTGGTTCAATCACAAAGCTGCAAAACTCTTGAAGCAGCAGGTGCAGAAGAACGGCGGCTCTGCAGCGCCAGAAAAGTCATCCGACGTGGCGAGCCTGTTGACGAGATCGCAATTCCAGCTGCTCGAGAGGAATAGCTACGATATCGGAAAGTTGCCTTTCTTCGGTCTCCTGGTTGCAGTCTTCGGCGAGTGGTTGCCGCTGGTCGTGCCTTTCATCCCGAGCGCTGTGCCGGGGACATGCAGGATTCCCAAACAGATCGCCGATATGAGGAAGAAGGCAGAAGAGAGGAGGAGAATCAGCTTCAGGGCAGCCATAGAGGAGCCCAGAGCAGAGCAGCTCATTGGAGACAAGGATTCCACAGAGAAGAAGCTGTGGGGAACAGCACACAACGAATATGCGAATGCACTACTGGGCCACTTGCGCACCGACCAGCTGCTGCATCTCTCGTCCACTCTGAATCTGCACAATCGCATGTGGGATCGCTTCCAGCTCGCGCCGCCGTCATTCTTGCTGCGAAGGAAGGTGACGAAGCACCTTACGTACTTGGCTCGCGACGACCAGCTGTTGCTGAAGCAGCCATCGGCCGTGAAGTCCTTGGAATCTGAAGAGGTGCAGATCGCATGTGACGAGCGTGGCCTGGATGTGCTTGGCAAACGTGAAGATACTCTGCGTGAGACCCTTCACACTTGGCTTGAACATCAGAAGAAGGATCAGGGTCGGGGCACAGCTATTCTGAAGATGCTGTTCAGGAGACCAAACGCATGGAACACGAAACAGGGCTCGTGATTGCGTTGCATAGATGTACATTATGCTGCAGGCAACGGCAGTGTAGGATAGATACCCAGCACATGAGGATTGTACAGAAGACCATACTGTAAAACAGCAATGTGGTAGTGGCTCAGGAAAGCTAGGCGGAGTGCAGGGCCCAGTTGTAACGTTAGGGAATAGGAGGTAAGACGATTCAGATCGAGATAACTCACACGGAGCTCAACAGTCAATCTCCTAGCTCACGAGGCGCCGACACTGCAAGGTGTGAACACCTCCATCTCGACAGGATTAGACGGCGACGACGCACGACGTCCTTTGGGCCCTGAGTACGGCACACAAGGTCCCAGATGTGTCTTCAAGAGCTGAGTTGACGTTTGATCGGAGCAGAATAGAAACAAACATGGTATCAACGCAGCTACGAAGGAACTCTCAGATGTTCCTAACCGCTTGCTCACCTATAGTGAGCTACCCTTGCGGCAGAGCAAGTCGATGTTTCTGCGCGGTCGACGACTGGCTTCGACATTGGCTATCAGCCTCGGAACGTAACGATCTCCAACGGTCGCAGTCTGTGGAGGAGTGCTTGCCTCTCACTTGTTCCGCGCTTGGAGTGCAGATCAGTTGCGCACTGAGCCAAGACCCAGGCGTGGGAGCGCCTCACAAGGTTTCTCGTCAACACTCTTTGCTAGAGAGTCATCATACCTGAGGGAAGGCAGAAGAGGGTATGAGCGGGCTTTGGTGGCCTTGACACATCTCACCGAGGCCTCACTGCCGCAAATACCTTAGGAAGGCTAGACTTTGCCAATATGGCCGACAGCAAAGCACACAGCCCGTCGCGCAAGGACCGCCAATACAGAGAGTCACAATCATGTTGGCAGCCCAAAACTCTGTTATGTCCTTAAAGTCTACTTGGACCCCACGGGAAACCAGGTCTCGCTCATATCGACATGAGCGCTACCTGACCCGTTCAATGGAGAAATTGACATCCGCGTCACAATGCAGACACGGAGGCTTTCATCTCATCTGGATTCGCAGTGCCTTTCGAAGCCTGACTTGTGGTCTGCCTGTCCTTAAAATCACGATTAGTGGCTGTCTTGCATCCATGGTATGAGCCAAAAATATTTTGAGGCCACACTACTTCTCCCATGGAAAGACCACAGGTCGATGTCCTTAAAAACTCAGTTCGTGTTGGCACAAGCAGCGAGAGAACCTCTCTCGCCCGCCCTCTCCACGCCCAGGACATGCTACCTTCCAGATGGGAGGTCGCTCAGCAGACTGGAGTGATGGATTCTGGCCTGGACGACGGATCTGATGCCTTGGAGGGTGAAGAGTTGGCGGAAGCTCTGGCGCGCATGCACGGCGTCAGAAATGAGAAAGACCAGGAGAAGAGAATCAGCCTCTCTCTTCGACAAGTGCCTCTCTCGCGTCCTGAACAGCCTCCACGCCGCCCAAGATCCCCCGGTGCCCTAGATCGGGCCATGATGACGACCGGAGTCTTTGATGACCACACAGATGCCACATTGGCTGAGTTCCAGGCGAAACAGCGCGAGCTGGAGGTCTGGAAGCAGGCAATGCTGGCTGATGGATGGAAGCTGCCCCCAGGAGCTGTCAAGGTGAACTGGGCCAACCCGTTGGCTCCTTCCAGGCCAAATTGGGCAGACGTTCTGGAGTGGAGGGCGCAGAAGAGAGCTCAGCCGCTGTCCGAGCAGATGGAGACAGCTAGTGAGACCAGTGAGGCAAGCACGAAGGTGAAGCGGGTCGACTCTCTTGTCGATCCAAGTGAGAGTGTCCTTCCCCTGCCAAAGAGGCGCAAGCTGTCTCCTCGAGACTCGACCACAGTCGGAGCTGCTCAGCCTCGCTCTGCGTCTGGAGTCGCTCGGGTTCGAAATGCGGAAGCAGCGAAAGTGGACAAGAAACCCAAGCCCACTATCAGACTTCGCAATCCGAAGGCGAAGTCCGCTAAACCTGAGCCTGCACCACCTGCTCCAAGATCAGGAGGACGCACAACGCGGACATCGGTGATGGGGAGCGCAACGATGAGGGAGAAGAGAGAGGCATATCTCGCCAAGAAGCACGGTGACTGAGCTAATGTCTCTACCACTGACGTATTCTGGCGAGGCAGGGGCCATGAAGAACCATGTGCACGTGGACCAAGTTCTCACGTGGGAATTGAGACCTGCAGCCGCTCGCATCCGCGCCTCTACACAAATGGATGATCTGAATCCTGCTTCGGTATCGTGATCGCTGATGCCAGGTGATATCTCGGTAATGATAGATCCAGACCCGATACTTTAGCTTCGATGCCCATCACATTTCCCATCACAAACTTCAATTCCATTGTCGTCCCTCTGCCAGCCTGATTCGCCACGATTCTGCCCAATGTGCTTACTCTCTCCGACATGCTTCACATATGCGACCTTTCCTCCCTCACCTCTTCGCCTCCTCCAATTCATCTCCGTATTACTGACCCTCGGCCTCCAGACCCCTCCATACTCTTCCTTACATTCCCTCTCCGTTCGGAACCTCAAAATATCATAATCACTATCTCTCGTCATTGCCGCATCCCGCTCTCGTGTCGTCACGACATCTGATCCCAATATCACCTGATTGACGCCTAATTCTGACAGCCGAAGTTTGTGGAGAGGTGCTTCCCAGGAGGTCATGTAAACTGAAATTTGAGTGGCGGAGACGGAGTGGTGAGAAGTAAGGTAGATCAACGCGAGAGTATCGATACCGGATACAGGGCCTATGATGAAGTTATGAGATTCAGCTATGGCGGTGTCGATGCGGGGTTGGTAGTATTGGTCGAAGTAGGCTTGGTCTATGTCGAGAGGGCCAGAAATAAATGCTGTTGGCATTGTTGGTGTGCTCTAGAGCGCTGATCTTACGAGGATGGTGAGCTGAGCCTGGTCGTAGCGAAGATACGGTCTTGTGTTTGATTCGGAGCAGGAGTTTGTCGGTGCGTGAGTTGTGGTGCATCGATGTTGTTGCCTTCGAGATCGAGCGGCTGATCGATGTTGATGCTTGGCATTTATGTCGGCTAAACTTGCTGTTGATCAAGACGGGAGTGTGTAATTGAGTGCTGGTCATATTAAGTGAGCTTGATCTACACATAAGTGGCGCGCAAGTTAAGACATGTGAGACCCAACTTCTGAGCGTACGGAGCTACGCGGTTGGTACGTGTCACTTTCCGCTGTAGTTTTGAAGAGGTTTCTCTGTTGTCCGACTCGTTGACTTGTTGGCACTAGATCGAGAAACCTGCAGCACCTTTAGAAATACGTATTGGCATCTGAAAGCGATTCGTAGACGTGGCTACTATAGCATTGGCCTCTGACTACGTCGATTCTTTGATGGACCGAGATGTTCAAGGACGGCCGATCTGAGCAACGTCCCGAGACGATCTTGGACCTCAGGGGTCTGCTTGGCCAGGTGTGCGCTTGGCAGCATCGATGGTCCGGGCATACGACCAGAACTTCTATACAGCGGGCTGCGGCATCGGGCAGCTTCGAGCGGATCTGATTGCGATCGCTCGTGTTGTAAGAGTTCCCCGCTGTTTGTGCCGAGGCACAGTCTTCAGATGGAAGGCCGTAGATGCATGGGACCAGAATCGCTCCCAAATCCCGCGCTTCGTATGATTATTGTGTGTGGCTCAACCTTCCGGAACGCTTGTTGCCATCTCGGAGTAGAATGCCACAGGTGGCGCCCGCTAGAAGGCCACATGGGAGAAAAGTCGCATGCTAGGTCATTAGGTCTCAAGCAGAAGCTGGAGCCTGTTGCATCTGCGACTGAATCTGCATGATCTGGCAAAGTATCAGCACAATACCGAGGAGAATTGCGGCGAGGCGGCGAAAATAACAGCGTTTGCCCTTCAGAGGAAATAGTGCATGCGGGGAAACTTACCTCCATCTTTTTGCTTTCACTCTTATCTTGCATAGACTTGATATTCTCCTCAAATCGCTTACTGCGAGATGATGTTAGTGACAAAGTGGAATTTGGCTGCGAATCGAAGGCAACGAGCATACATCTCCTTCTCGATGAACTCTAGTCGCCCATCGACGGTGCTCTTCGCTTCGGTCGTATCTTGCTTGAGCAGCACTGGACCAACAAGCTTGTAGATGGTCGCATCCTCAGCTAAGCCTTTGAACTCATTCTGCACGCCTTTGTTCTCCTGCTGCTGCGACTCCAATTTTTGTCGCGCGGAGATGAGCTCGCTGAGTTGTGTTTGTAGACTTTGGTACTCATCTGAAAGAGCTTGTAGCTTGGCACGATCGCCCATGTTGGCCAGAGCAGAAGTGGCGAGACTATTGAGAAAGATGATTGATGACCGCGACGTTGGATTGTGGTGTTCCAATCTGAAGTGAAGTCTGCGACATCGGCAGAACTTGCCGCTTCTGTTTCCCCGCCATCCATCTCGCTTCGCTCCGCCTGTGACATCGTGCTGGTCTCGACTTCGGCGCTGGAAGAGTAACAGACTCAACATCTCGACGGCCTCCGAACGCTTATGAACAGCTGACGCATCGACATCGACTTCTGGAACGATCTGGCTTCCGCCTCATAGTACCGCTCCTCCCCGGTCCGCTGCCTCGAGCAGCAACATCAACCACCCACCATGTCAAACACCGATTTCCTCGGCCGTGCGATAGAGCAAGTCAAGAAGGCCATAGAACTCGACACCGCCGGAGACTATGACAAGGCGTACCAACAATACTACTCTGCCCTCGAGCTATTCATGCTCGCACTCAAATGGGAGAAGAACCAGAAGTCAAAGGAAATGATCAGACAGAAGGCGGCAGAGTACATGGAACGTGCAGAGAAGCTGAAGAACCATTTGGCTGAACAAGATGGGAAGCGGAAACCTGCTGCGATGGGAGCTAACGGCTCTGCGTCGAATGGAAGTGGGAAAGCAAAAGGCGACGATGATGAGCAGGATGCCGACTCGAAGAAGCTGCGAGGCGCATTGGCTGGTGCCATCTTGACAGATAAGCCGAATATCAAGTGGGAGGATGTCGCTGGTCTGGAGGGAGCGAAGGAGGCGCTTAAGGAGGCTGTGATTCTGCCGATCAAGTTTCCGCATCTGTTTACAGGGAAGAGGCAGCCGTGGAAGGGTATCTTGCTGTACGGGCCACCTGGTACAGGAAAGTCGTATCTTGCGAAGGCAGTGGCGACAGAGGCGAATAGCACATTTTTCAGTGTGTCTTCGTCAGATCTGGTGTCGAAGTGGATGGGAGAGTCAGAACGGTATGTTTTCTGCCACCGAAAGGAGTCCATTGGGGAAATGTTGACTGAACAAACAGACTTGTGAAACAACTTTTCAATCTAGCGCGCGAGAACAAGCCTTCAATCATCTTCATTGACGAAATCGACGCGCTATGCGGACCCAGAGGCGAAGGCGAGTCCGAAGCTTCGCGACGTATCAAGACTGAGCTGCTGGTACAAATGGATGGTGTGGGGCGCGACTCCAAGGGTGTCCTGATTCTCGGCGCAACGAATATTCCCTGGCAACTCGACGCTGCCATCCGACGACGATTTCAGCGACGAGTACACATCTCTCTACCCGATTTCCCCGCACGATGCAAGATGTTCGAGCTGGCTGTTGGCGGCACCCCATGCGAGCTGACTCCAGAGGACTACAAAACGCTCGGCAAATACTCCGAAGGGTATTCTGGGTCCGATATCTCCATCGCTGTACAAGATGCGCTCATGCAACCTGTGAGGAAAATTCAAACTGCGACACACTACAAGAAGGTGCAGGTCGATGATCCGGAAACTGGAGCGAAACTCAACAAATTGACCCCATGCAGCCCTGGAGATGCTGGTGCGATGGAGATGAACTGGACACAGGTAGAGACAGAAGAGCTGCTTGAGCCTCCTCTCCAAGTGAAGGATTTCGTCAAGGCTATCAAAGCCTCAAGACCGACTGTCAGCAAAGAGGATTTGGACAGGAATTCGGAATGGACAAAGGAGTTTGGCAGTGAAGGAGCATGATGCGGTTCTGATGTTGTGCATGATGCGTTAACGATACATGGTGGATGCATATGGCGTTCGAGGTACGAGGTGCGTCGGTATGAGCGTTACCAGGAGCGCGTTGTCATGATGAACAGTTATAAATTCTATGGACATTGAATCCGAATTTTTCTTCATGCATGCCTCATGTATGCACTTCATCACTGTCCACACTCCAGTATCGCCTTGGTCAAACTCGAATCTAGAGGTTTGAGAGAGATGTGACACTAGGAGGTAGGGTGTACGCTGGGCTAGCTGCCGTGAACTGTGACAATATCGCGAAACGACTCCATGTGACAGGAAAGCGCTTTGCGTAGTACTACTAACATTATGTATTCTCTTTCCCGACATTCGACACCGAACTAGCAGCTCGTGATCTTAGAGGCTTGGGCAGAGGTAATGTCTCCTCCCATTCATCCTTTCTCGTGAGACCGCGGCCGAACTCTCCAGCACCAGTCATGTTCGAGGATGTGGCCGGCACGCTCGTTACATCTAGCTCCACCGTTTTTATTACTCCTCCAAATCCTTCCCATCTTCCACTGCCATCGGCTTGCTCCCACCTCTGTCTTCCGCCTCCTTGGATAACCGCTTGTGAGGCGCTGTCGGAATTATTGGAGAGTATGCTCATATCTTGGCTCATCAGACTTGCCCTCGTCGCACTGTGTCTGTGTTCCCATGGACGCGTCGTTGATTGCCGTGATGCTGTTCTGTGGGGCACTTGGATGGTGCTTGCTCGCCGGCTCGGTAGTTCATCGTAGTCATCGAGTTCCTCTAGCTCTCGGGTCGCCGAACTTATCGTCTGGTCTTTGCTTTTGCTGAACCAGTGTGGAGACTTGTGGCTGCGCCAGCTTCGCCCACTTTGGCTTTGCATTCTGTAGCTGCCTCCTATCGTCTGAGTGGCAGGGTAGTCTCCGCATAGTTCCAGGCCGCCATGCGAGGAAGTTTCCTGCGCGTTACCGGTAGACGCGAAGGGAAGCATCGAGATGATCTTGCGCGGTACTAAACGCAGCACTGGTCGCAGTACTGGGAGACAAGACGTGATGATCTGGTCATATAATCATCAGCGAAGATTTCATCCCCACGAGCAGAAAGCAACTTACGCCAATATTCAATTCAAGTCCGCTTCTGATCTCGAAGTAACTGGTGTCGCCATCCTCGTATGCTATGCGGTGTATTTGAGAAGCGCGCATGATTGACAATACCGTCGTCAGAAGACCCAAGGCAAAGACGATGGTCAAGCCAAGCTTCACTGCTCGCTCCAGATGCAATCGTTGTATCAGAGGTATAGGCAGAAGGAATATCGTGACATCGCATATGATGACCACGACGGATATTGAATAGTTCAGAGGTGCAAACGGCAGACACTCTCCAATGATTGCCCTATCAAACATTTTGGTGATCTGACAATTTGTTAGCATGCACAATATGCGAAATGTCAGAAGCAGCATACCGGAACGCATTGGCACAGGTAGAGCATGACGAACACCAAGTGCGCAAAGGTCGAGAAGACAGCCACGGCGATGATGAAGCGCCTGTATTTATGATCCGTACTGCCTTTCGTCATGCGCAGATAACTTATGCACAGAGCCAACTTGAACCCGGCCAAGCCGAAGATGTAGAATGGGCGTGAGGCATAGTTGGACAGCATGTAGTTGCGCCAATTCTGTGGCGGCTGGCGATCCACAGGCAGACCAAGCCCGTAACGCGTCTGTAAGATCACTGCGGCACTGTAGATGACGCTCACAAACTGTAGTCGAGGGGTTAGCTTGAACATGGCACATTTCGCATGGGAATTGTACCATCGTGGCCAGCGTCAGCCAGTCTTCCTTGTGCAGTATTCGCCGACGAATCCAGAAGCGAAGTGCAACAACTCCGATCATCAAGACTGTGAAGATCACCGTCGTAGCCAAGATCGCGCGCCATCGTGATTCTCTATCGAGCTCTGGGGTCGCATGAGCGACCCATCCCATCTCTTCGCGCCCTCTTGCGTTTTCTTGAGGCAGTCGTCTTGTCTTCCTCGCGAGAAGTGGGGCTGAGTCTTGGTTCTGGTATCACCCGCGAAGCGTGCAGAGTCGTGTCGTCTCAAGCGGCTACACAAGCTCCTGGCGTCGCGCGAAGTGTGCTGCATTGTGATGAAGTAGTTCAGAAGTCCCTTTTGCGTGAACGGAAAGCCGTTGCGATTCATAGTGGCAGTCCCAGGGAACTGACTTGTCAAGCTCGCGTATCGCGTGGTAGCGAGGCGTGTGCAAAGCCTATAGCAGACCTAAATGTGCGGTGCCGTGGACGTTGATGGAAACCGTTTAACTAGCCACGTAAATGCGCGACTCGTTGTCCTACGCGGGTTGTGAAACACACTGAAGATCATGCCCGATCACCTGCTGCACGCATGCAGTCCTCTGGCAAGCTATCTTCCATGATCAATAGCACACCAAAACAGGGATGATTATCGTCAATGGGCAGGCTGTTGGATGTGATGGTCAAGGTGACTGCAGTGTTGGAGCAGATCGCCCGTTTCCCTTGCTTCCCACGGCCCGAAGCGAGCACTCATCTCCGCCCATTCCTCTTTCCTTCTCGTTGTATTTCATCTCTAGTTATCTACTTCGAAAAATGAACTTTTGCGCTACCTCTCACAGGGCCCCATATTACGACAAGCCTCACTCAACATTGTTCAACTGAGCCATGTCTGGTCGCGCGTGACACATTATGTGAAGAACGAAAACTGAGGCCGTCATGGCCATAAATATTGATCTTGCACACATTCTCATCGCCGTAACTCTGCTCGGACAGCCGTCTCATCTACCCACGTCCACAATCTCAAAGACATTGGTGCGCTGACTTGCAGACTTCTCAAAATCAACACTGCTGCTGTCAGACCCACAGCGGCAGTGCACAACAGCCTCGACGATATCGCAAATTCGGCTCTGCCAGGTTTCCCGGTCACTTGCGACTGTGAAGATGCGTCGTGTATCTCCCGAAGTTGCTTTGATGGCCGCACTCTGGACCGGTGCAGCGATGTCCATCGACAGCGTCACTTCAAGCACTGTCGAAAACAGTTCAGCCACTTCGACTACTGACGTATCCATGGTCTCTCCAACGAGCAGCTCTGCGTCGACCACTAGCCCGCCGGTGATCACACAATGCTCATTGACTGTGAACAACGTCACTGTGACTGAATCTGGCAGCTTCTACACAAGTCGTTCGACAGTGTGCGCATGCAACGGAGGACAAACGCATCAACCTGCTGCATCGGAGGAAACGGATGGTGGCAAAGTCTACTGGTGCCCTAACGAGACTACTGGCACCGCCGGCCCTGCGGCGTACATGCCTATAACCACTATTCACGGTCCGCCCACGTCTTGCGAGACCTTCACAGCAACAACGCCTCCAATATCGGGCCATTCGCAGTCAAAGTGGACAGCCGCTATTTTCTGCAGATGTGACCACGACCGGACGCTAGCCTATTATACTATGACCGAAGTCAACGGCAATGTAACAAGCGGTTGCGGCGCACGTGCGATGGGTGCTACTCTCATCCCTGTGGCAGGATCTCCAGCGACTCATGCAACCGACACAGCATCTCAGAATGCAACCCAGCCAACCGACACAGCATCTCAAACTGCAACTCATGCAACCGACACAGCATCTCAAACTGCAACAACCACGTCCACGTCTCCTACACCAACAGTAGTATTCGAAATCTATGTCAAATTGATACACAGAGGAAACGACAAGACACCAGTGAGGAAATTTTGGGTCGGCGGCGCAGGAACCTTCAACTCCTCGTTGTGTGACGTCGGACCCCCACTCGCTGTCGAGCAAGCCCCATTTGACGATGCTTACCCTCAGAAACTTGCAATCAGTATCCCAGGACAGAGACAGTGTTTTTATGTGGACGTAAGTGGTCAGGCACCAGGAAAAATTGCGTGCGCGGACGGTTATGCTGCCAACTGCATGTCATTTCCAATTGATGCTCGGATCATTGAGTGCAATGACAAGCAGGACGGAACAGCATTTAATTTCACTCCACTTTTCCACTGTCTGCACTGAGGGCCTGGTCGATGTACAAGTACAAGGGCACGGAGTCTATACGGGGTGTTTAGCGGTAAGGTTTGGACACTTGTTGACGATGGAGTACCTCATAGTTGACAGGGCGTGTGCAGTGGGCGGGATGATGTCGATGTGTCGACACTTGCGGGAAGACATACTACTCGGAAGGCAACTCTGCAGACGTGACTATTTCCAAATTCTATATTTCACAATATGAGGTCTACAAGAGTCGCAAGTCTGGAGTGCAAAGTGCTGCACTTTTTGCCGAACACGACGCAGGGTCCATGTCGACGCCGAGCTGCGGCTGAGCAGTGAGCACCCGCGCTTGATTCGAGCCAGAACGATGATTATCGATGCTGCAACTTACTGACAACCCAGACATTCACAGTCTGTGGATCGTGTAGCCGAAAATATCGGCTACAATCGCGGTCTTTGTCAGTGTGCGAAGCTGACTGTGAAGACGGCGACCAACAATGCCACCAAGACGCTCTCATTTGAAGTCAAGACATGGCTGCCTGATGTGCAAGAAGCGTAGAGTCAAGTGTGGTGTAAGTTTGGGCGTGTGTCCGAGTACTTTGCCATTGACCGATTTGCGGCTTCCACCCCAAGCACATAGCACACACTTCCATGGCTTAGTTCCATGATTGGAACAAGCTGACCTCTCGCAGGAAGAGCACCCAACATGCCACAATTGCATTTCTCGTGGCACTGATTGCAGATGGCCCGATCCTGCAGCAATCGCAAATCGAGGTGCCATTGCCAGAGACAGCTCCTCGTCAAAATCTCCAGACTCAACCTCGGAAGCCAGTACAGCTTCTCAATCGATATCGGTAGTACGCCATGTTGACGAACTTCGACTCATGCATCGCTGGTCGACAAGCACGTTCGAAAGCCTGGTATCAGAAATTTCGGACGATCGAGAAATCTGGCGCGTGGAAGTCGCAGAGGTCGCAATGAAATATGACTATTTGCTCAGCAGCATTTTCGCTCTGACGGCCTTTGAGATGGCGTACAGGAATCCACAGGAGTCGACGCAGCATATCAGTACGGCACTGGAATATCAAGCTCATGCGTTCGGCCGCTTCAGACAAGATTTGATGAACATTGATCCAGATGACGAGTGTCATGATCCGTTACTATATTGCAGTATCTTGCTCATGGTGCTCGCACTGGCCTCTTCGACTCAACCTGCTTTGCGAGGCAGTATGCTGGACAACACTTTGATCCATTTCGAGCTTGTAAGAGGAATGTCGGTTGTGGTCATGAAGAAGCCTGAGGTCTTGAAAGCACATCCGCTTTTCATGAAAGTCCCTGACATGATGACCCTGCCGAGAAGGGAATACAGCGAGCGGTTTGCTGAAGCCTTCAAGATCATGACAGAGGTCAATGAGATTCGAGCACCTGATCCGGACAACTCGCAGTCCAAGCCAAGAGAGTACCTTGCTTGCAAGCATGGTCTGTGGTGGCTGGAGTACCTGACAGCTACATGTCAGGAGATGAAATATCGCGGCTTCGTGCTGTCCTGGGTCTCCTTGGCTGGGGACGACTTCATTAAAGCATTAAAAGCCAAGGACTCAGTGGCTTTGCTGGAACTGATGTTTTGGGGTGTCTTGCTGAATCCTTTGGGGTACGATTACTGGTATGGTGAAGAGTACGGCTCAACGTTAGCTGGAGAAGTAGCAGAACTTCTGTCTGGCGTCACAGACCCACGCTACGAAGAGCTCATCCGCCTAGCAGATGACGAGGTTGGAGTTGGAAGAGCTGCCGCAGCGCTCAAGCCAGGATCAAAGATCGAGCCGCTAGACGTGCAACCTCATGCTACTGCTCATTACATGGAAGATCCGAAACGACACAAGGCGGACGGTGGGCTTGGGAACATACCAAGCGAGGTTATGAAGTACACTGGCGATCAGAACGCTGGATTGTTCGCCGACGATGACGACAGACGCAGAGTTCGCGAACGACTTTTGGCTGCACGAATGGCGGGTGATGATAAAGAGAAGGGTTCTGACAATATTGATGGTCTTGCAGAACGATTTGACGCTGTGAACAACTTTAATCCCACAGGAAACTCACAAACTTGACCCAACCTTTGGGAACTGGTTCCGGCTCTTCTGGTTTCCTGTCGATCTCCGCAAAAGCTTCTCTCAAGGGGATGTCTTCCAACTTCACAAGCTTCGTCCTTTTGAAGAGCTTCCAAAGTGTGTATGCTGTCAACACAAGCGGAATGTCGAGGTAGCTGGACACGAACCCGGAAGATGACCAATTACCTCTGGTGAAGTTCGAAAATCCGGCTGTGAAGAGAATAACAACAGTCAAGACCAGTGAGATGGGTGTGGAATATCTCGTCCAGGAGTTGTGCCATGGCAATAGGGAGTACGGAATCGATTGCTTCTTCATAGCAAGCAGGAGACGTTGGTGATTGACCAAGATTGTAATCCAGGATATAAGCACACCACAGGCCACCAGACTCTGAAACCAGTAGAACACTGTCAACGCACCGCTCGACAGACTCATGAACGCCAAGAACATGAATAGTGTCTGCAACAGCACACAAACGTATGGTACACCCCACGAAGTGGTCTTCAAGAAGATCTTCGGCGCCTGCTTCTTCAGTGCGAGGGCATAGAGGACACGAGTGCCAGCCAGAAGAGCCTGGTTTGAACTCGACCAAGCAGATGTTATGACAACCGCATTTACCACAGAAGGGATCGCCTTGATACCAGCTGCGGACGCAGCGATGACGAATGGCGATTGCGCGGCTGTGCCGGATTGGTTGTCGAGACGTTCATCGTCACTTGCAACAAGCATGCCAACCACAAGGACTGCGAGCAGGTAGAAGACCGCGACTCGAATGAAAACTCGCTTGCACGCTCTTGGAATCGCTTGTCGAGGATTTCTGGTTTCAGCAGCTGCCATCGCAACACTCTCAGTTCCAGCGAACGAGAAGACGGCAGAACTCATGGTTGCCCAGTAGCCGAGGAAGTTGCCCCATGAACCAGTTGCGATGTACTCAACGAAAGGACCAGGACTTTTCCAGTAACGGAAGCCAATGCGATCCACTCCAGATACACCGCCGAGAGCGATGACGAGACCCAGTATGATGAGGAAGATGATGAAGAAGATCTTGAGCAGAGCAAACCAGAACTCGATCTCACCTAGCGAACATTAATACATGATCGTCAATCTCCACTCAGTCGTTGCATACCATATACACGAATCAGAGACATGCCAACAACAAACGTCAGGATAATGAATATAATGATCCAAACCGAACTGTTCAAATCTGTCCAGTATTGAAAGAGCACACAGATAGCTGTGATTTCCGCAGGTATACTCAACCAGTTGCCATAGACCTATAGACTCATTAGACTCGAAATGAACCACATTAACGACGACCCAGAAACTGACAATATTCCAACCAATCGCAAACCCCAAAGCAGGATCGACCAGAAACTCAGCATGTCTGACAAAACTGCCCGTAACAGGCAACAGAGCCGTAACTTCTCCCAAAGCAAATTGCACAGACGCCACGATGCATCCTACAGTAAAGTAGCCCAGCAAAGCACCGAGTGGACCTCCAGTCTGGATCGCTCCTCCCAGACCAAGAAAAAGTCCCGTACCAATCGCACCGGCAATAGCGATGAGAGAAACATGTCGTTGATGAAGTCCACGACTCAAATCTTCATATTCATTCCTTGTGACAAAATCTGCTTCGTGGTCGGCAGGAGGTGCTGGTCCGGCTCGAGAAAATGTCGTGTCTTCTGGTAGAATACTGGCCGATAAGATCGCATGTCCGTTCTTGGCGGTGTCGTCCCTCAAAGCGTCATCGCTGTGGCTGCGGACACTCATTTTGACGACGATCTGCTAAGCTTGTGCCAACATGCACAATGTTGGAAAGAGAGAAGCTTTGTTTTGCGAATGTGTGTGAAGTTGCGAGACCATGCAGGGCCATCTCGTTAATTGGTGGTCCCGATGGCGTGCTGTGAGACTGTGCTGGACCAGATCTACAATGGCGGCCGACGCTTGGCCGAAATCGGAATGGGCAGGCGAGATATGTGTGGACTTGTTGATTGGTGATCGTGCGACGTGAAGACATAAATCATATGAAATATATCTTGAGTATTCATTAAACACTTACACTGTCATTACATCCATCGTTGGCTTATAGTCTCATCCCACACCTATGACATTACATTAAAGTTCGTGCCTTCGTGATAAACCATCCGATTCCTCCCACGTGCCTCACCCATGGACCTAAGCGATGGAAGGAGCATCATCGCGCCTGCCTTTCTTCGTAGGATAATAGTAATTGCCAAATTGGGTACCGGCGATCGTCTCGACTCCAGAAGTCTCTTCCACAGTTTTGCCCAGGGGAATCAAGCCCAAAAGCAAAAAAGTGCGTTCCGTTTCACCTTTTTCAGCCGTGGTTTGCACATATCCACCATAATAAGGGACGGCCTGGTAGTATCGGCCGTTCTGAGCCGCCTCTTCGCGAGCCTTCAAGATGACAGCATTATGGGCTTCGGCAGCTTCGTCGTGAATCTTTGTGATTGCAGCAGCTTCAGCGTCGCGTACTCGAAGAATGGCGGTGTCTGTATCAGCGATCTGATATTATCAGCAACTGTTTCATTGTGAAGACAGAGGTGAAAAGAATCGAGTTCGATACCGGAGCAGCTACGACACTACCGACGGCCAGTGATGCCAAGACGGTGACGATGTGGAAGTGCATTATGCTTGTTGACAGATTGGAATGTCGAACAGGAAGGCTCGAAGAGATCTGAAGTTCTGTGGACGGAGTTCGCGGTCCAGATATAATATAGTAGTGCCGACGAATGGCAGTCGATGGAAAATAGCGATATACTTATACTGCGCCCGACAGCGTTTCTTCCAGCCAAGTCGGCGTCCGTCGGATGCTCATGATACCACTCTTGAGTGTATGTTGTAGGGTAGCTCTACCATGAGCTTGAAGCTGAGAGCTACGATAGCCAGGAGCTAGGCACTTTCTGTCGCTTGCGTGCTGCGAGGCATGCTTGGGATAACGGACAAAGTTTGACAAATCGTGAGCCGTATTCCTCATGGTAGGTCCGAAAAGGTCGTTTGTACCCCACTCGTGATCTTCTCTCTCGATGTCGCTTCCTTAAGCTGCTTCTCGTGGCCGTTGCTCGTCAGTCAGAGCATCGTCCACGGGATGCCAGTTGTCAACACTAACGGAGAGCTGGCCGCAAGCAATGAATGATGCGGAGGGCTGCAGGTTGATGTTCTGCGCAACGACTTCTGCGTCTGGGTTCGCCACCAAGCAGCTCAGAGAGTCGATGATGCTCCTTGGCAGTCAGCTCTAGGTGTTGCCAGCACGAAGACAAAACGCCTCCCCAGTCAGTCTGTAAACCTTGGCAGGGGCCAGGATGCTCCGAGTGTGGCTATCCCACTATGACTGGTGGGGTGCCTGCATACGCTTCTCTATTCGTGCATCGACTTGAATCTAGGTCTCGACCTGCAATCAGAGTTCTGATGTCGTTCTCAAGTATCCTCTCACAAACGACACCATCCCCGCCTCCTTCAGTGCCTCGGATAGTAAGCATTGAGTGATCGCAGCAGGCCAAGCACATTCTGCTCAGCATGATGCAACGAGCACATCCGAGAAGTACGCTTTTGCCATTCCGGGGCACACAAGCTGGTTCGGGCGAGATTTGAAAGAGACTTTATCGGGCGAAGCTCTCTCTCAGTGGCCGGTTGGCCCTAGGGCCTAGATTCCGATGCGCCGGAGCATATGGCCCGTAAACCGATACACATTACGCACGAATGGACCTCAGTCACATCATCTGATGACGGGTAGCATCAGCTGCGAGTCTCAGGTTCCCAGCGATGAGTCGATGATGCAAGCGTCCGCCTGCGTCGAGTTCACCCGCTATCGTCGAACCGAATGAGTAACAGCATTCAAGTTCCTGCGCCTGTCGCTCAATTGTACATCTCATGGGCCATGTACTCTGGACCGCGGGGCCACGGAAGCTTTGGAATTTGAATCCTTTCGAGCTGGCTTTCAAGGTCAGCTTCGCCTCGAAGTTCATCTTCTTGCCCCAAGCTTGCTTGGCCTGAATCGCTGTCGCACGATAACAGCCTGCCTTTGGCAAGTAGATTCTCCACCTGCATTGCTTGCCTTCGCCGCTCGACACGCGGCCACCAAGCGCTGGGATGATCGTGGCCAACGATCACTGTTGCATTTGGCACAATCGGCAGTTGTATACCATTTCTTCGTGCGTCTTCTTGCACACATCCAGAAAGGTCGGTTCCACGTGGGCAGCTTATATTGATCGCGAGATTTCGTAAACCCGGCAATAGGGCTTTCACTTGTGATATGAGCTGAAGATCGACAGCTGGAGTGCCTGTGCTTTGATGACCTTCAATGGCTACACTATGAATGGCGGCCCGTTGCCAAGATGTAAAGTTGCTGGAGTCAACCATGGTAGCCAGTTCGTCGGAATCGTTGACGTGAAGTGCAAAGGTATTGCTTGTGAACGGGACTTGCTTAGCTTCGTCATAGATCTGCCGACAAGTCCGAAGAAGGTTGCTCAGATGTAGGAAAGAATCCCAATGAAGCTGTCGAAATGAGTTGGCGGACGGATGACCAAAACGCAGAGAAAGATCTGCCTGATGAGGGCACGGTCTGCGTCCATAATGGCGCTCAGTGAGGGGTGGGCAGACTGATTGTATGCAGCGTTGCTGGTACAGCGGCAATGTTCCCTCAGGTATATCGTGCTCGGTAGGGTAGCTTTCGTTGGCTTTGTACAAGGATGCATCATAGTACTGGTAGCGGAATGACTTGAGCAATCTGAGACAGCGTACATGACGAGCAGCATATTCTTTAAGCCAAGTTCCGTTGCCCGAAGAATAGTGCACTTCTTCCCAGTCAGGTAACGGGTCGGGGTCAGATGATACTGCAGTCCAGGTTTTGCTCAGCGCGTAAGCTTCGTCTTCACCATGCTGATCAGCCGTGCACACGGTGTAAATCACCCGGGCACTCGTGTATGATAGTGGAGAGCTTGCAATGTGAATGATTCGGTTTCCAATCAAGTGCTCGTAGATCCGGATACGAATCTCGGTGGGCAAGCGGGTGAGAAACGCGCCTTCCTTCGTTGTGCTGGCCATTGTGAGAGTGAGCAGGGCATCGCCTTCTGTGAGAAAGTGGGATAAGGAGCGACTGGTGTATCGACTCAAGTATCTGCGTCGAACTCAGCCTCCATTAGTGCATGCACGGATGCCTTGCCCGCTCATCCTTCGCTCGGCGGCCCATGGTATAGTGCTTCAGATCGAGAAAAGATGTCGTGGCGCATCCCCTTCCTCATGCACTCGAAGGTATCTGGTGCATTGTGAAGGATTGATGATGCTAGCAAAGTGGTGTCTTGACAACAGGAGTTGCTCCTAGGATGTGTGAAAGCCTCTCAGCGACGTGCCGGCATTCGCCGTAGCCAATGAGAGCTGTTAGAGTTTCGGTGGAACGGTGGCCATTTTCTAGGCCAAATCGAACGACTTGATGACCTTAAGTGTACTTATGACAGTGAGGGGGAGAAGAGGGAGGGGAAGCGAGCAGCTCATGTCAATTTGGCAAAGTGTTGGCGATGCGCATCAGTACCTTTCATTCCCGACATTTGTCAATCTCCCAGACCTGGACCCTGACATCGGTGCGGCAGCAAGGTCCCCATCAGGAAGTCCAGATCAACTTCCACATCTCTAGACACAGGTGACCTGTACCCTGCCACATGCCGCGTCTGGTGATGAGGTGTGTCATCTCCAGGACACCTAGACGACTTGGCGCGGCTGCGATGAGCAGTCGATGGCTGGAAGAAACCGTATTTCTGGTGTGGTTTCCATTACCAGATCGTATGCCACGAAGATCTAAGGGCAAATGAGCGGCAGTTCCTGAGATCCATCATGGTATGAGCATTGTTTGTGCTTGCTTGACTTGGACTCTGTTGAGCCGGCATGTGTGGCATTGTCGACAACTGCCCGCTCCTGTCCGGTCCAATCTGATAAACTTGTGCGACCAGATCCTCTGCTGCCTTACTTCTCTGGCTCAGGTGCTGCAGGCGGCTGGTGCGGTTTATACTCCGGGTCATTATCCTCCAATTCTTGTTTTCGGATCGCCTGCATGAGCTCATACATTTGGGCAACTTGTTCATCTATCGCAAGAGGAAGCAAAAAATTGTCAGCCCATACTCTTCCCACATCAAATCATCCCTCAACCCACGGCTCTACTCACCACTCATCTTATCCACTTTCCCTCGATCCATCTTTTCCCCTCTCCACGAGTCTCCTTCAATCTGCTGAGCATACGACTGCCATTCGGTCAAGAACCCAACAATGTGCACAGGATTATCGATCTTTTGATGCGCTCGGAATTCCGCTTTCACGTATTCATCTCCCAGCAATCTCATCTCTTTCGGCAAGTGTTTGCGATGTGTTCGAAGTATGCGACGGTATAGTGGGATCGGTGGTAGAAGTGCCGGAGGGACGCGTTTGAGGCCGGAGTTCTGAGCGCCAATGCCTGAAGGCGTTGCGAGGAGGCGAGAGCTCTGACGAAACATGTCTATTCGATTGTGATGGCGAGACAACGGTGCAACGAGATGATCGAAGGAAATGTGAGATGCATGGATTTGTGGTTTCAATGGCAAGCACAAAAGTTGACGTGAACTTCAATGTTGAAGCTCAAGGTGTTGACATCATCGGCAGAAAAGCTGCCGTATGCCGGCCGCGACACTTTTCTTAGACCATCACCACGATCGACACCATCGTCGCGACCACCCGAAGCACGAACTAGAGTGAGCGAACGTGCTCTGGAGAAGCATTTCGCGGAGTCAGGGGCCATTAGCAAGCATCTTCGGGCACGAGATAAGCACATTCTGCTCTAGTCACAAGGTATGGCTTGGTATTTCTGTTTCAACTGCTTGACTGTTCTACTGTCTGCATGATAAACATCCTATTGATTTGTAAAGGTGACCTCGGAACGCTTGGTCTCCATCCAAAAACCTAGAGAGCCTCGATACGCCATGCTACCCACACCGTCAACATCTCATGTCAACTACGATCATATCTACGAGCCAGCTGAGGACTCGTACTTGTTGCTCGACACTCTGTCATCAGAAGCAGAGTCAGCATTCCTCAAGAATCGCTTTCCAGCGCACTCCGATGCTCCACTAGTGCTTGAAGTCGGGACAGGCTCTGGCGTCGTTTTAGCGTTCGCGACAGCCAATGCGCATCACATCCTGGGCCGTTCGGACGTGGCCAGTCTTGGAATCGACATTAATACCTTCGCTTGTTCCGCGACTACGCAGACTGTAAAGGGCGCAGTAAAGGATTCAGATGGCGAAAAGAGAGGCCAATTCCTCGATAGCGTATGCGGCGATCTGACAACCAGTCTACGGCCGCGATCCATAGATATTCTCATCTTCAATCCGCCATACGTGCCCACAGAAGAGCTGCCAGCGCAATGGAACGACCAATCGGATTACAAATCACTTTCGAACATGGACCGCTTCGATCGAGATTCGCATTTGCTGTCCTTGTCGTACGCCGGAGGCGCAGATGGCATGGAAACGACAGATCGATTGCTCAGCCAACTCGCGGATGTTCTTAGTGATCGCGGTATCGCGTATATTTTACTTTGCAAGCAGAACAAGCCCGAGGAAGTTGCCACGCGCGTGCGAGGCTGGTCAGTCGTGGGCTTGTGGCAAGCGGAAATAATCTCCTCGAGCGGAAAATCTGCAGGCTGGGAGAAGCTCTGCATCCTTCGTGTCTGGCGGTCATAGCAGATGCCAGCCCTTGCGAGCCAACCACTCATCTGATTCAAGTACTGCCAAATGTCGACTCATTCCAGTTCTGTTCGATCGAATTCGCCGCGGTAGTGGAAGTCACTGAGGCCCTCGTTCCAAGGTTCGTTCGCCGAGAACATCGAATCGTCCCGTCCTTCTCGATACGGGTCACCCATCATGAGATCGTCGTTCAACCACTCGGTGCCTTTCCTGCCTGTCTCGGAAGTATTGGGACCTGCCGATGCGGGCCATAGATTGACATCAAAGTCTTCAGTGTCCTCCGCCACACGGTCGATGATGCATCCCGTCTTGTACAACACAACCTCATTCATCCTCGTCCCGCGATGTGCTTCATTGACATGGTCTAGGTAGTAGTCGATTCCATGGTAGACACCACCGCCGCCTTGTAGACCTTGTAAGGCGCAGAAAAGACACTTGAAAGAGTAGTTTCCTTTCACGACAACTTTCTGCATCACATGGCTCTTGGCAAGGAATTTCCAGCGGAACTTGATGCCCTTGGCTTCAATCGTGAAGCATTTGTTCCAGATGACGTCAACGTCATGATGGGTGAAGTTCGATCTGAATGCGCATTTACCATGTGAACAGGCAAGGTACGAAGCTGCTGCAGCGTAGGCTCCAGGATGTCGACTCCATGGCTCCACCTGCTTGTGCGCACCAAAGCTATTCTTCTTGTCTCCGTTCTGCAGCTTCCACGCGGCTTTGCAGAATCCAAGGTAATCATTGTCAGGGGTGGGCTGGACGATTGCTACCGATGATTGCGTTGCACTTGGATACAGTGGGGCGCCAAAGCCTGCTGCCATCGCGCCGCCGAAGCTGGCAAAGGACGGGGCCATCGAGTTGGTGCGATTTGTGAGGACTGGGCTGGGCGGCTGTCCCGAACTGGTATGCGAGACTTGTCGACTGAGCGCATTGGGATGATCGTCGTCCTTCTGTGCATGCGGTGCAATAGCCACAGTCTCTCTTCGGTCCAAATGAGAAGGGCGAGCACCCCAGATCTCAGATGGGTTGTCTTCCCATTCTTCGTACGTGAATCGCGGCTCTCGTGCGGTGCTTCCAGAATTCGAGCTGGTCGTTGCAGCGCGATCGCGATTATTCCCACTCGCAGGATTCGATGTTGGCGCTGTGTTATCATCAGTGGCAGGCCCGAACGGCAGTTGTCCTGCTGGTGTCGCGTTGCCATTTGAGCGTGGTATTTCTTCTGCAATAGCACCAGACAAAGAGTGTTTGTCGGTCGAACTGTTGGTCCGGGTGTGCTTTAGGAAGTGAAGCAGCGAATTCCGTTTCTTGTGCCGGTGCTCCACAATCTCGTCTGCACCTGATACGGCGTCTCCATCCTCCGAGCCTGATGCGCTGAAATCTCGTGACCACGTTGGATGCTTCTTGAGGTTACCAGTCTCGGCTGGCTTGGGCAGGGTTTTGTGCTGTAGCGGTTGCGACAGCGTGCTTTCCGTCCGCGTCTTGGGCGCTATTTCCCCAGGCGGTGTCTGCACAGGCGGGGTTTGGACCGGCGACTGCACGGTCAGGTTGCTCTTGCTTGAATTCGGCGAGGGCGAATGAAAATCCTCGCGAGAGGTGCCATTCAGTAATCTCTGCTTGAACTCATGCAGCACTGCAATCGTCTTGTCCCGCCCTCCATCTGCCGCGTCCACCAAGTATGTGAAGTCCGTTATGGCGTGGTCATCGTCAAACGCAGCATTGCGCAGCTTTTCCAACAGACTCGCTTGCAGCTGGATCGTCACCTGCTGGAGCTGGATAATCGCAATGTGGTCACCCTCTTGGAACGCCTTGCCGAACCGCGCCAGTCCTCTCTGTTTCTCTTTTTCGATCTCATCGGGCGCCTGGTCTATGCTCTCTTCGAGTAGTCGCGGCGGAGGTGGGGCTCGTTTGAGTGCGCGCTTCTTCTTGATCTTGTCGAGGATGGCCGACCCGTCGTGGAATGCCTGCTTGGTGGCATCCAGACACGACTAGAGAAGATGCATGTGTCAGTCTCTCACGCGGTGGGCCGACACGCCCGCATGTGCTACACGAGTAGTGGAGATGACGCTGCGACTAACCGTGATGCTCACTTGGATCTCCGTCATGGCGGGCGAGTTCTACGCATCCGATCTGCTGTGCGCGAGACGGTGTCGGTGGTGGTGGTGCTCCATCGCGCGGCTACACGACGAGCATACCTGAGTACTATGATGCTGTTCGAGATCTGGATCGGACCTCTCTCGTTTACGGCGTGCGCCTCACCCGCACCTCCACTCACCACTCACCGGTCCGAACAGCGTGCCCCGTGACTCGTCATGGCAAAGCAGGGAAGGGAGAAGGCCAGCGTGCAACGTCAAATACTGATGAGCGAAGGCTGTACGCGAGCTCTACATATATCGAACCTCTGGACTTCACATGCAAGTACTCTCCTCAAACCGCTGTCACATTGCTCCTGCCCAGGCTTGCCCTTATAGGACTACTTTTCCACAAGCTCGGAAACTTCCCGGCCGGGAGAAGAGTGCTTGAGTGAAGGTTCATCTCATCACATGCACACGTGCTTGAGCGTTCCGGCATGCGACAACCACGCACGACGATCTTCAACCGACCATGATCATCGCTTGCTATCTTGCTATGGTGATTTCCAGCCGCGTTGCGCCCTTCCAGTGGCATCGAACACGACAGAAATGGCCAAGATTTCCATATCCCGACCAACCGTTTCCTCTGCGCCTATCAAAGGAGGGGTCGAGTAGGGCTAGACGATGTCCCGAACCATGCAGCTGTGCGCAGAGCACGTCAGCCCGCGAGCTCTTGTTGCCATTCGTAGCCCAGCACGCAATTGTCACTGCTCCAACTGTATTTGACCTGTACCTGGCATTGCCCAGGCGCAGAATTGTTCGTTCTGACGCAACGAGCTTTCGCGATCGTCCGTCCCTCGCGTGTGCCGCCGACACACTATATAAGCTGCTCCGTCATCTGTCTTCAAATGGATTCCATACTCACTTATGGTCTTGCATTGTTGTTTTACACTTCACTCAAGACTGCTGAAGAACTTCGCTTGCCTTTCCACATTCGTCGACTCGTCAAGACCGAGCAATTCGTTATAAATCGTTAGACATCCAAAATGGCTCCCACGGCCTTAGTGGAACAGCCCGTGGCTGACTTGCCTGTTTTCCGCTACGACAACCCATCCAAAACGATTTTCCCCGACGGCATCAAGACTTCAGGACAGACTTACCCTGAATACGACCAGCTTAAATCATACGAGGAGTTTCCTCAAGAAATCACAGGAGAAACAGTATGGAAGGCGGAAGATTACCAGAACAACCCAGAGCGATGGGTCCATCGCTTCAGTGAAGAGGAGATCGCAGAGGTCAGCAAAGCTGCCGATGACTTTCTGGCGTCTGGCACACCCATGACGGGCATCACAAAGGTAAACAGACAGAAAAATTATAACTGCCCATGGATAGACATACTGATGCATTTCTGCAGGCGAAGTTCCCGCTTCCCAACATGGCACACTTTCTAGAGCCAATGCGCAAGGAGATCCTCAACGGCAAGGGTTTCATCCTCTTCAAAGGCTTCCCTGTCCAAGAATGGGGCAACCACAAGAGTGCTGTTGCGTACATGGGTCTGGGGACATATCTCGGATACTTCGTTTCGCAGAATGGTCTCGGACACGTCTTGGGCCACGTGAAGGTGAGCAAAGGTAATCAATGCGAATTGAGAGGTCCAATACTGATGCACGTACACAGGACACCGGTGCCGACCCCACCCAAATCGACAAAGTCCGAATCTACCGCACAACCGCCCGTCAATTCTTCCACGCCGACGACTGCGACATCGTAGGACTCCTTTGCATCGCCAAATCGCTCGAGGGTGGCGAATCCGATATCGTTAGCGTCCACCACGTCTTCAACACCCTGCAGAAAGAGCGTCCAGACGTCGTCAAGACATTGTGCACACCAAACTGGTACTTCGACCGCAAAGGAGAAGTATCAGTCGGCCAAGAGCCGTACACCAAACAACCCGTTTTCTATATCGAAACGGGCAAGGACGGCCGTGTATACTGCAAATGGGACCCATACTATGTTAAGTCCCTCACTCGCTTCTCCGACAAGGGTATCATCCCAGCACTCTCGCCTGAGCAGGCGGAAGCAGCACAAGTGCTGGAGGACACTTGCATGCGATTGTCGTTGCACATGATTCTGGATATTGGAGATATCCAATTCTTGTCCAATGCGCATGTTCTGCACTCGAGGACAGCGTACAAGGACTACCCACCGCCGCACCCAAGACGGCATCTGATGCGTTTGTGGCTCGCGACCCCCGAAGATGAGGGTGGTTGGAGGCTGCCGTTTGCGGACTCGAAGCACAAGAAGAGGGGTGGTGTGCAGGTCAATGATACCCCACCGAAGGCTCCAATCGATGCCGAGTAGATAGGTAGATTTGGATAAACACACGAAGCTGGCTTAATGTTCTATCTCCGTTTTGATCTTGTCCGGCTTGTAGAGACTTTTCTCGCTGTTTGTTGGCCTGCCGCACTGACCGAGCCAGTTCTGATGACTGAATTGAGTACTATGAAGGTGTAGCTCAACCGCCTACCGCCCCTTGACGACGTTTCCGAGCTCCTCGCCTCTGTGATATGCATGAAAGACCAGCGATTCTCTGACTTGGCGGCAGGCATGAGCCAAAGGCTTTGGACTGAACCCAGAAAAGTAATGAAACCGTGCAGCGGCGAAGTGTACATTGCTGATATACATGCGGCTGTATGGCCGGCTGTTCTATGGCACAAATTTATGCGATCGAATATACATTTGCTCGGATCTCGTTTCGGTCGAACGGCACCCGTGCCTGGTTCAAAGCGCACTGCACGAGCTTCCGCGGAGGATGTGTTGTCGTCACGGTGGAAGCATCTTCGATCACAGTGGTCCAGTATCCCACAGGTCGTGTGTTCTTCGCGTCGCGATCTTCCGAAAATTGCTCATTGAAAATGTGATCTTCCGTTCGACGTAATCGATACATGATATCCTTACGTTCCACGGAGACACTGTATCGCGGATGGCCTTGGTGCCTGCGCAGTTTGTGCATGGGTCGTTGCCACAGGAATGGCGGGCTCTTCTGCGTGAGGAAATGAAGTTTGTAGGGCCCTCTGGCGCTTTTAACTGCGAGCGTTCCTGAGCTGCTCTCGATTTCTTTTCATCGTTCAGTGTCGCATCCAATTAGAACCTTCTCTCCCTCAAAAATGTCTCAATCTGGGGCTTGAAATGCCCCTTCAAGTTGATGTGGCCCGTTGTTGAATTGATCGCAACCTCATCTTTCTTCACATTCAACACTTTGCACAGCTCTCCTTTCAGTGCCATCTTGTCTCCATCGATGTTCTTGATCCTCGTCATCTTCAAGTTTCCGCCTCGTTTTCGCAGATGATATATGGGCAGATTATTCGATGAGGATCTTGATACAAAGTATGGCAAGTTTGGCGCGCTCTGTGTCTCTGGAAGTGGCGTCACGGGGTCCGGGATGAGTTTGACAGGTGCGGGTTGATGATGCGACGGCCTTCGGGTTGGGTAATGGCGCTCTTTCGTGGGATGGGCTGTTCGTCGCGAGGCTCGAGATTCTTTTGGGCGAGGATTGGAGTACATTGATCGCGGAGGGTAAGCCTCATCTGCTGTCCGAGAGGCTACAAGATTGGGGTCTGTACGTATGGTAATTAGTACACGCTGTCAACATGGCGTTTACATGCTCCTGACCTTCTCGGACGGCCGTTTGTGCAGATGGTTCTGCCGCTGCTGCTGCTTCTCGACATGACGTGCTGGTGGAGAAGCGGAGGAAATGTCGCACGGTTGCTGGACGAGGCAAGCTCAATGGCCGCAGGAAGGGCATTATGGGTGCTGTTCTGGCCATGATGTTGCTGGTTTGTTCTCGTCAATGCGGGAGTGTTGGCGGAAGCTCTTCTCGCGACTCGCGCGTCGGCGGAGGAAAGAGCCGACGTTCAAATCTTGGCAGCCTCGATTTTGGAAAGAGGTGAAAGACCCCACGACAACGACTGTCACCACCCACTCGCCCCTCCACCACCGCATCACCGCGACCATGGCAGACTCCAACGGCGACATCGCGGCCCAGTACAGCCTCCTGCCAAAGCTCATCACCAACCTTGACCGCCATCTCGTCTTCCCGCTGCTCAACTTCGAGGAGGAACAACGACCAGAGGACGAGGACGTTTCCGACATCACCAAGCTCAAGTATGCGCTGCTCAAAGAGACCAACATGTCCGATTATGTCGGCGACCTGTACGCACAACTCAACAACTTGAACGAGACCCCGGCCGAGTACGGCAAGAAGCGCGACGAGATTCTCGAGAGGCGGCGGATATACACTGAGGAGACTGAGAAGATCCAAGGTCTGCTCGGCGATGCCGAAGTCATCAACAACTTGCGCAGCGACAAGAACAGCAACATGGCATACCTGAAGGACAATCACGGCGTGACTCAGCAGATGGTGGACCAGCTGTACGATTTCGGCCAGTTTCAATTTGCGTGCGGTGATTACGAGAGTGCCTCAGAACTGCTGTACCAGTTCCGTATCTTGTCGACAGACAACGACAAAGTCAACGCAGCAACATGGGGAAAGTTGGCCGCAGACATCTTGACCACCAACTGGGAAAGTGCAATGGAGGAAGTCATGAAGATTAAGGAGAGCATCGACACCCGTCTGTTCAACAACCCGCTCGCGCAACTGCAGCACCGAACTTGGCTGATCCACTGGTCATTGTTCCCCTTCTTCAATCACGAGCCTGCCCGTGAGCAGCTGACTGAGCTCTTCTTTTCTCCCGCATACATTAACACCATTCAAACCTCCTGCCCGTGGATCCTGCGATATCTCACCGCAGCCGTCGTCACGAACCGCAATCGACCAGGCAGCAAGAACAACTACAACTATGGAAACTACCAGAAGCAGTTGAAGGATCTTGTGCGGATTGTGAGACAGGAGCAGTACGAGTACAACGACCCAGTCACCACTTTCATCAAGGCACTTTACGTCGATTTCGACTTCGAGGAGGCTCAGAAGAGACTATCAGAGGCGCACCATATCCTGAGTGCGGACTTTTTCCTGTCAGCAGCTGCGGAGCCATTCCTGGACGCTGCGCGCCATCTCATCTCCGAGTCATACTGCAAGATTCACCAGCGCATTGATATTCAGTGAGTAGTGCAATTTCGATTTATGCCGAGCATGGTACTAATTGTTCGATAGGGATCTATCAAAACGTCTTGGTCTTGGCCAGGAGGAGGGCGAGAAGTGGATCGTCAACCTAATCCGCGATACGCGCGTTGATGCAAAGATCGACTACAAGGCCGGCACGGTCATCATGAACCACCCACCTGTCAGCGTATACCAGCAGGTCATCGAGCGAACAAAGGGCGGTTTCTTCCGCACGCAAGTGCTTTCGGCTGCAGTTGCGAAGTGAAAAGGGACACGAATAGATCTGGATCCTCGAAATTTGGCGTTCGAGGCTGTTTGCGCATGACGAGCTTGCACAACAGAGCTTCGAATCCTGGACGGGGGTCGCGACGGGCGCACAAATGGTCACGATCACGAGGCAGGAGTTTGTGTTTGTGCGTGTGCGTGGTATGGCATAGCATTGGCGTTCTCGGCGTCGAGTGCAGAAATAAATGTTCGTTTGGCACGAAAGAAAAGCAGGCGCGGGATGAGCATCATGTGTTACGGCAAGAGCGCTCAGGTCGGACGATTGAGGGCTCGGGTTAGACAGCCTAGAAAGAAGCGTGGCTAGACGGGAGGCGAGGTAGCACGATTGGCACGAAATGTGTGACTCTGAAATGAGACTGTTCGAAACGACCTGAAGCGCGCCAATATCTTCTCCGTCGGGCACACCCTCATTGTTACCTACTCGTGTGCTATCGGACTCAACCTGCGCCTTCTCATTCGAGATGCCAGTTGGCGATGTCCATCGGATTATGCAAAGAGCGCCTCTCCGATGCCCTACAGTATCAATGACGATCGGGACACCATTCCACACGGGAGCACAGAGGTCAAAGATCTCGTCTCGTTTATAAATAGGTCCCTACGTGTAGCATTCTGCGAGCCTGGCTGTGTTTCGAGCTTCAAAGAATCTGAATGACTACGAACACAAAGCATGTCTTCCAGTGTTGAGCGTACGCTTATTCAATGCTGCAACTGTGTTCGCTCACTGGGTGTATCAATGCAAAATTGTATCACGGGTTTTGAAATACTGCGGGCAAGCTCATCGGTGCAAGTCCTCATATCACATTCATGGGGTTAACCCTCAAGCCTGATCATTATGGCTGTTCCTGCTTGACGTTGCTCTGCTAGATGATGGAAATTAAGCTGATCGTTGAGCATTCACGCTGTATCTTCCCAGCTGCAGCTCGTGATCAGGTCTGCCTTCACCTTGCCCACTTCTGTGATGCCATAAAATCCGTTCGCACCAGTGGAGTGATATATATTGTCCCTCGCCATGGACTGTGTGGATTTTCGCATCTTACCTCGCGGTACCACGAGAAATAGGGGCCATTGCGAGAGTGACTAAGAGCCAAGCCTAGTCATCCCTGCTTACGATCGCGGCTTTCTTTCTCAGGTCTTGTTGCAGGGACTGTATGAGTGCAGTGCTAGAAAATTCGTCGCAGCTCCGCATTTCAGAGAGCTGCGCATACAGTCTGTCACCTGCATTCGGGGATCGGATAACAGGGTATATCTCGCTCTCTTACAATTTGCGACCCTTTTGACAATCGGTTCAGGGCAACTTATTGGCAGGAAAGCCCCGAAAGGTGCTCGAGCTTATATTCCTTGAATCCGTGTATGCAGATGACACATTGTAAATCTCTTGTCTTCCTCCTTTGGTGTTCCTTGTGCCTCGAGGAGCTGATGTGAAGCAACCAGCGCGACGGAGCGAACAAGTCCGTGACGACCAGGTACCCTTGCAATCAGCCTCTCTCATTCGTCCATCTTGGCAAGTCTTGCAGTGTCTGCAGGAAATGGAGCTCGGCATCGGCAGTCTTGGGAGCACCGATTTCAGGAGCCCACAAATGATCTTCTGTCAACCTCGTCCTTGCGCGGAGAAGGTACAATAATCAAATCATCCATTTGCCTGTTTGTAGCTTGTGTGGCGGTGCAGACCAGCACCAGACGTCTTTGCCAATTCTCATTAATGCATGCAGATGAACACGAGTGCTTGACTGATGAGCTTCCCAAATTGGCGGGAAGTGCTGATCGACCCGCCCGTTCGTGGCGTTCGCTTGGAGAGTCTTGGGTGCAACGTCGTTTCGTTTCAGGAGATGAGTGAGTACACCATCAAACATTCTTGCTCAACAAATTCTCATATCGCAAGAAGACGTTGTTTGCATCGAGACTTTGAGAGATGCGGTCGTGCTGCGCCAAGCATTGCGACATTGTTTGTCCGTGCGAGCACGTGGTATGCAGTATGATGCGGCGATCTACCGTGAAGGTGTACGCAAAAGGCAATCGCGACACGCGCATTCTGCTGAGTGCTCCGCGGCGGTGGCATGCAGTATCAGCACGACATTCTCAGTTGTGCACAAGGTGCACAGCCAAGAAGTACGGAGAATGCAAGAGTCCACATGAAGTCTGCATATTGGGTGCAGTGTACATGGATGCCATGGACTCAGCTCTTTCAGACAGCAGGCTGTCCTCGTACAGATATGAAGAAGTTCGCGATGTCCGGCCGAGATGCTGCCTTCATGCGCTGTCCACGAGATCGTCGGCATGAAATAGGACCGCTTGGCCGCGCATGGTGAGATTTCAGGCCAATGGCTTCGTCTATTCCTGCTCGCCGACATGAAGATGACCCCAGATGCGGCCACGGTATTATAGCGATGTAGGGTCCTTTAGGTAAGTTCCGCGGTGCAGAGTCCGTAAGAATGGCATAGACAATTATTGCTCTAGGGTGCTGAGCTTGGCAGAATCCTTCAGGGTACCTCAATTTGGACAATCAGACCCTCGATGATTAGATGTTCACCGCGATAGGCTTGTACAAAGTGGCATTTTGTGCTTATGGTGACGAGGATTAGGAACCTTGCTCGGGATTAAGTCTGTAGGATTCGTCCTTCTTCCGATGCCGACATCCAAAGGGACATTGCATGATGTTATGCATCGAGGATCAATGAGTGCAGACACTGGGTAACCAGGTGACTTGCACTCTTGGTGATGGCCTCAGGAGCCTTCGTATGCGCGACGTTCAACCTTGTCCTGGAAGTGCATGCTCAGCGTGCTGGGGCAACCACTGTTCTTTTCAACAGTCATCGCGATGAGGGTGCAGTTGCAAGAAGCTTGCTGATGTCGAGACAACACGAAGGTCAACGAAGCAGAAGAACTATTGAACGTTCAAAGACCGTTTGAACAGAAAAGGCACGATAACCATCCCCTCGCACCAACCTCCGTAGAATCTCACCGCGGAACCTACCAGGACGATCCCCCACACCATCGTCCTCCATCACCACACCACGGCACACGGGTCCACAACGGCATGAATCACATCACCGCCAAGAGAACAGCTGTCCCTCCCACAAGACCTTCCAAGAAAACTTCCCATCTCCGTGACTCGCGGATCCGTACAAACAACGATAAGGAAAAAAGTTACACGCGCGTCAAAGAGAACCTTCTTTTGGTAGCTGCGGCCGCCGGCAGCTGCGCTGTACGATCAAGCCCAAACCGCTTACCCGCGCGCCGGCTGAGACTTTTCGCCTGCACCAATTGTCCGAATCTGGTACGCGCCAAGTGCTCCTTTCCGCTCGGGAGGCGTCTCACCCGAATTGCGCCTGCTGCGCCTGTATCGAGCCGTCCGGGTGAGGCGTCGGATTGCGAGGATTTGTGCTTGGTATGAGCGTAGTGGCGAAGTCGAAGATAAAGGCTTGGTTGGATGTCATTCGAGTCCCAATTCTGTCAAATGAAGATAGTGACTTGGAAGCTCGCAGCTTGTAAGACCAGATTCGAGAACAAAGAGCTTCTGTAGCTGTCGACCATGGGAAGCAGTATGGTGCGATGTTCTAGAAAGTAAAGCTAGGAACTGCCCGGGACCGTCAGGCTTTCTGTGCTTGGGGTCACGGAACGGTGAGGAGCAGGAGCAGTGCGTAACCACTGCCTGCATCTGTTGCGCGCTGCAGATCTCAGACCGCCTCGTGCTCGACAGCGCCGTCCGGGAAAGTGCTGTCCTGCACGGGCGTCGAGCTGCGTGTCTTGCACGCTCGCACTGGGTAAGGGACGAGCAAGTCGATCGGGCTCGAGACCTGCCATGCTGGTGGCACAAGCATGACACGTGCTGCCAGAGCGATTGGAACGGAGATCTTCTGGGGCACAGAAAAGTGTGTAAGTGAAATGGCTGTTGAGCGAGAATTGACAGTGGTTACGCATTTCAAAATATCAGCAACTGCTATCTAGCGCATCAATGCATGTTCAAATTAAGAAGCTGCGCCTGACCCAGACAATTGTCGGCCAGTGGCGCTATCATCGCATCATCAAATCATGACTCCCCATTTTGCCGAACCCAGAAGCTGTGGTATTTGCCATCTCTATTCCCATTCATTCCCCAACGCCTTGCCCGAAACAATATGCAATTAATGTTGATGTTAGACCCGCTCCTTGGACTCGTTCTTCTCCAGATCGTATGATGAGTCCGTCACCTGGGACAGTTGGCGAGTATTTGGTGGTGTGTTACCTGGGTCCTTTGGTCCCTTTGGCCCTTCTGGTCTCTTCATTGTCTGCCGAAAATAGATTGCGAGGCCCATACAGCCTGCAGACAGCAGCAAGCACACTCCCGCCCACATTTGCACGGTGAGGTATGTCGAATACTCTGTGATCATGTGTCCAGCTATCACTGGTCCAATAAGTGCAGGTATCGCAGCACAGGTATACATCATGCCAGTCCACTGTCCGAGTTTGGCTTGAGCTTCAGGAGTGGGTCCCAGAATGTAGGCGACAGATGCTGGAGGGAGACCGATGACCGCGCCAGAGAAGGCTCCAAAGAAGATGACGAACGCAAGAGCTGAGGGGAAGCCGCTGGCCAGTGTCCAGAGTATCAGTGTCAGAAGTGATGACACGAGTGTTACAATGCAATGGACATTGAGAGCTCCGATACGGTCACAGAAGTAAGACGATGACAATCGCCCGATAGTGGAGCAAGCATTCATGATCGCCAGCAGCCAGAAGGTCTCGATCTTCCCGTCGGCGGGTTTTTCTGGCAAGCCAGCATTCAGACCAACGGCGCCGGTCGACCTTCGAAATCCGATCCCGTTCGAGAATGCCCATTCTTCGAGGTTGAAGAAGATTGCGTAGAATCCAAGGAATAAGAAGGCGATCGCGGCTACGAACGAGGCGTACGATTTGTTTCGAAATGCGTGAGAGTCGACAAAGACGTCCCATCGCATCCAATCGTCAGGCTTGCGGATGATGTGCTTTGGATTCGGGTTTGCGCATGCAAACGCGAGGCACGAAGTAAGAAACACGACGAGCGAAACCCATCGTGCAGCGGCGTTGAAGCCTGAGGAGTCGATCAAGAATTTCGTCATCATTGGATACACCAGGCCTGCAATGCTGGCTCCTGATGCCACGATGCCGATGGCGAATCCCTTCTTTTTCTTGAACCACGTAGCGACCACTGTGATTGCATCGTCAGTGAACAAGGACGTTAAACAATGGTGGATCAAAGCTCACCTTGAGAAGAGCTGACGAAGAAGCAAGCCATTCCGAGACCAGAGATGAAACCTTGCGTGAGCCAGGTCAGTGCGAAATTGCCTTGGTTCTCTCCGCCGTCGCCGTTGACGAAGCCTAACGTGAGTGTGCCCACCGACACCAGTACAGTGCCGAGGGCTATTAATTCACGAGTGAAGCCAGCGTCCAGAAAGCGGCCCACGATTCCAGATAGTCCCAACACCACGGCAGACTGTGTTCCTCCGATGAGGTTGAAATACAGCAGATCCTTCCCCGTCATAAGAAAGTTCATATAGAAGGATGCGTATGTACCGTATGCATTGACCAGACCTATAAACCAGCGTATTAGTGGAGGAAGCAGACTGGAAGAAAACACAAGCACTGACCCCATGAGTTGAACATCAAGCAGAATCCGGCCAGTAGGCAAACGTATGCTTTCCAATCCGTCGGCCACGTCGGTTCTTCCTTGTCAGCGACATCATCGCTGTTATTGCGCCCTGACATGGCTGCAAGTGAGTGGAAAGTCTCTCTTCGAATCGGTCCTCGAGGCGTTTCGATTTCTATTGTGCGTCCATTCGGAAGTCGCGCCGCTGAGTGGTGATGGGAGGTGCTCTCTTTTCTGTGGGTGGAGGTGCCAGATCTATCGTCGATGGAGACCTGACGGCCAGGTTGGGTGAGCCATTCTGAGTTCTCCCGCACCTGACTCTGTGACCGCGATGCATCGGGCGACGACTTCTTTGACGAGCTTTGAGATTCGTAGGAACCACGGCGCTGATCGCCTGGTGGGCTTAGTTCACCAGACATGCTGAAGAAAGCGATAGTGCCAGTGCGAGACAGCTAGCAGGCAGAGGGAGGGGTCTGATAGAACGGGGGTTGACAACAAACCTACCTGACGGGCTAAGAGATATTATAGAAAATGTGAGAGGCGCAAGGGTATACGCCTCCGGCACCATGCACTACTGCTGGTGCTCGATCGGCCTGGGGCTCCACGATGGCCAGGATCCACACCAGGAAGCACACTGCAACCCGACAAGATAAGACCGGTTACACTAGCCTGGTAACAGAAGACGGTGGTGATGCCCTGCGAGCCCAGACATAGGCAGCCGGGCTCCGTGCGAGCATGTGCCTGCGGACCCTGTGGGTCGCCAAGGCCTGTGTGAGACTGCATTTGCAAGCAAACCGCGCTGTGTCATATACGGAAGGCTTGTCAGTAACCGCGAAGATGACGATCTCCGCAGGGCCAAGGCGAGACGTCCGAAGGGAGAGGCGTTGAGTGAGCGTTCGCCAAGCAGGCTTTTGGGTTGCAGCATCATCTTGCCGGCGGTGGCTCCAGCATCCACAATAATCAGACTTCCAAGACGTGACAGTGGGCTGGCGCTGTGCTTGCTTTGGGGCCCTTCCAAGGTTCTCCTATTCTTTCTTTCCACGCACTGGCATTGGGCGACGCGTGAGCCTTGAGGCACGATTGTGGGCGGCCTCGTCACGCGTCGAGCTGACCGAGATCCGCCTGCCTGCTACTTGCTGCTTGCTGGTTCGATTCCGCAGATTCCAAGGCGGCGGTGATGGGCGAAGCGTTGGGACGTGTCGAAGAAGCTCAAAGATGATCGGCGGGTGTGGACCTTGGCCGAGGCCTTGGCATGTTGCACCCTTGCGGTGTGTGGCTAGAACTAACTCGTCGACTACTCCCGCTCCGCACCCTTCACTGCATGCACCGCCTGCCATCGTCCATCGGAATGTACGACGCGTCGGAACTTGGCTGATGTCGATGTCCTACCGCGCTTCTTTGTTCAAAGTCGCTTCCGCCCACCTTCCAAGACCCCATATCAGCCGGCAAAGAGGCAGCAGGCTTCTCATCGCTCTGGAGATTGCCGCTCAGCCTTTCCGATTCATTCGACGGTCCTTCTCATACACCCAAGTCTTGCGCAATTCTTGGCCTCTTCTTCTATGACGCAGGGGATGTTTCGTGGAGCTTAATCCTTATCGCCCAGCACACGCTGAGAAGCCTTATCTCTGCACCCTGATACTTGCTTGTCTGCCTCGGAGCAACTTTGAGCCTCACTGACGATTCCGTGCCTGATCTGCGCAGATATGCACTTGCTTCTGATCATGCATGGCTTGGCTCCGATCCCCTTCATTAGTGATCAGTGTCGAGCAATGGCAAGCCACGATGCTGTACAAGAGTGGGACAGACTGCTGACGAGAGGAACTGTCCGTGGAGTCGCACCTTCCGTCTAGTTCAGACGCCGGGCATTGATCGACATGCTCCCCAGTCCTGCACCTGAGTGGCCTCATCACATCAATTGCTCTTCGAAGCGTGTGGTCTTTCCTCCGCCTGATTGGCGACCTTAATCGCCGCCGCGTCATTAACCATTCCACAGGTCCGGATTTGTGTTACCGGCATGCACGATGCAGAAGCAGAATCATCTTGGCCGACGCGGACACTCCTGGGTTGATGTTACATGCAGAACCATTAGCCTGAGTCGATATCGGGCCTGCCGATGTGGCCTTGCTACCAGTACGCGTTTCCAAGAGGGTGTGTAGAGCATCAGCTTCTTCAGAGCCCGTTGGAAAGAGCGAAATTCTGAAGGGTGCTGACTCAGGCGGAAGTCGGTGTGCTCAAGGTTACCGCAAGAGATCAAAATTGTCGTCATTGCTGATGAGACTAGAAGACAAGCAGAAAGTACAAACTACCAAATGAGCGACTCTTCTATATGGCATTGAATGGTTGCACAGGACGTGCATTCCTCGTCCGATATATCAGGCGATACTATGTCATTCTACATACAACGGAAGCAATGAGCCCGTTGCTTCGCAGCAATTGGGATTTCCGGACTGCACGCCGAAGACAACTTCCTTAGCACTGCGCCATATTCTGAAGCGCCGCTGAGCGGCAAAAGTCCATGTTCACTTTTACAAGGCACTGCGAGACGACCGGAACAGCACACGGAAGACAAAGATGCGTGGTGGTGCAGCCAAATCTAGGACAAGTTGATACCACACGGTGCCACAGTAGGACGACTCATCTGTTCCATCTGCTCGCCATGCAGGACGCACCTCTGCACAACTCCAAGAAATGATATACATGAAACAGGAGGTTTCCTCAATCTTGGCATGCACTAAATGTGCGATGTGCACTTCACCACCATGCACACAGCCACAAAGGCACCACAACAACTAGTCCTACATTCGAAAACCGAACGGGGAGCCAAAAAGTGGAACCCATCGCATGTCTTGGCGATGTAGGCTGTAGGATTTCTTCAGGATCTACAATGCTAGTTCCTCACTTACGAGCCTTGGCTTGGAACCGGGATGTATCGGGTCCGCAATATTCTACATGCTCTTCGGCGACGGTTTATGCCCCACAATGGTCTCATAACACCCATTGATAGCGACAACTTTGGAATCAGGTGTTGGCGCAGCACGACGCGTGTTGCTGCTCGTATGGACGAAGTATCATGAATGAATTTCCTGCAGGATCTGGCCACGCTTCTCAAAAATACCTGCTCAATGCAGGCACATTGCATACATGTTTTCCTAAACAGTTGAGCTTGCGTACGCGCTGTTCAGGCAACAAGTTGCGTGCAGCATGACCATGCTGCATCTCGAGTCACATCATGCTGCGGGGTGGTTCGAAAGGGTGCTGCAAGAATCGCATCCATGCTACCAAGAAGCCGAGGCCTACGATTCCCGACACATTCGAAGTTGTCGCCGCAATTGGAAGACCGTATCGCAGTTCCAAATTCCTCGGAAACCTGCTTCTCATCAGTGAGCACAGACTGTGATTATTTGTGTGAGACTTTGGAGACCGGCGAACAGGACAGCTACCCCGAGCGCACATCCAGGTCACATCGTCGAAGCCAACGACCATACTAAGGTTTCTACTGCTTTGGTGGCAGAAGAGATCTTGCTCCTCTCTGGGACGCGTCCCACCGAGCATAGTTCTGCAAGAAGCTATCCTATTTCGGATGGACTTCGCCATGTGTGCTAACTGCTTCGACAAACATCTGCTTTTCACGCTCGAGATTACGGGCTACAGCTTCATCTTACGCCACTGATCGCTTTACAGCAAGTACTAACACGAGAAATACGACACAGGCAATGGAATCGGGGAATGGTGTGGGTATGAGCAGCCGCTCATCTTACTGTTTTTCTCTTGCCCTCTACGATAGAACTCTTCGCCACATGCATTGCTTCCTGGTTCTCTCTACTGATGTGGACAGCGTCGTCAATCTACAGACAAGACATGATTTGCATTGACTTGAGTGGAACAAGTTGTCGCCCGCGAAGACACAGCTGAAACAGAGCACAAATATTCACGACATTTTGCAATTCCTGTTACAAAAAGAACCTCATACAACTTTTTTGCTTTCCATGTACTTGGCTGCGCAGATCGTTACATGTGCACTGTAGCATGTCGAGTTCGGTGAGTGATCTGCGCAATGATGACATGCAGGATACCGATGCTCAAAGATCCCATATCAAAGAAAGAGCATCTTTTGGTATGCCGGTAGCTCGCTCGCGGTGTCCTTGATGATTTCTGGAATCCTTATGATCGTTTGCCAAAGCATGGATGATCGCCGCTCTTCGCAGGTGCCTTGGCCGCCTCCGACTGCATCTTCTCCAACTCAGCATCGAGTTCTTCGAGACTCCGATGGGGCGAGTGTGGGTGGTGCTGGGGCTTTTGCACTTTGTTTTCAAGAGCCGCCTTGTCAGATCCCATCTCCTTCTTCTCCTGCTTGCCAGCGTTCTTCTCGCCAGCCTCCTGCGTGCCCATAGCGTCTTTGGCATCGTTCGCGTTCGCCGTCAATACAGTCACTGCCTTCGCCTTGTGGTTACGTGGGAGAGGGATTGCGGCAACTGGCTTCGCCTGTGAGAGCAGACGCGCCGACTCGAACAGCTCCTCGTCTTCCGGATCCAGATCACTCAGGTTGGCGATCCCATTCTCATCCTCGTGGCGTTCATGCGCCTTGCTGACTTGTTCCTGAGGTACAATCTTGTTGCCGGACGACGTGGTACTGGTAGGTGCGGCAATATGGACAGATGATGCGTTCTCCGAAGATGATCGAGGTGCTGCGTCAGAAGCTTCCTCATTCATCTTGAACGTCGAGTTGGCGAGAGCACCCGTGGCAGTGCTATGCATTTCTGCTGCGGCGCAGAGGAGCATGCTCACACGTTCGCCATCGATCGAAGACCTCAGTCTCGTGATGTATCGCAGGTCCATGGAGGCGATAAGTTGTGACAGTATGACTGGATGTGGCGGGTTGTCGCGCGCAAGCAAGTTGAAGACTTGTTGCTCAAATGGCGTGACACTGCGTTGATTCGACATGGTTGTTTGTGGTGTGGAGAGTGAGTGGTTTCTGGGGTGAGATTTTGAGCGCGGCGTGGTACGTCTTGTAGCTTTCGCGCGAGCAAGTCGGGGATTAAAGAGTGGGAAACGAAGGACGGCGAGCGCGGCCGCCCTGGCACATTCACTCAGCTTGGCGCTAGTCACGGCGGTGAGTGACTCCCATTGGCTGAAAATCTCTGGAAGCTGAAGTCGGGAACCATCGAGAAAGCGGGTAGTGCATCACTTTCTGTGTCAGCTGGATGTCTTGGCTCGATGATTGCTGGTCAAGTATGTAGTATTGTGGAGGTATGCCTTTAATATGAGCTATCTAGACCAGAGAGCCGTCAGTACCAGCCGCGATGAGCGTTCTGAAGGCCTCTTTCGCAGATATCTTGACAGAATCGACGCGTTCGAATCTGTATCTGCAGCCACCTGCACAGCTTTTGAGCAATTCGAGGCAGAGCTCTATCAATGTGCTCATTCTGATAACATACCCGGCCAACGGTACAGGACGTTCACGCTCCAGTGAAGAACAATGTATCTTCTTCGGAGAAGTCAAGATGGAAGGATGTAGTCGGAAGTTACCTCCAAGGGTTAAGCGCAGTAGCGCCTTCCAAGAATACATGGGTCGTCCGGGCCGGGCGCCTTCCGCTACAAAGTGCCTCGGCCACGAACACAGCTACTCCAGAAGTCGCGACGACGATGAAGCTAAGAGATCTCGTTGTCATTGATGCGGAAGGGGAAAAGCTATCGTGAACCAGGAATTGTTTATTGTCTGCTCCCCAGATAGAGGTCAGAATCAATGGCTCGTGAAGCACAGACGGCGGTCTCCGCGTCTCCGCAGAGGTCAGATACAATGGAAGGAGCTCAACAGCTCTGGTGAGAGAACACATCTGCCCCTTCATAGAAACGTGGAACAGAACTGAATACGGGACTTCGACACTCGTAGAGACCTGTGTTGTATTCATGCATTCCACACATATCCTATCCTGAAACTACTCCTCTCTATCCACTCAGGAGAAGACAAAAAGCAGTTTGCGCCTCGCTTGCTGTAGTGATACTGAGCCAAAAGGATGGAATGAAGTTCCCCGAAAAATGTGAAGACGCCTGAAGAAAGACGCCGATGCTCCGCAAACTATGCCTCGTCAAGTATTAATCCATTATCGTGTCTTCTCCGGTCTAAGGAAGAGAGTGCAGTGCGCATAAGTGTGAGTGCTCCTGTCCTACGCAAAGCCGTTGAATGCAATGCACGCACGCTTGCTTGTCGCTGAGACGCTCTCGAACAATGTGGACGTCGATCGTTGTGTTCCCGTTGATAATGATGATTCTCCGGAGGGCCTCAGAACGTGCCTGGTACACGTCGCTGTGTCTCGCAGGCAGTGTGTAGCGCTAAGTCGCACACATGCACTGCGTGGTGCATCCGATCCTCAGGTGGACGAATCTCTCTTGTTCTCCTAAATACCCTTGATCGCCACGGTCCTCTCGCTCTCCAGCTTCTCCCGGTTGCGCTCCTTCTCCTCTTTCTTGCAATCCTCGAGGCCAGTACAGCTATGGCTCTCCAGCATGCGGTGCTTGTTGCAATACTGCTTGTTGCAGAAGGTGCAATCACCCGTTATCCGCGCAATGCCTTCCTTGCAGTCCTTGAACGCGCAGCGGATCTTCTTGGGGCCACCGCCGCGGAGCGGAAGTGTCATGTGCAGGGTTGAATCTGAGGCGATGTTGTATGAAGAGAGGGTAGAAGAGGCAGAGCTGAGGTGCTTGCCGGCGTGAACGATTCGGAGCGATGTTTCCGGGATGTTGGTGCGGAGGGCAAGCATGGAGCGGAGGGTGGAGATTGTGGTTGTTGACGGGATAGTGAGTGGGAACGCTGTGATCGACAGTCAGCAAGATGTTGGTTGTGAATGGGTCAGCTGGGCGCTTACTCTCTCCGGCGATGTCCTTGACGAATATCTGCATCGTTGGCTCGGGCTCAGCGGATGGGCTTCGGCTGCTGATGGACGTGATGCTGTTCGAACGCATGTCGGCGATGTGATGGATAATGATGTTTGCTGGTGCAATGGACGATGGCGGGTGTATTGCTGCTGAACGGATGGCAGTGCTGTTGCAGCGACTCAAGGCAGCGGGTGATGATGAATGAGGCTTGAGGCTAAGTCGGAGGCTACGTCGGGGGCGAAGTGGCAGATAGGGCGTCGCGGTGATGGTACAGGTAGTGGCAGGCGCGGAGGAAGTGAAGAAGTAGGAGAAAGCAAGTGGCAAGTGGAAAGGAAGAGAGCGGTCTGGTGAACGAGATGCTTATTCACAGCTCGGTCCTGCGTCACGAGCACCTTCGACGACGCCTCGAGGGAATGCCGATCGCGGCCGGCGCAGGTCCCTGAAAGCGATGATATCAGATGTCGCTCCCGATGTTGTTCCAAATGCTCGCAAGCCTGGAACTTGACGTGTCCAACAGGCGATTCGTGACGCCAGCACACACCCTCGAGCGCGCGGAAACGCATTGCTGGCCGCGCGCCGCTGTTCATGCAGACGGCCCTCGCAAACATGCCTGCCCGAATGCATGCACGAAACGAGCCGCCGCCGCATCAGTATATTATTACAGTAGCGCAGCAGGCGCTTCGTGGGCTACGATACCGCAATGTCCGACCGACGTGGCACTCCAACGTCCTCTAGCACTACCGGCAGCCGCATTCACCACGCACCGCTCCTCCACCCAGCGCCGATGTGCGTGACAGCGGTGGGAAGCATCAATGCAGGGCTCCCGACGCCTGCTGTCTCACCTCAGGCGCGCCGAGACTATCGCGGCATCTCCGACATTCCAGCCGAGCAGTCCAGACTTCACCTCACCTCTCACCTCGTGCTGCTTGAGAGCACCGCTGCTGCTACCCTGTCTCTCGCCGCCATGCCTCCAGGTCTGGAACATCGCATCTTCGCACTGCTGCGAGCGGCTTGCCGCCTAGAATGTTTCGCTGCATCGCGATACAACGAGAGCCCGCATCTTGCATCAAACGAGCTCGTCACAAGTGAAGGTATGAAGACGCGCTCACACAAGCTGAAAGGAGTCTTAAACCGACTATGTTGGAACTAACTATCATTCTGCTGAATGCTATCCTTGTCAATGTGTGCCTCGAAGCATGAGGGACTACCACAAGGCGCCTGGGCCACGAGATGACACGCGCATCGAGAACCGCTTTTTGAATCTGACTCTACCTATGTGAGGCAACTGATAGCAGCAGCGTTCGTTTGATTGTCCCGGACCATCTCCTCGTTGCTGTCGACAAGCTTACGCCATCGCACCGCTCCAGAAGTCCAGATAGCCGAACTGAACGATGAGATCAGCCAGCTGTTGCGATGGCTCCGAGCTTCGGTGGAAGTTCTCTGCGCGCGCGCTTGAGCAGAGAAAGGGAGGTGATGTGAGTGGCGACAAGTTGGACGGGGGTCGAATATGCACGCGATGAGACTCGTCGACTGATCAACAGTATTCCTGTTGTGCATCATCTGAAGTGAAGCTTTTCGCCCATTCGGAGACAACATGTGTCGCCGGCAGCCAGCAGTTGTTTGCTTATCGAATGCGCCTCTTCTGCGTCGCTTCTCGCCTTCACATGCAGCGCCGTTTGTACCGCGCGCTTTGTCTCGCTGACGCGTTGCGGCAGAAACTTCTTGTTTGCTCTTCCGAAGCTCATACCTCTCCCCTTTCATCAACACATTCGTCAGCGAAGACACAGCACTTTCGACCTTCTCTCCCTCGCGACAAACCGCGCTGGGACAATACGGTCACGATCAACGCAACCCTCGACTGAACAATACGTGCGCCCTCACGGAGCCCGGCGCCCCGTCATTTGCGCGGCATGGCCAAAGGCATCTGCGATTACTTCGAGGCCGGTAAGAAGTGCCGGCGTGGTGAAAACTGCATATACAAGCACGAGTGGCCCGCTACTAGCAGCTCTTCCTCTGCGCGGAAGCAACATCATAAGTCGAAAGCCCATGGTCCACCATGCGTCCAAACAGACGGCCCGGTTCGCACAGCCTTTGAAAAGGACGAGTTCGCCGATCTGCGCAAGAGATGGCTTTTCTGTCTTCCAGTGGAGACGAGAAAGAGCCGACCACTCAGCGGTGATGAGCTCGAAAACTTTTTGGAGATGACGCTCAAACTTGTTGAGTCAAGTGCCGAGAATATGCAGCTTGTTATCTCCAAACTCGGAGAGGAGCTTGGCTTGCTACGCGTCCGACAGATCTTCGATTAGAACTTCGAGAAGATAAATAATAATAGGCTAGAGACGTATGTTAATACCCTTCTGCTTCCCTACTTTAAGATTCTCTTATATAAGTCCGTTTTATAATCTATAGTTATAGAAACTTAGTATACTATATTGCTTAATACTTTATATAGTATTAACGGCGCGAGAGGCTCGAACGTCTTCGCTACTCTAGTACGCGGCCTCTTAGCTCGAAAAGAGTATAAAACGATCGAGACGGCCGTTACTATTCTTACTATAATACTAGATAGAAACTATTCCGGTATAGCTAATCTAGCTTTATAAGCTATCGCCGAAAACTTAGTCTCTCTTCTAGACTTTTCGTACTTTAGCTATACTAGTAAACGCTATATACGAACTATTAAGACGATTCTATAACTCGCTATTATTCTACTAGAGACTTATACTACTACTAGCTATATAAATCTAGATACTTCTATTACTACTTTTATATTCGCTTAAGATCTCTCTAGTATTTTATTAGAATATAGATCTTATTATAATAA